TATAAAAATTTGGATAAACCTTACAAAAACATAATAAAATGTTTAAAATAAAAATTCAGACCCTTCAAAATAAGGTTGAATCCACCCCAATTCATTTATGATTTCATAAATGTAACAAAAACCATAAAAAGTTAACTTTGACTTTTATTACACAAAAAAGATCTCACAAAATTGCTGAAATGCCTGAAAACTTTTTATGTTGACCTAAATTTTTCAGCAGATTTTTCATTTAAATTCCTCAATTTCTCCAAAATTCATCATTATTTTTCAATCTTAAACAATTCTGACATTTCAACAAGAACAATTCACATCAAAATCACCTCAAAAATCTCCACAATTCCACTTTATTCACAGAATATTTCTTATTTTTCCAACTTATCATAATAAAAAAAAAACAGCACAAAAAAAATCACCCGAAAGTCACGACTCGAGCAAAATAAAAATCTTTTTCGTCCGAATTCACCGACGAGTGAAGGAAATCTAATGAAAATTTCGAAATCATCGAGCTTTTTTATCTCCTGAAAGTTTTTCACGCAACCGTTTTGCTGCTCGAATGTTTTATTTGTTTTTGAGAATTGAGAGTGAAAACATCGTGACGTCACAAATGCTGGAAAAGCTGTAGAAAAATGTGGTGTTTGAGGTGCTTCATGTGCAACAGAAATGGGTCAATGAACTTAATTGCAATTTTTTTCTGGTGTGATTTTCGACGTGGTTCAGCGTTAATGCCGTCCTGGTTTCACAAATTTGGTCATTTTTAAGCCTTTCGAGTTCAAATAATGTTGAGCCTTACAACTGTTTTATACCACAAAGAACCCCTTCTCCGCTCTCTGAAGCACATCAATCTCCTCGAAAACCATAAAAAAATGTCTCAGGAAGTAAAACTTTTTTTTCGTCGCATTTATCGATAAAACAAACATTTGTTCAAATTTTATGAGAATTGAGTAGCTTACGGTAGATGTATGAACTCGAATGCTTACATTGTACACAATTATGTATTTTTAGAAGCCCTTAAATCCACTTGGAAAATATTTTTTTCTTCAAAATTTGATTTATGTGGATTTATTAAGACATATGGGGATTGAAATATTGGAAAAATTGAGACTCGATTGATATTTTTCTACCTCATTCAGCTGCCCATTCTCAATTTTCTCAAGAAATATCGATTAAAACGACTGATAAGCTTAATCGAAATCGAAATCCTTCAGATGAGGTTCATTTAATAACATAAATTGGATTTATTTATATGAAATTTCTGAGTAGACTTAAAGTTGTATTTTCAAAGGAGAATATTAAGCATTATGAGGCAATTTTGTGAAAAGCTGGCTTCTTGGAAAATCTGATTAGCTTTATAGAACAATTTGATCTATAGAGAAACGCACAGAGCTTTTAAAAGTATGACTAATATGGCTAATGAACTTTTCGTGGAACTTTTATTCATTATTGTCAACAAAATGCAAAAATGAATGTTTTTTTTTGAAGTTGAACTGAAGCTGAAATGAGTCTAAACTGAAACTGAACTAAAGCTGACTGAAGCTGAACTAAAGCTGAACTGAAGCTGAACTGAAGCTGAACTGAAGCTGAATTGAAGCTGAACTGAAGTTTAACTGAAGTTGAACTGAAGATTAACTGAAGCTGAACTGACGTTGAACGGAGACTGAACTGAAGCTGAATTGAAGCTGGACGGAGACTGAACTGAAGCTGATTTGAAGCTTAACTGAAGCTAAACTGAGACTTAATTGAAACTGAACTAAACTTAAACGGATGCTGAATTGAAACTGAACTGAAGCTGAACTGAAGCTCAATTGAATCTGAACTGAAGCTTAACTGAAGCAGAATTGAAGCTTAACTGAAGCTGAACTAAAACTGAACGGAGACTGAACTGAGGCTGGACTGAAACTGAACAAAAGCTGAACTGAAGCTGAACTGAAGCTCAATTGAAGCTTAACTGAAGCTGAATTGAAGCTAAACTGAAGCTGAACTAAAACTGAACGGAGACTGAACTGAGGCTGGACTGAAACTGAACAAAAGCTGAACTGAAGCTGAACTGAAGCTAAACTGAAGCTGAACTAAGACTAAACTGAAACTGAACTAAACCTAAACTGATGCTGAACTGAAGCTGAACTGAAGCTGATTTGAAGCTGAACTGAGATTAAACTGAAACTGAACTAAACCTAAACTGATGCTGAACTGAAGCTGAACTGAAACTGAGCTGAAGCTGAACTGAAGATGATTTGAAGCTAAACAAGGCTGAATTGAATCTGATCTAAGCTTAATGGAAGCAAAAGCTGAACTGATGCTGAATTGAGCTTTAAGAACAATTTTGGTTCCTAACAATTTCAACAAGAACTCGAATGTTCAATTTTAAGAGCTGCCAATCTTAAAACCACTAATAATGTCTATAAAAAAATTCCACAAATATAATGCAATGAATCGTGTGAATAATTCACATTCGTCTCGTGTACGCAACCTTATTGACACGCCTGCAAACGTAAATTTCTCCACTCGAGAGGACAATTTTATGCGATTTTGTTTATTTTCGTGTTGCTCCAAAAATAGGTCTGTAAGAATTTATTGTAATTTGATTATGAAAAGATATTAGACCCAATATAAAATTAATAATATTTGAGAAAAAGGTTGATTGAAGAAGATGCTTAGATGATAAGATGATTATGAATAAAAGGATTTAAAACAAAGCAAGTGTTCATGACACGACAATTCGATGAAGATGAAGGGTACGAAAAGTCTGTTAATTTAAATTCATTGCTTCATATTGAGTTGTTGCTTCAGAATAAGTCGTTGCTTCATATTGAGTTGTTGCTTCAGAATAAGTCGTTTCTTCATATTGAATCGTTGCTTTAGAATAAGTCAATGCTTCATATTGAGTTGTTACTTCAGAATAAGTCGTTGCTTCATATTGAGTCGTTGCTTCATAATAAGTCGTTACTTCATGTTGAGTTGTTGCTTCAGAATAAGTCGTTGCTTCATATTAAATTGTTGCTTCAGAATAAGTCGTTGTTTCATATTGAGTCGTTGCTTTGTAATAAGTTTTAACTTTGAAATGAGACGCTGATACAGTAAAGTCGTTGCTTTAGAATAGTTTGTTACTTCAAAATGAGTCATTACTTCAGATTAGGTTGTTGCTTTAGAGTAAGTCGTTGCTTTAGCTGAAGTCGTTGCTTTGAAAAAGCTCTAAAGGATATCATTGCCGCATTCATACAAAACTGCTCTGTAATCTCTTGAATCCAATTAGTGGCAACAGCATAGACACTTTGAACATTGTTTCATTAATTAAATAATTATAAAGACGAGTAAAATTGTTTATAAAGTTTTCCATATTAAAGATCAAATGACAAGAGTATTTCCACTCTGGAAAGTACATAATCACGGATAATTGATACAAATTGCTGCTCAATATTCATTAGAATTACTATTATTGGAAATTTCACACCCTGCTGGAGTTGTTGTCATTGAAAGACATCAGATTGCTTGTTGTTGAACGAGGCAAGGCTGCTTGTTTTTGGGTGACCATTTTTGGATACTTTAAGAATTAATTTGACTAGTTTTTTTATAAAATGCTCAAAAAACCGTAACTTTGTTAGATTAAGATTCTGAAATCTCTCATAAATCCGATGGTCACCCTTGCATCACTACCTCATCTAGAAGCTTCGCTTCGCTTGAATGATTACCGTCCTTTAAACATGTTTATTTTCATTTCTGATCTTTTCAGTCGTCTTAAATGCGAAAAGTTATGGCAAACAATTCATTAATAAAAAAAAAAGTTCCATTTTATGGTTCAAAGCTCCGATTTACAAGCAAACTTTATTTTCTTTTGTAAAAGTTTCTTTGTTAACGACTTCAACTGTTGTCATTGTATGTAAAATACAGCTTTGTTGTTGCCGGAAAGATTTTACAAAAGGAAAATGTCAACATAAAGTCTTAAAGTAATGATGTAAAATACTTTTGTAGACTTGATAATCAATCAAATGGAATGAATTGAAGATGTTATGGATGAAAACATAATTAATCAAGTGACTTTGCTGTATTGACACTCAAGGATGAAGCTGAAGGAGTAAACGTAGGTCGGAACGTCCTTTAAGATTTAGATTTGTGTTGGAATAGATGTTGCAGACCTTAGAATTACTTAAAAAGCTAGTCTTAAATAGGTAAAGTTTATCTGCACCCCCTAAAAAGACCCCCCCCCCAAATGACCCCCCCCCCCCCAAAATAAACTTTACTTCATTTCAGAGTTTTTTAATGGATAAAAGGTTTTTTCCTTCTTTAACTTCATTGCCGAAAGGTTTCATGCTTCAAAAATGAATGAATAAAAAGAAAATTTCGAGAATATTCTTCATTTAGCCCAGCAACTTAATAAACATTTTCATATTTTGTGTCAAGAATAAAATGAAATAAATTAATGGTTGTAAGGCTCTTCCATCTATGCCTGCACATTCTCAAGAAAAACACTAAACAGCTTCATTTATTCAACATAAAAAGCAAGAAAAAGTGCGAAAAGCATTCACAAATTTTTTTTTGTTCATCATTTCCGAAAGACATGAAAAAGTTCTACCACGTGACCCGAATGTAATGGTGAGAATGTTTACATTGACATTGAGTAAGCAAAAAAAAAGGGAAATAAGAGAGGAACCAAAAAAATTCTTTTATTTGTGTGCGTCACTGACGATGGCTCACTTTTTACGAACCGAAAGAATGAGTGGGAATTTATAGCCAACAGAAAAGTGAAGTTGTTGATTTAAAGCACAATTTTGTGTTTATTTTAACTTTTGTGCTGGAAATTTTAATGTGGAAAGTTTTATTTAAAAGGTATGAAGCTCACTTTTGGGTTTTATTAGGACAAAAAAGCAACAATTAATTCTCAGTTTTTTAAAATAATATTTAATTTGCCAACCAGCTTTACAGCAATACATCCAGTCAGATATTAACCAATTCAAATAGGCAGCCAGACAGCCAAAGCAAACCTTGTTTTTGTCGAAATCTAGCCTTTAAAAAAACCAGTTGCTTTCAGATTGAGCTCTTAAAAGCACAATTGAGTCCAAAACAAGATTTTCGTCATCAACATTAGCCGTTAATGACTGTGAACAATCATATGCAGCTTTTTGAACTCTGAAGATATTTATCAAATCTGGTGATAAGTTCCTCGATTCCTGAAACATATTTTTATAACGAATCGGAAGAACTTTTGCGAATTTCAATTTTTTTGGTCTTAGAATGTATGCAATGCCATGCTCAGCAGCAAATGCAACAAATGACACCAAGCAACTTCCAAGCCAAATATTAAATCCAAACGAAAGGTCATCAAGGCTCAATACTTTTGGTTCTGCTTCCTCATTCTCGAATTTCCATCGTTTTGTGTAAAAGTTTTCGATCAAATAATCCATAACTCCAGTTGGAATTAAATTGTTAATGGCTCGGTGAAGCATGCCTGCATAAAAACAGGATCCAAAAAATATAAAATTATCGTGAGTCGTAAACAAGACAGAATCAAGTTTATTCCACTCGTGGTTTCTCTGTTTTGAGATTGAGTCAAAGTAATTTGTGAAAATTTCATCGACAATCAGAGCCAACTTAGCTGAAGAGTTCTGCGACTGTGTTGAATATAAGTTGAGGAAGGATCGTGATTTTACAACTTTAACTGGAGGCCTAGAATTTAAATGAATTTTTGAAATTGAGTCGACAATTTTAAGTAAATTAAAGAGTCCATTTAAAAGTGCAAGAACTTAGATACAGCGATCAGTTGCTCACCATATTTTGATCCTTTAAGTATTCCCTTCCCTAACCTTAGGTTATAAGCCATCCTATGTCAATTACTCTCCCATAAACTCCCTAATCCCATTCCTATCTTTATCCTTATCCGTCGCCTACGATTACACCATCAAATGAAGGTTAGAGTATACCTGTATGAATATTAGTAAAAGTAGGGTAGGGTAACATTTGGTAGGATAGAATGGGCGCTGAAGCTGTGAGCAACTGGGCGCTGAAGACTCTAAGTCATGTCTAGGTTGTCCAACCGCGCACTTTTCAGTGGGATATCCGGGGTTTTACAGATCTAAACCTGGGACACGTCCTGCTTTTTGACTAAAAATCTACATAAGCTAATGGATAGCTTATTCATGTCCAGCATCACACAAAGATCTACTATGAACTAAATCATGACCGAGTTACGACACCTATATTGGTTTTTTTGATATTCAACAGTTTACGGCTTTTTAAAGATCAAGCTAGGCACAGACCCAGGGGCGTTGCCAGAAGGATCCTTTATGAACCGCAGTGAGAGCACGATTTAAAACGTTTAGGTAGGGTTACCATCTAATTTTCATGAAAATACAGGACTTTTGGTAAATTTTTTCGAAAAATACAGGACATAGAGTAAAATTCGAAAATTAACGGAAATTCTCATGAAAAAAATACAGTACCTGGAACAAAGTTTTCAAATTTATACAGGACAGGGTTTTGAAATACAGGACTGTCCGTTGTAAAACTACGCAGATGGTCACCCTACGTTTAGGGAGTAACAAGACCTTCTGGCTAAGCGAATCACAGACCTTAAATGACCTTCTATGTCTACATTTAAACTAAGGCAATTACTGAAGTCATCAAAACTTTATTTTGAGGTTATCAAGTATCCAGTCTTCCTACATCCCTGTAAGTGTAGCAATTTACCATTTTTCCAACTCCGAATATTTGTATTTCACTGCAAAAGTTGATGAGACTGTATAAACTGTGTAGCTTCTAGTTAATAAATCCTCAAGTGTCTTTGGTGGTGGCTTTCTAGGCTCACTTGTCATAAACTCAAAGAATTTACTTTGAAAGCAGGTCCGAAAAATCAAACAGAAATAAATGAAAATCAGCAAAATGAATCTCGAAAAGTTCCTGTTTGGCAGTCGAGTCTGTGAAATGCCAAAGAAGATGCTGATGACATTCCAGAATGGTGTGTCCACTTTATGTCCATAAACGAGACTCTGTGCTGATTTTGAGAAATGATTGATGATGAATATTGATAAGAATGTTGCTACAAATGTTGTCAGCACTAAAATCCATGTCAGCATGTCAAACGGAAGGATAAACTTCTCATATGCTGTATATGTCTCAGCCGGTGTCACAAACATCAAAATATTCAAGTTACTTACAACATTTGAGAATGTTAAATAAACATGTCGTATTGTTGCTGGCACAATTTCAAAATAAATATGCGGTTTTTTAAGTTCCTTTCCTTCTAATTTTACAGCCTCAATTGAACTGTTAAATATGTCTCGCATCCAAAATATGCTCATAATGACTGGCTGATAGTCAATTGTAAAATTGTGATTTTTAGAGATAATCCTTAAAATTTCTGGCGAGATGCCTTTAAACTCAATATTCCTTAAATCCTTATCTGATGTCATATATCCTGACATATGTTCAAGAGACTCATCATCTCTTAATGTTGGAAGCATCATGATCAGCTCACAATTGTGATAATTCAAGAACTTTTCATAATATTCAAGTTTCGAGTTCCATTTTTGAGATTTTTTGTTGAAACTATTCAATTTTGACAGTTGAAGCTGATCACAGCCATGTGGACTGAACCACTCGAATGTCGATAGTTGGACTGTGTCTGCCTCATTTGTGATGAATATTAAGTACTCGAATATTGATCCACCAAATGTTGGAATCTTCTGATATCGTTGAAATACTTCCAACATTAATAGCAAGCTTAATTGATCAAAAGTCATGTTCTGGACGAATAAAAAGTGTGTTATCGGATTGTGTCCATCACGGTATATCCTAAATGTCGTGTCAAAGATATCAAACATTTTAGTTGTGTCTGTGAACACTAAAAGTGGACTTAAAGAATTTATTCTGACTCTCAAATGAAAATGAGAATTAAAAACTGAAAATTTTCCATCTGATTTTGACATTAAATTGCTTATAATGTCCAGCAAAAACGTCGATGTAGTCCTTAACATTATAATATTAACGAATTTGAACTTTGTTTTTAGCACAAAGACATTTAAAATTTCATAAAAGACTCTCGATATTGTCTGGACGTCTGGATCAATCTTAATTGTGCCCAATGTTAAAGTTACACTTGCGATTAAACTTAAAATGATGAAATTTCTACAAATTGTCATCTTAAGCTCATTAAAATCTATAAATTCTGACCCAAAAGTCTCAAATGCTGAACAATTCAACCAAATGGCACTTTTAAACTGAAGTCAAGGTATCAAAAAAATCTTCATTTTGTATCGTCTGCTGGTAATTAAATTTAATTAGACTTATTAAAAATATCATGTTAATAAATCACCAAAATTAATGTTTTGGTCAACGTTACACTGCCAGAACGGGAGTCAGAAAACAACTTAAGTCAAATCCTAATACAAAATTTTTATTACTCCTATTGTAGGTATGGCTTGAAGAGCATATCAACAGTAGATAGGCCTGAGCATAGGGCTCAGGTTGAACTGGTTTTATGTGTATGACGGATAGCCGAAGTGAGATAAGTACCTCAGTGATCGAGTGGCAGGGATCTCTGATCGAGTGGTCAGAGATTGCTTCTTTTGAGGTCGTGAGTTCGACTCCCATCAAACCCGACTGGTTCCACATTAGTATACACATATGGCAGTTGCCTTTGACGCTCAGGTGCGTAATAAATCGGACAACTAGAACCTTGGTACAAGAAAAGCTGATCAAAACTTTCCTTCAAAGGCTGCCAATTTTTGATTCAGCTCTAAATGACAAAAAATCTTCGATTCAGCACTGAATGCTTCAAAGTAGTTGGTAAACCAATGCTACCCTTTCAGCCAAACTCATAAATGAAGGTAACCCGAATGGCACAAGTCGGTTAATCGAATAGAAATCCGGTGCCCAGCCGTCATAACTCTGGCATGGTGTTGGCTTTAATTTAAATCCAGCACCATGCCATAGTCACACCAACTTGGTGCCGGATTTCTGATCGATTAACCGACTTGTGGAATTCGATAAGGTATAATTTATAACTCCTGATCCTCCTCCGTTAAAGTTTGCAGTTCATTTTCCAACCGATTTTATCTCAGTTGTATATTCAATGGAAGATGAAGAAGCACAAGCTGCTTCTGTACTTTTTAAATGAACAATTACAAAAAAAGACGAAGAAATTTTCTTCTTTAACTTCTTATTTTATAAATTCGTGCTTTTCATTTCTAAGAAAGAAAATAAACGCTGAAATTTGTTTGCCTAACAACTTTCTTGCTTAACAGATTCAAGTAATTGTGGACAATTTGTTTATTTTAAAAGGTACAGCAGTAATAAGACTGCAGGTGGGTGTTGATTAAATGAGGTTAAAGATAAGACAGCGTGAATTTTAATTGTTTTAATTAGCTTCAAGGTTGTTGGTTCTTTATTCCTCTAAAGAATCTCTTCAATGTTTCAGTCTCATCATTCAGAAATCCTTTTAAATTATAGCTTAATGCTTCCGTCACGTTCAACACACATCAAAAAAAAAATCCAATTTATTTCCAAACTCATCAATTTAAATCGACAAATTTTGTTCTATACATCTCAGCATTATAAATCCTCTGCCTTACATTTCCATGAATTTTGTAATAAAAAATTTATTTTGTGCAAATTTGAATATGATGAAATTCGCTTTCTTGGAACCAGAACCATATTGAGATTCTTTTCTTTTACGATGTAATGAATAAAATTTGAATAAATCAAGTAAAGATGAATGAATAATGAAGAATATTTTTACTTTAGATTCTTTTTTGGTTCCTGCGTAGTTTTGAAAGTTCAGGTGCCTTCACACTTTAATTCATGAAGTTCAGGTGCATATACATTAGAGTTTTGATTTTAAGGTGCCTTTAAATTAAAAATTTTAAGTTAAAGGTGCATTCACACTAATTTTTCGAGATTCAGGTGCCTTTACAATAGAATTTTTGTAGTTCAGGCGTCTTCACACTAGAATTTCGATGTTCAGGTGCTGTTGCACAAGCATTTTTATAGTTCAGGTGCATTCACATTAGTTATTTTGGTTAGGTGCCTTCACACAGATTTTTTTTTATTCAGATGGCTTCACACAAGAATTTTGAGGTTAGTGTCCCCTAAAACTAGAATGTCGATCTTCAGGTGCATAAAAAGTAAATTTTTGCAGTTCAGGTGTCTTCACATTTGAATTTTCGAATCTTTTAGTGTCTACACACTAGCTTGATTGGACCTTTTAATGAACTAGCAATGAAAAAAAGTGAATAGCTCATTAATTAAGCCATGAATAGAATTTACAATTTTCTAATTAATGCACCATTTCAGTTACTTTACAGCAGTGATGGACAGTTTTTTTTGAGTCACAACACACCATTGGGGTAATCCATGTCCAAAACCGCACACGGTACACGGTTCGTAGGAGTTTTCGAATTTACGATCCACTAGAGTGCCGCGGCACATGGGTTGGTCATCACTGCTTTATAGCATAGTAATAGAAAATAACTATAATAACAATAAAGTTCCAACAAAACCACATTGCCATGACAAAAATACAAGTCCAAGTCTTAATTTAATTAATCAAATGTCCATTTCATCATGATAACAGCTTCATATGCTTCCTATTTTTAAGTTCGTTCGTGCTAGCCTTGAATGTTTATTATCACATAACTACAGCTACTCACGATAGCTAACAGTTACTTAATGTAATTGGCAACACGGTCTGTTATCAAAAACATAAGTTTTACGAATAATTGTGCATTATTTTTGGAAATTGGTCGTAAAATCTTTATTGTTGGAACTAGTCATATGGTTAAGAATAAAAGCTTTTTTTATGGGGTTGTTTAATAATGACGTCCTACACATAGGGAAAGGGGGTCTAGGATTTTGTGATCATTCAAATAAAGGTAATTTTTTTTCATGTTTTTTTTTTGAAATCTAGTTTTTTCATAGACGTCATTTATGAACAGCCCCCATTTCACAATCATTAGCCATTAATGGTGTGATTTCGGCCATTTAAGTAAGAATCGAACCAACTTCTTCGCCAAAATATAGTTACAGATGCCCCATCAGCTTCCTAATTATTCGGTTGCAGCAACCTAACCTCAAACTGTGGCAAAATTTTCATCAATGTAGCTTGACAACCCAAAGTTTCATATTAACAGAAAAGATCAATCACAACTCATTCCTATTGAGGCATACCTCAGCATTTGATATTTAATTGATAAAAAACGCAATCTTAAAGTCATTCCTTACCTTTATTTATTGTTGAGAGCATTCCTGGTATTTCCATGAAAATAATCTTTGGTATTTCCTCTGCTTTTGATGTTGATATTTATTGAATCATGCTGCTTATAAATAAAAATTCCATACTTTGTTCCTCACTCCCCAGACACACATTTTTGCTTCTTATTAATAGAAAAAAATAGCTTTCATGTAATTTATGACTCTTTTGTAAGCTTCTTGAGAGCTTCTTTTGTTGCTGTTGTAGGTGTTGTTAAGATTTGATTCTTTTGGCTTTTGTGGGAAGTTCTTTGAGATTTTTTTTTTGACAAAGGATTTAAAAATAGAAATGTTTGTGGAGATTTTGTTACTATTTTTAGTAAATATGACGTAGCTAAGTGATTGTGAGGGTTGTAAAGAAGTTTGGGAGACTAAGTTGAGCTTTTTGAAGCTGAATGGAAACAATTTCAAATTGTGTTGGTTTGATAAAGCTAGGAACTCTAATGAGAGTCATTCAGAACCCAAATTAAAGCTTATCTGATTCCTAAAGGGTTTTACATCTCAAATTCTTCTTTAAAGACGACAAGCCAGTCAAAATCCAGCTTAACAGTCAAACAGAACTTGAATGTGTCCCTATTCCTGTAAAAAAGCTTAAAAACTACAACCTTAGCTGCTATCTCAACTCCAACTTTCCTCTATAAAATTTCCATAACCTTACACAACAAATTGAAGCTTTAATGAGCTTCCACTAATAAAAATTGATTAAAATTTGTTGCTCTGTTTACAGACACTTCCATCTTCGTCCATATTACAAGATTTAATGGATTAATGTAAATGAGAATCACAACAATTGTGAATAAAAAGTTCAAAAAACTCATTCAAATTGTGACATCGAGATGACCTCAGCCTTGTCATTGAAATTCTTATTTATCTTGAGAAAAAAATTTGCATTTGAACAAACAAAAGCAGCCATAAATCCTCGCAACTTTCAACACCTTCGGCTTGTGGGAAAAAATTCTCACCCTTGAAAAATTGAAAAACAATTTTTGTTTGTTTTGATTAATTTTTTTTTCCTGTCGCACATTTGCACGGGATTTTTCATGGAACTGCCAACTTGTGTGGATGAAAAATATTATTTTTAATATTTGAAAAGTTTTTCTCACGAGAGTTTTTTTTAAATTATTTCCTGATTAAGCTTAGTTTGACGTTACTGAGCTGTTTATTTAAGGATAATTAAGGAACTTTAAAAACTGGAATTTTCAGATCCTCAACGAATTGTCACAAATTTTCTATGAAAAAGAAATTTTTTTTATTTAAATTTTCACGAAATTTCAGAGCTTTCAATCCGCCCCGCCCGTCCCTGCCTTCAATATAAATAAATTTCAAAAAACTTTTCCAAAACTTCTTGAAAATTAGAACAAGACGATTATTGAGAACTTCACAAGATTAATCTAAAAACTCTTCAGAGACTTGAACATAAAATTTACTTTTTATCACAAAAAGCACTCAAAGCTTCTTTGCCGGCTCATCAAAAATTGATCTGAACTTTTTTTCAAATAATTTTAAAACAAAGAAAACCTTTAAGAAAATTATTCTTCAAAAATATTTTTAAATTTTTGCATTTTTTTATGTCTGAAAAAAATTCTTTTTTTACCCAAAAATCTCGAAAGTTTCCATTTTTTCTGATAATTTTCACTTAAAATTATCAAAATTTTCATTCAAATTCATCTTAAAATCACCAAAAATTCACTTTTATTTCACATTTTTTCAACACCCTTGTCTACAATCACAAAATAAAAAGAGGAATAAAGTCACCCGAACTCTTCTTAACCGCTTAAAAATACGAGAAATTATCTTTTTTGATATCTTAAGTCACCGACGGATGAAGAAAATCTGACAGACTTTTCGATATTTTGAATCCTTTTTAATCCTCGCGAATTTCGAAAAATTTCCACGCAATTGTTTTGTTGCTCGAATGTTTTATTGAGAATTGAGAGCGAAAACATTGTGACGTCATTAATGCCGGGAAAAAATTGTAAATTGAGAGAAAATGCAGGAGTTGTAGTGCTTCATGCTCAACATAAGTGGGTCAATGACCTAATTTGCAGTTTATTTGTTTGTTTATAAATTTGGAGGTTAAAATTTACTAAAATACTGATTTTAGCTAACATACTTGAAAAGAATCAAGAAGTTATTTTTTTTTAAATTATCACGGACAGAACTGGTTCTTCGACTCAAGAATGGTTCATGATCGACTTCATGGTTCTGCATAGGGTTGGGATCATGGTTCAAACTGTCATTGGATTTGTACTTTTTAATACTTGATGTTGAATCTTCATTTTTATTAGCCTCAGCCCTAGATGTTGGTCCAAATGACACTGGCGAAGACATTGATGACTCAGCTAGAAATGTGACCTTAACTTTTGTAAGAAGGAAGAATGAGGAACTAATGGAACAATTGGTAAAGAGTTGCTATTGATTATTTGAATTACTGACTCGATTTTAAGTCTAAAATATGTCAGCACTAGCCAGTTTTTAGTTGCTCAGCCAAGAGGGGGCTTCAAGGTCAACCTCCCTCCCCCTATTTTCAGAACTTGGTTTACACTAAAGATTATTTTTAGATCCGAACCCAAAAAAACGTCGAAAAATGCAATCCAACTTTAAAAATTGTTACCAGATACGCCCCTGGTCTCAGGTAACTCAAGGAACCGATCTTAGATCAGCGTAAGTCAAAACTGTCTTAAAATCGACACGACACTGGTTTTATGACTTATTTGTTGATTTTACATGTTGTGTGTCACTTTCAAAAGCTCAAAACTTACCAACCATTACAGCATAAAACATTAATTTGAAAAATTTCTTAACTCAACTCTTCAAAAACAAATCAGAAAGGAAACGTGAAATGTTATGTATGGACAGATGGATTTAAGGGTCTTATGGGATTTTTTTTCTAATAACCCTAGCAAAATTAATTAAATTCGACCCAAACCCCTCACTCCTGGCTACGTTGGACATGGAGCGACATGGAGCAAATTGATATAAATTAAGAATTTTGCCTCAATTCCTTCCAGGGGCGTAGCCAGGGGGGGGGGGGGCATAGGGGGCCCGGGCCCCCCCTACGAAAATCTGATAATTGTTTTATTAAGTATAGAGAAGAACCAGTTAATGTAGAGGAAGTGATGAAAAAAATGTCAAAATCAGCACGAAAAATTAAATTGAATGTATGAATAATGAATTAAATATTTAAACGTATGAAGAATGAATAAAGATTAAAAGATACAAAATAACATTTATTTTAATTTTCGAAAATGGGCCCCCACTTAAAAATTTTCTGGCTACGCCCCTGTTTGCTTCATTGTGCGTACGCTCCCGCTCTTTTTGAGCAACATCAAAACTCAATTCATTCGATTCTCATGCTTCTCTCGATATTCTTTTAAGGATTTATCAAAAAGTAATATAATTTTCTCACAACAGCAATGGGGCTGTTCATAAATGACGCATATCAGAAAAATGATTTTTTTTGTCCCCTCTTCCCTCCTACTTGTCACAGAGTTGAATCAAATTTTGAACTTTAACTTTATCTTTATTTTTGTCGTAATTTATTAACAGCCCCTTAAGAAATACTCAAATTTAATACATTCCAGCATCATCAAATTTTTTAAAATAATTTTTTTTCACAATTCAAGTAAATCCGTTCAATTGGCATCAAGTTTTAGGCAAAAAAAAATGCCAGCAATTATTAAAAAATTGTTTGTTAAAAAGTTTTTCATTTGGGATTTGGAAAAAGGCAATAAATATTTTGGATTGATTCAGATTGGCGTGGCTTCAATTCTAATTTTAGGCTGTATTAGTTCAATTTTTATGGACGTTGATGTGACTTACGTTAATCTAGATGGAAAAACTGAAATAATGAGCAGAACATATAAAATTTGTAAGTTTATGAAGCAAAATTTGATGTTTGAAAATCAAAATTAAATGATTGATTTTTATTTTTTAGTGTGCTGCATCGTTGCCGTAATAATTTTGGTTGGATTTGTGTACGTTTGCTTTCAGTTTGTGCGTGGAATTGATGTGGTGAGTTCTCCCTTCTCCCCCCCTCCTCATATCATTTTTGTTTGTTCCTTTGGGACTCATTCCATTATTTTGACCCCTCCTCATTTGGTAATTTCCTATCAAGTTGTTTTCCCCGTAAGCTTAAACCCAGCTGCAGGCAAATCAATCTAATTCTAATTTCTTCTTTTCTTTCACAGAAAAATCACAAGAAAATGAAATCTTACATAGCATTCAGCATGACAACAATGATTTTATGCTTTTTGGCGGGAATTTCCGGAAGCTTTTATTTTCTCTTCTATTTTGGACTTCAAGTTTATTTGTTCATTTGTGGAATTTCATTATATTTTATATACTCAGGCCAATCATCGGATCAAGCTAATGTATAAAGCATAAATCTAATAATTTATTATGTTTAAGTCTGATACGAACAATTCATGTTCGACAGACTTATCGAAAGTCTAGGGGAGTTATAATATGCACGTTCGAAAAGTTTAAATTTGAAAAAAACCGTTACAATTTTGTTGATTTTATTGTAGTTTTTGATCGTTTTGAAAAAGATTTATCTATATTATGCTTATCCTTAAATGACTACATAATATTTTCATCTAAATTTCATATAAATCTTTCTTAATTTAAGTTTTATTTTTTTCCTAATTTTCGAAAATTTCGAACTGCAGGGTATGAAACTTCGAATTTTGTATGGCAGACAGACAAATAAGATATTTTCACAAGTTTTCTTGGAAACTGTAACGGTCGAAACCATCGAATTGTTCGTATCAGGTTTAAGTGTCCTCATGTCAAATAATATTAAATTTCTCAACTCTACACTGCATAGTTTAGATAAGCGATGGTCAACCTATGTGCTGCGACACACTTATAAGTAGTTTCATGAGAGTTTTCTGTTATGGATTTTCACGAAGGTGATTTGCTTCCCAAAAAAGGTTGACTAGCACTGGCTCAAGCACAAGTCGGTTAATTGAATAAAAATCAGGCACTAAAGTGTGATGGCATGATGCTGAGTTCGATTTAAATCCAGCACAATGCCAGAGTCACATCGGGTTGGTGCCAGATTTCTGATTGATTAACCAACTTGTTCCATTCGAGGGGCTTTTTTTGTGGTTTGTGTGACTTTCTAAATTTACAGCTGAATTCATTTTTAATAAGGGCAATTCCATGAAACGATTTGTCTACAAATTTTTCTCCAAATTGATTTTTACATGTTTAGACTATTCTACTGCAAATAAGCTTTTCGTAGGTCATTTAAAACATCATTTTCTATTTAATTGACTGAAATTTGCTTACTTATAGTGGTTAATTAAAGAATTATTTCAATTCTTTTGGCGTTACTTAGTAACACAATCAAAGAAAAAATAATTTGGAGACTCACTTAAAGCGATTTTTCTTTCCTATTCGCAGTTTGTTAATAATAAAGACCATCACAACTCAAAGATTGATTATCAAGCTACCAAAATCTAGCATTTAATTAACTCAAAATTGCTTAATTAAGCTACAATTTTAATTTCTATGTGACTTAAAAAGATGTTACTAAGTAACGGAGAGATTTATTCCGTGAAAAAATACAGAATTCAAAATTTTAAAATTCTATTTTTTCAATGTTTTTTTCATTAAAGTAATGTTCAACTAATTAGAATTACTCATTTTAGGATGAAAAATAGTTTAAGTTGAGTAAAACATTAAGAAAATAAGAGGACAAAGAAATATTTGAAAAATAATATTTCTTACTTAATAGACTTGGATCAAACTCAAATGTAAACAATGAAACTATTTCATGGAATTGCCCATAAATAAGAGCATGACATGCTGATTGCATAAACTAAGGCAAACAAGAATAAATAAATTCTTAAAAAATGCAAATTCTCTTCTCTCACAGCTTGAGCTTATAACTTAGTTGAAAATATTTCTTACATTAATTAATTGCAGTTGTTCTTATTCACACAAATAAAACAAATCGTGTCGCAAACTCAGCGAATTTTAATAATTAAATTCGTATAAAAATGGATCGAGTTTTGGTGAAAAAAGTTTTCTGCTGGAACTTGGAAGATGAAATAAAATTCTTGGATGGGTGCAGATTGGTCTGGCAATTTTTTACATTTTTAGCTTCATTAATGTGATTTTTACGGGCAGAAAGGTTGAAAATATTGGAAGATTTTACACTATTGGGAAAGTTTTAAGGTTTTTCTGTATTAGAAAGTTATTAATTTATTGCCTTTTTAGTCATTTGCATCATTTACATCCTTTATTTGATCTACTTTATATATGTTTGTTACCAATCCATAATTGCTATCAAAATGGTGAGTTTAAAGATGGTTTCTGTACCGGTGTACATTGAAAAAAAATCAAGAAGTTGAGTCGACTCGGTTTCGAGTCGACCCTATTGACCTTGAGCTCTGGATTTGCGTCGACAACCACTACGACTTATAATCTAATTTGCCCAAAAGAGGACATTTAAAGAGTCTAATTCAACCTTCATTGCTCCATCAAAGCACAACCTTGTCATTTTAAAATTCTGCTATCAAAATGGTGACTATCCTGCAAGCTGGAAAAGTTAATTTTCTTTAATAAACACAAAAAATCCCCAAATATCTTGCTTTTAGATTGTAAAGAGCATCTACAGCTGATAATTATGCTCTTAGAATTTTCTCTTAAATCATTTTCTCTCTCCGAGAACATAAAAAAGACTTGTTGATCTTCATAATTCAAATCTGTGGCTATTAGTCTACAATAATCATTCATTCTATGAAGCTGTTCATCATGTTGCGTGCCTTATTAATAATTTTATTATCACAAAGTTGTTTGTCACATGAAATAAGTGTCGAATGTGAAAGTGACACAGTCGGAATCATTTGTATATTTCCAGATAATGTGGTGTCAAATTCAAGGCTGGAAATTACGTTTGTTATCACATCCAATGGACTGTCGAGTGGTGAAATCGAAAGTGAAGCGATTGTCGAGTTTGTTGTTAAAAATTTGACTGAATTTGTGCCGGAAAAAATTGGCAAACATTTTAAAAAAATTGAAAATTTAGTGATTCATTCGTCAGCCTTAAAATTCATCAATCGGTCAGATTTTGCAGACAATTTAACACAACTGGAAGTGCTGAGTTTATTTAATAATAAAATTGAGACAATTCCACATGATGCATTCTATGATTTACCTCTGTTAAGGCATTTGGACATCGAGAATAATTTAATTAAATTTTTGGAACCAGAATTGCTGTCTCATTCAATTCATCTTCACGTCTTTGCCGCCGGCTCTAATTTAATTGAGGAAATTCATGAAAATTTCTTCGCTCATAACTCAAAATTGTGGAAAGTGATGCTCAACGACAACCAAATTGTGGACTTTAGACACAATTTTCAGAAGAGGATTAATAACTCTGAAAATATCCGATATTTTGATCTCCAACATAATCCTGGATTGGAGTGTCTTAAGCCTTTAAACCTTGACATGAATGAGCACGTGAGTAGTGTTAGAATCAAATTATTTGGGTTTCAATATGAAATTGATGATCGATGCACTGGTGAATATGATTAATTAGTTAAATGTATGTAATTCAGTGGTGCACAACCTTTTTTGGGACACGGTACACCTTTATGGTAAGCCATGACCAAAACTACACACCGCGTATGGTTTGTGGAAGTTCTGGAGTTTTATCGTGGCACATTGGTTGACCAACACTGAACTAGTTTATAAGAACTCAAATAAATTGTATTTTACTAGAGTTATTTAAGGCTATGACCTCTATAAATCAGTGAAAATAACCAAAGACATACAAAATTAAGGGAATGTTCATAAATGACGTCTAACGTTTAAAGAAGGGGGAAAAGGGTTGGTTTGAAGCTTTAGTGAATGATAAAAGCTTCACGATTTGGCCGGGACTGGTAGATGGGAGAAAGAAGTATCTTTTGGACAGCCCCATAAATAACTTAGACTTACATTATCACTAAGTTGTTACAATAAAATACTCAGAATCGAATTTATAAAAAATAAAATTAAATAATTTTAAGGTTGTGATGAGATTAAAAACTTTAAAATTATAATTATGCTGCTTGTGATACTTAAAGAAATTTAACGCTTAGCATTTAAATATAAGTAAAGTTGTAAAGTTTTCAAACAATAAAATCAAAGAATATTTTTTAAAAAAATAAAATAATTTTGTTTAATTAAATGTGAAAAACAGCAGCTGTATTTTGGGTATTTTTTATAGAAGCTTTAATCAATTTTTTTCGACATCCTTTTGATAGTTTAAAATTCCTAGAAATAAATCGGCAAAAACATTTTGTTTATCTAGGAAGTAAAAATATGTTTTAATTCAACAGATTTCTAGCAATTTTGATATCAAAAATCTGACATTGCATTCTCAAAAATCCAATTTTGTCGCATATTCTCACAATTCAAAAGAAAACAAAACATTCAGCTATGAAAATGGTGAAACATGCTTGAATTATCAGTTAAATTTGTTTGTCCAAAATGTTTCATGAATGCTCAAAAGTTAGATAAACTCAATAAGCTAGTTCATTTGTTGATAAACTAGCCACACAGATTTCTCATGCATACAATGTGACAGTATCGCTTTATAAGTTGTAAATTAGAAGTTTGTTGCCAGTGATGTCATGTTTAGCGGCAGCTCCTAGTAACCAGAACTGGAGGAATAGCTAGAAATTTTTCGTGAGGAATGTCTTTGAATTTTTGCAAAATCTCCTTTCAAGTTGAGGAAATTGCTCTAAATATTGGGAGGAAGGTTGATCCTAAACCACATCTCATTGCCTGTAACAATAAAAGTTGCTTTTAAGGATGGTTCAGACTAGTCTTAGCAGGGGAGTGGCCAGGAATTTGAAGAAGGAGGACAAAATAAATTTTATGCGGAAAATTAAGGGGGGGAGGGGGGGGGGAGTATTTTTAAGATTTTTTCATTTAGAAACCCTGCAAAATTTTGGGGATTTGTCACCCAAATTTCAACCACACCCACCTCCCCCCCCCCCCCCCCCCCCTCCCTCCCGGCTACACGCCTGAGTCTAAGTTATTTTTTAATAATACTGGGGAAAGGTTTGAAGCTTTCCAAAAGCTTTACAGCAATAGAATTTTATTTATTGATTTACAAGACATCATTTACAAATGACCCCCGATAATGACTCTTTGTATTATTTGCTTAGGGGCCATTCACTTATTACGCATTTTTGTTTTTTGCTGATTGATTAATTTGACTTGACATTTTATATATTTTTGTAATATGGCATAATTTGTTATCATTTCAAAACATAATACCTTTTTGAGGCTATTTTTTAAAATTCTAGCAGGATTTTTAAACAAGGCAAGAGAAAAATGAATTTTGAGAAATGAGGACGGATTGAAATTTTTTTACAGAATTTATTTTTTTTAATGGATCAGGGATGAAAGATTGTTGTAAGGAGCCTGAGTCAAGCATTGATGAGGGGTTCAGGATTTTTTACGTTTCATGTCAGAGGGGCAATCATGTTCGATCTTTTAAGATAAAAATATTAAACCATTCATAAAAAGTAAAGCATAATTTTACTGGATCTTATTTTTTTGTTCCGAACATGATTTGAACATGAATTCACTGATTTATGTCAGAAAACTATGCATTTATTGTTTATTCACATCTTTAACAGCAACTGATCCTAGTTACATTATTGTCTAATACTTGGAATGAATTGAAATTGTCTTTTATATAAATATTAACTGTAATGGGATGTACTGTACAAAAAACGTCTTCTCCTTCTTTTGCTAAAATTCTAAAATTTAAAAAAAATCAAAAATTGACATCTTAATTTAAAAAATTTAATTTAAAATTATTATTATCATTATTTTTATTCAATTATTATTTTCAAGAAGGAAAAGCCACCTGAAAAGTATTTAAACTATTTCAAGCGGCATAAAAACCTTCATTACTCATTAATTAACATTTAAAAGAATTAATATAAGTTCAATGATATAAAAGAATATCGGTAAAGAACTTAATACTAAAGGAAACATTATTTAAAGCTTTAACGGTTTTATCATATTTGAAATTTGGTGTACTAGAGAAGTGAGTGTGTCTCTGCTATAGTTTTCTAAAGTTATGTAACGTTGCTAAAATATTTAAAATTGTAAACAAATAATCAATAATTCAAACTTTAAAATACTTTACCAAGAATCAAGAAAAATTTGTTCATATTTTATTGGCAAGATTAAAGTGTCGCATGTTTACGATTTCTTGGGTTAATTAACATTTAAATAAAAAGATTCAAAATAAAAAATTTCTTTCAGAAAACTCAGATTTATTCTCAAAATTGACTTATCAGTGCGAACATATATGATGAATAAAACAAAATCTGTAAGTGCGGAAATGTGGAATAAAAAAATTTAGAAACTCTTAATTAATTGGACGAAGAACTGAAAATCTCAACTTTTGAGGTTAGACTTGGAAGTCCTGAATTTTTTTGAATTGCAAAATTTAAATCCCAACAAGAGTTTAGACCACAATTTGAAGCTTCTAACATTCAACAAGTTAAGTCAGTGGCCGCAGAGAACCAACAAAGTTCCCTATGCAACCAAAATCAATTAAAATTGAACGTTTCGACCATCAAAAATCTTTGCAACGCTACTGCGCAGTTGTCTTTTACTGATCCATATGACAATTCATCTTACTTATCACAAATCATTTGTCAAAGCAGTCTCACTTTGTGAACATTTACACATCGAGTGAAAATCAATTGCTTCCAAATCTCAGCTGATGATAACATGCTTAATCTCAGTCTGTAAGATTCTCTCTTTCTAAAATTAACGCCCTCTCAGAGAGAGAGAGAAATAGCTAAGATTTGCCGGTACATCTTGTTTATTAAAATGTTTTCATGCATTCAGTAATAAAAGATATCAAAAATGTTGTTTCCCGCATTAGTGAATCAACGGCTGGAGAGTTAAGATCAAGTTTTATTTTACTCTGCGTGGTGTTGAAAATAAATTTGTTTTATTAATAAAAAAAGTTTTGTGATCTTGAAGATATTTTTTTGAGGTATTTAAACTCTTTTTGGATAGCGTTTGTTTGATTTTGATGTTGTTTAGAAGGTTTTTTTGATGAGATTTTTGTTATTTTTGGTTTAAATTTGTCAAAACTTCTTTTCAAATGCAACACTTTCTAAGCAACTTGTGTTTTTGGTATTGGTTTTAAGTGCTTGGAGTTGGTTTGTAGAGAATCATACTCAAAAATCCATAGTTCGAAGATTTTCATCAATTTTGTTTGGCGGAGTCGACTCGACTCTATACAAAATTTCATCAGCTTCGAGCTCTACTAAAATCGCATCCAATAAACGTTTCTTGAGCTTCAGCGGCCCTCACATTATCCTTAAGTTAAACACAAAATAAAATAAAAATTTGACCAACACTGCCTTAGATAAATCCTTGTGTTTATCATAATGAATTACATATGACTGCAAACTTTTTATGGTGTAATTCACTTCAATCAAGTAATACATAATCCAGGTGTCCTATTGCGCATGATAACATTGTTGGATCTTAAAAGCATTATTATAAATTTTGGTAAAACCCTCTTCGACGTCATTTGGTTTGTTTTCTTGGAAGATCTTTTTGACAAAATAATTTTTCATTTTTCATCGACTCAAAAAATTACTAAGAGTTTGTTACATATGCTGAAGATACACGTCAACAATCGTGACCCTGCAATCAATGTCTTCTTGTAACAATTTATCAATCAAAACCTGTTAATTTTATAAATTTGCAATCAAGTCAATTCGATAAGGGGCCGTTTATTTATAACTTCTATCAAAAAATCTTGTTTTTTAGAACCCCCTTCCCCCTCTCTGTCACAAAACTGTCACAGATGTTAATCCCCCCCCTCCCCCCTTGTGACGGCCAATCCAAGACACAAAATAATAATACTTCCTGATTAAAAAATTGGGTGTCACAAATTTCCTGATCCCCCAATTTTTTGATCCCCCCCTCCTAAATATTGGACGTCATAAGTGAACGAGCCCTAGCTGCCACCATTTTTTTTTTATCAAATTAACGCTCGTAGAGCATTTCGAGCTATGGCGAAATTCGCCGCTTCAAATTATTTTTATGAAATACATTTTAATTAAAGAAACACTTGCTTTGTTGTTCTTATCAATTGACTTAGGGACAACTTATATGATATTATTATAATTGAATGCAAAACTTGCTGGTTTATTGACTTAAGACCCCCTTAAATGTGATGAGATGATGGAATTTGGTTAATATTAGACTCTTGGAAAGATAACCTAAGCTTGAAATTCCTTGAACAAGAATCGATCTAGACTCAAAGTAGGGTTGACCAAAGCATGACCTAAGTTTGACATAAAGACTACTAGGACAAATCTAGACTTACCTTTGGAGTTGATTAACCAATCAATTGACCTTTAACGTGCCTCTGCAATTGCCTTGTCTCCACCATATTAAAACGACCTCCGACCTACCGAACCTCTCGAATTTCTTATTTTCAGCCATCCCTAAACATCCAAACAAATCATAAAAAAGCCCTTCAAAATCAATATTTACTCTCCTAATTATCACCTGCAGTCAGCAATGAATCTCCATCATCAACAACATCTCCTGCCCATCACAATAATTCTATTATCAACTAATATTTTCCCATCGTTTACTCAGTCTGTCGATGACTCAATTCATGACACAATCTACGATGGATGTGGTGACTATAAACAATGCTTTGGGCATGGATTTAGTGAAGATTGTGTTGACAATCGTGATTGCTTGTCAGTTGGAACTGTTTATAAGAAAGGTAAGAAAAAGTTTGAAAATTTATGGGATGTTGATGCATAAAGCGCATTTTTTGGAGATTTTATAAAAAAAAACTAAAATTTTCAGGAATTGACTATATTTTCGAGATGAAAGGACAGAAAGGGAATGGTTATGTTGCTGCTGGACTATCTACAGATGGTAGGATGGGCGATGATTTAGTTGTTGAATGTGTTGCGAAAGGAAATGAAGTCAAGAATTACATGTCATATACTGGACTTTTTGACGTATCTAGGGATGGAGTTGTGAGTTGTTCTTTATAAACTAGCCTTTCCCCATTCCTTAGGAGACTAAAGCTAATGGAAAGCTTACTTAAACCTAACCTTTACCTAGCCTGTATCTAACCTGTATCTAACCTAACCTAAAATTAACCTTCAAAACCTGAATTTCAGCCACAAGACACAGCAAAACTTATCACAAGCTACATCATAGACAACACAATCTACTGTCGAGTTGCATGGCCAGTAGTGTCACAAGTCAAAGCCTTAACATTCGATCTGACTCAATCAGATTATCATGTGCTGTTTGTTGGTGGAGCTGTTAAAAGTGATTACTCACTAGACTACCACAATGTCAAGTTTTATTCACCGTCTGCTGTTAAGTTTTCAGCATTAAAAGATACAAATGATAGAAATGTAAGGAGGAAAAGAAGTTCATCAGACGATATTTATGAAGAATGTAGGAATTCAGAGCATAATGGCTGTTTTGGACTTGAGGATAATTGTGTAGATAACGAAGCGTGTTCAGCTATGGCTGTTGTTAATCAGCATGGTGAGTGAATTTTTTATTCGTAGAAATTTAATTTATAGCTGCTGTGGTTTATGAGGGTTAAAAATGGAACAAGGAGCTGTGAACTAAGATCGAACGGCTGTCAACTGGCTCAAAGAGCTGTAAACTGGTGCAAGAGGCTGTCAATTGGCACAAGAAGTTGGAAACTGGTTCGAGCAGCTAGGTATCGACTCGAGGGTTTAGATACTGAGTCTAGGGGCTTGAAACTTGCGCAAGGGACGAAAAATGTCTCAAGGGGATGTTAACTGAGTCACTGAGATGTCAACTGTCACGTGGGGCTGAATACTGGCTCGAGGGGCAGTAATTGGCTGCTGAATGAACCAAAATCTGTAACTTTACTAACTTTAGCAATGTTTTATTTTTCACAGAGGACATCCAAACCTTTCAACTCGTGTCATTCATTGGATTTAAATACATTTCTCTAGGCTTCTCTGAGCAAAGCACTATGGAAGATGATGATTATGTCTTCGAATGCATCAACAATGGAGGTAAAGTGAATGCATTTTTCTCAAGGTACAGCACAAGGAGTCTGGTAAGCATCAATGAAAAATTCTTCTTACTTAACCTGATTTTTTACAAGTTTTTCCAGGATAAACAGCCAGCAATGACACTCAGAAGCAGTAGTTTAAGTGACAAAAGACTTTACTGCCTCATTGACTTCAACAATACGTCCAACATGACAAGTATCAGTTCTATTAATAAAAAGAGATTTTTCTCATTATCAGCTGGACATGACCCACAAGAGAAAGTTGAATCTAAGCGAGCTTCGTTGGTTCGAATTAGCCTATTAGATGCTGTGCATTGTCAACATTATTCCCGGTGCATTATAGAAGATGCTTTAGGAAATGGTCGATGTTCAGGAAGGATGTTTGGTTTGCTGTGAGTTGATTTGTTGGGATTACATTTGAGTGACTTGGTGATGGGGCTACAATAAATGATGATTAATAGATTTATGTTGGGTTTACAATGTCAGATGAGATTGATGGGTTTACAGTGAGTTTAAAGGAGTCCATTTTGTTGGGTTTACAGTGATTTTTTTGGAATATTTTCCTAAACTTTGCAATTAAAATGCAAAATCTTTCAAAAATAATTTTCTTACCTTTCCAACAGATGCATCTGATCCTCAACTATTCAACATTAATCCTAAGTAGCATTGTATTTGGAATCATTTTATATGATCGCGGTGGTTTTGTAGATCCAAATCCACATTGGATTTTCGCTATTGTTGCTATGATCTTCTGTCTTGGACAGTTTGTTTATGGACATCTTAGGTATTTAAATGTCTAAATTGAAAAAAAAATCTAATCAAATCGAATGTTCAATTTTTTGCTTAACATTCTAGACCCCGTCCATTCACAACAGCACGCGAGTACTTTAAACTATTCCACTGGTTCGGAGCAAATATGACGCTAATGTTTGCGACAGCTGCTGTATTCTTTGCAATACCACAGCCTAAAGCAGAACTTTCTAAAAGTTCAGCTTGGTATTTTCTCCTTTTTGTGATTAATTTTGTAGCTACTCATGGATCTTTGTATGTAAGTAGACGCCAAAAACTTGACACAAGATTGCAATCGATTGTGAATCTATTCAAAAATCATCAAAACATGTTTGATCAGTCTAGAGGCCGGTTTTAGGGGTTCCTCGGGGCATCCTAGAGAGGGTAGGGTAGGATATCCTATGTAAATCTACCTATCCGGGGTGCGATAAGGAAGGTGCCTCGAGGAGCCCTAGAAACCGGCCACAGAGCCTCATTTATAAAGAAATCAAATTAATTATATTTCTAGCTTGTTGCTTATTACCAAAACCGATCACCATTGGCTGAGTTGGATGAAGTTCCTAATGATCAAATGACACCAGAACAGAAGAAATATTATAGGGTAAGCGGTTCATGTTATTTATTTAGGGATCATCAATAAATGACGTCACAAAGTTAAGTGAGGTGAAGGTATTTAAAAATATTAAATTAAGTCTTAACTTGAAGTGTTAGACTGCACCGAGAGCACGGTTCAAAAGTTTTAGGGGGGTCCAGACCCTCGGGGGGGGGGGGGGGGGGGGGGGATTTGGGGGACTAATCCCCCAACGTAAACAGAAATTTATTTATTTTTCTAGGGAATTTTTAAACAAATCACAAAAATCCCCCCCCCCCCCCGCCACCACATAAATTTTTACATACAAAAAAATTTTTGCCCCCCCCCCCTCTTCCAAATTCCTGGCTACGCCCCTACTACGTCCTAATTAAATCATAAGTTTAAATTGACTCTGATCTGTTGTGAGCTTAGCTTTGATGCATCTTAATGTGTAATTAGGGTGACCATCTGCGTAGTTTTACAACGGACAGTCCTGTATTTCAAAACCCTGTCCTGTATAAATTTTTAAATTTTGTTCCTGGTCCTGTATTTTTTTCATGAAAATTTCCGTTAATTTTCGAATTTTACTCTATGTCCTGTTTTTTTTGAAAAAATTTACCAAATGTCCTGTATTTTCATGAAAACTAGATGGTAACCCTATGTGTAATTCATTATTTTCTTTATAAATTTCAGTTCCAAACCATCAAGACAGTTATCTTATGGACGTTCATAACAATAACTGTAATTTTGATTAGTGGAGCTTTGTGGCTGATCTGGAAGGAAAATGAGTAACAGAATTTGATCAATTTTTATTGACTAAGAGTCTATTAATATTAAAAAGTCGAAATTAAGCTAATAAAAAATATTTTAAATCTTAAAAAACACAAGTTTACTGAATTGCATAGCAATCAGGCTCTAGTTAAATTCAACTCGTGTTTCATGTTCAAATGTTCTCATCAAAATGCGCACTTGAGTGCATTGAGCCAAAACGTATAATAAAGCTGTCAGTAATAAATCAGAATCATTACTGCACGGCCTCATTTTGATGACTCTGGAAATATTTTGTAAAATAAATCGTATTTTGTGAGTTGAGTAAGGATTAGTGACGTGTTTTGGTATTCTTTGGAATTATTAAAAATCAAGGACGATCCAGGAGTTCAGGAACATCAATTAGAGCTGAAAAAAAAACTTTGTGGAAGCAAATTGAGCTTAGAGACCTGTCAAAAGTCTACCAAACTTGAGCAAACGTTCATCATGACCTTGAGACTCATCACTTCATCAATTGCAGTCGCATTTACGCTCATCACATTCACTGGATGTGAGACAACAAACATAGTCCTCGAGTGTGATTTTCAAGGATTATCAGCGGAATGTGAAGCACATAAAGTTAAAAATGACGTCACTGGACTTAAAATCATTGCGAAAAATGAAACTTTTGCTAATGCAACGACAAAGTTCCTCACAATTTCAGGATTTGGACTTTCAAGCATTCCACAGAAAATTGGACAAAAATTTCCAAATCTTGAAAGCTTTCGAGTCAGAAAAACTTCAATAAAATTAATTGGAAACCAAGATTTTCAAGGTATGAAGGATTTAAGGCATGTCGCATTGGACAGCAACAGAATATCAATAATTTATCAAGATGCGCTGTACAATTTACCAGATCTGGAAAGCTTTTACATCTCAAACAATAAAATTGAATTTTTACATCCAGATTTATTCAAAAATTCACCAAAATTAAAGAGCTTCATAGCTGATTATAATCACATCAAAATCCTTGATGCTCGTCTTTTTAAAAATAATGACAAACTTGAATGGATCAGCTTGATTTACAATAGAATTAATAACATAAGAGTGGATTTTAGAGAATTAAAAAATTTATTTTATGTGAATTTTAGTAAGAATGTTGAAGGATGTGACATTATCCTTAATGAAGAGTCATTGGAGCATCACGATAGGGTCCAAAAAGTTGCAGAGTTCCAGCAAAGAGTTGAAGAAAAATGTAGAATTTAAAATTATTTGAATAAAATGTTAAAATATTCCGAATAGCACAAGTCGGTTAATCGAATAGAAATCCGGCGTGATTCTGGCATGGTGCTGAACTTAAATCCAAGTCCAGCAGTATGTGTTAGCTTGAAGCTAGATTTCTATTTGACTAACCTCCTTGTGATTTTCGGGTATTAGTCAATAGTCACTAGATTCATTATCATAATCCTTAGATTTTTCAAAGCTAGCCTTCTTCAGATTCTCAAACTTAGTGAAATCAACTTGAATGTCCTTAAAGTCATTAAAGTTCATGTTGACATTCTCTAGATTCTGGTTATTTCTAAAGATTCCAGCTGGTAAAACCTGAATGTCATTCAATGGCGCTGAGACATCCTTCAAATTTGGATTATTTATGAACAAATCTTCATTAAGTTCCTTCAAATTGCATCGATAAAGATCCAAAGTCTCTAAATTTGGCAGCTCATAAAATGCATCAAATGGAATTGAGGCAAGCTTGTTATTACCAAGTTTCAGGTTCTTTAGGTCAGTCAATCCAGCAAAGTTCTCACGAGTTATAAATTTCAAACCTTTTGCGATAATTTTCAGTTCAATGACATTTGTGAAGACATCAGCAATTCCAAATGGCATCAATTCGGTCACTTTCTCCTCATGGAAGATCAAAATCTTTGGAATGTCTGGATTTTGTGCCATAAAGTCAGCATGAGCTTGATTTGGGTATTTTACAGACACAATTTTGACTTTTTCTTCTGGTTGAACGCCTGGTGGAAGTTGACATTTAATGTAGTGCTTGCTGGTGTCTGGATTTGTGAATAATTCAGGATGTAACTTGATCGCCCAATCAGCTTCAAGCCAGTGTGTGTGTTCACAGATAATTTGGATTTCCAGTAAGTTTTGTGGAATTGTTGTTGACGAGATGATTGAAAATTGCAGAATTAAAATGACAAGAAACTTTTTCATTTTTGAAAGGCTTATCAAGTGTTATGCTTATACTGAGGAATCTGCAGCTATGGATCGTATTTATATAAGAGATTAAGCTTCATTAAAATGGTAATTGAACTTAATTTTGTAGAATAAAGTTCTTAATAGATTGTTTTTATATGAAAATTATGTCAAGTATGTCGATGCAACTAGCTTAGATCTAAGTTGATGCTTATTCAGATTACCAGCAATACAACTAATCCTAACAAAGCATTCAAGATTATCCAATGTCAATCTTTTCATTTCAATATCAACCTATAACCCCATTGTTTTATTTACAAACTATTTCCACTGAACTAAGGGGGACTCAACATGATGAGGAAATAATTTGATTGAAAACTTAATAATTTTTTATCAAAATAGTTGATTGAAAAATTGGAATTCAGTGGAAAAAAATTATTTTCCCACAATGTTGTTATCCCCTTGCATCAATATTCATCTTAACTTACATTTTCACATTGTTCTTATCAGTTCCTTTGTAAATTTCATCAATTAAAGATGATTCGATTAATTTTTCTCATTATTGTCGTCAATTTTTCATCACAACTTCAAATTCCGCGATCTGTAACTGTTCAGGAGGTCAAGCTGCAATGTCAACGGGAAGTGACGTCAAAAATTGTCTGCACTTTGCCATCAAATGCCGGTCAAAACAGCATTTTGGAAATAATAAAAGCATTTTCTTATGTTAAGAGAGATTTGACGGATTATGAAGTTAAACAAGCAACGGAAGTGGACATAAGTGACAGGTTTATGTCAATCCACATGCCATTTGAAATTGGTAAGAATTTTCCAAAGCTTGAAGCTCTTTGGGTCGTCAAGTCGAAGATAAAGTTCATCAAAAAGGATAATTTTGCTAAAATGGTGGATCTTAAAGCTTTAAATTTGTACGAAAATCAAATTGAGGAAATTCCAGTTGACACTTTTACGGATCTTCCCAACTTGGAATTCCTGGATATTGATAATAATAAAATTATGGATCTTCATGCAGACCTGCTGATTTACCAAACTAATTTGCTGGTTTTTCGAGCCAGCGACAATAAAATTTCAACAATTCCCGACGGATTTTTCAGAAGCAACACAAAATTGGAAAGGATTCATCTTAGCCACAATCAAATTAAGGAAGTTCATGTTGACTTTACCAAGTTTAGTGATTTAGTCATTGTTGATCTTGAAGGAAATAAAAATGGATGTGACTTTAGTGTTGGATATTATGAGGACTGGAAGTTATTGGATGTTGATGGAAGTCGTAATGAAACTGATGAGTTTGCGTGGCTACAGTTTCAAGTTGAGCGAAAGTGTCGATTGGGCGAGGATGATAATGAGTATTGAAAGTATTATGTGAGGCTATTAAGGAAAAATAAAGTTCTTTTAGAAAATTATTAACAAAATAATTATTTTTTTTGAAACTTCAGTCAAGCTGTTGCTCAATTTTAAGTCAAGCAGCTAAATATTGGTCAAGTTGGTAAGTTTAAGTCAAATTTTTGCTCAATTTTCAGCCAAGTTGCTTCTAGGTTTCCTGTCAAGTAGCTCAGTTTTCAGTCAAATTGCTTCTAGGTTTCCAGTCAAATAGCTCAATTTTCAGCCAAGTTGTTGCAAAAGGTTCACACAAGTAGCTAATTTTTGGTCTAGTTGTTAAGTTTCAGTCAAATTGTTGCTCAGTTTTCAGTCAAGTTGCTTCTAGGTTTCCAGTCAAGTAGCTCAGTTTTCAGTCAAGTTGCTTCTTGGTTTCCAGTGAAGTAGCTTAATTTTTAGTCAAGTTAATGCTCATCTTTAAGTCAAATTGTTGCTCAATTTTAAGTCAAGCAGCTAAGTATTGGTCAAGTTGGTAAGTTTAAGTCAAATTTTTGCTCAATTTTCAGCCAAGTTGCTTCTAGGTTTCCTGTCAAGTAGCTCAGTTTTCAGTCAAGTTGCTTCTAGGTTTTCAGTCAAGTAGCTCAGTTTTCAGTCAAGTTGCTTCTTCGTTTCCAGTGAAGTAGCTTAATTTTTAGTTAAGTTAATGCTCATCTTTAAGTCAAATTGTTGCTCAATTTTCAGTCAAGTTGCTTCTAAGTTTCCAGTCAAGTTGCTCAGTTTTCAGTCAAGTTGCTTCTAGGTTCCCAGTCAAGTATCTCAGTTTTCAGTCAAGTTGTTGCAAAATTTTCAGACAAGTGGCTAATTTTTGGTCAAGTCATTAAGTTTCAGTCAAGTTGTTGCTCAGTTTTCAGTCAAGTTGCTTCTAGATTGCTAGTTAAGTAGCTCAGTTTTCAGTCAAGTTGCTTCTAGGTTTCCAGTCAAGTAGCTCAATTTTCAGCCAAGTTGTTGCAAAAGGTTCACACAAGTAGCTAATTTTTGGTCTAGTTGTTAAGTTTCAGTCAAATTGTTGCTCAGTTTTCAGTCAAGTTGCTTCTAGGTTTTCAGTCAAGTAGCTCAGTTTTCAGTCAAGTTGCTTCTTCGTTTCCAGTGAAGTAGCTTAATTTTTAGTCAAGTTAATGCTCATCTTTAAGTCAAATTGTGGCTCAATTTTCAGTCAAGTTGCTTCTAAGTTTCCAGTCAAGTTGCTCAGTTTTCAGTCAAGTTGCTTCTAGGTTCCCAGTCAAGTATCTCAGTTTTCAGTCAAGTTGTTGCTAAATTTTCAGACAAGTGGCTAATTTTTGGTCAAGTCATTAAGTTTCAGTCAAGTTGTTGCTCAGTTTTCAGTCAAGTTGCTTCTAGATTGCTAGTTAAGTAGCTCAGTTTTCAGTCAAGTTGCTTCTAGGTTTCCAGTCAAGTAGCTCAATTTTCAGTCAAGTTAATGCTCATTTTTGAGTCAAGTTTTTGTTCAGCTTTCAGTCAAGTTGTTCGTCAGTCTTTATTTAAGTCAAGTTATTGCCCAATTTATCTCAACTAAAAGCTCAATTTTATTTAAAATTCATTTTTTAACTCAGACTCGAACGAAACCGTGCCTTCTGTAAAATATTCATTGACCTTATCCTTGATCAAAGCTTCAGCATCAATACGATTTGCATATTGTTGGACTCTTTCAATTATTGGCTTCCTGATTACATCCATAATTTGATCACGAAGTAGGTTAGGAATTATGTTGAGCAAGAATTCAGCAACATAGTCAAGTGTTCCCATTCCTGAGCTCCTGTTAAGGATTTTAAGTTATTATTCTATGAATCTATGCTTTAAATTATGACTTACAGGATCTGAATATTTCCTAAATCAATCCTTAGGTCTTCAACTTTGAGCCTCTTGCTGAGATCGATCGGTTGAGATATTTTGACCTTCAATTTTATATATTGAATCGAAAATTGGATCAGACCCCCGCGACTTATCATTCCTTTAGCTATCGAAACCTCCCATGTTGTCTTTCCGTGAATTTCTTGAGTTCCAACCTCAAAAGCTGAAATGTTTTGTCACTGTTAATAAAGTTTTAATCAAAGGTTAACCAAAATTCGGTTCCTAAGGCTATTCTGCATAAGACGACTAAGTTACAGCCTCAAGCAGAACTAGCTCTGGAAACCAGCCTCTGAACTCACTCATTTTCGCAATCCGATCTTCAATGACTGTCTTCAAATCACCAACTCTGTAAAATGAAGAGACTCCAAAAAGTTCTGTGTCATAAACTCGATAGCCAAAGACACCTAAGTTGCTGATCTCGTCCATCTTGAATGGATCGAACCTACAATAATAAAGAAAAACATTGGAAGTAAAAACATCAACTTGATCAAGGCCATCAAAAATGATCAAGGATGATTTTTCAGGTTCTTGATAATTATTTGACAATTTTGATCAGTTTTTCCCTTTTGACTGAGGCAATGACCTTCATTTTATCATAAACTTACTTTGCCTTAACAAACTTCCTTGCTTCCGCTATCGCATAGTCAATCGCTCCAATCGAATTTGGCATAAGTTGATATTGTGACAAGTTTTCGTCAATTTGTTCATTTATTACTTTTTTAATCATCTCTTTTGAGTCTCTGAGAATGTACGGCTTCATCATCCGGAAGAACTAGAATTTTAAAAAGACCCAGCTTTTTAACATGACAAGGTTTATAGACACTGAGACTGCTAAGTCTAAGAAGCTCAGAAAAAGAAGTTTTAATATGAATCTTACACTATCATCACCAGAGTTGACAAAGGAACCAAAAAGTTCCTTCAGATATCCAAGATTCTCAAAATTCACACTCATCGTCTTAACATGCATGTCTGACTCAATTTCCAGAGCTCTTAGCTTCCCATTCTTTTCAACGCCCAACGTTGCTGATCCATCCACATTAAGGTTCTTGATAATTATGGTAAATGGACCTTAAAGGAAGCAAGTCTGAGGTTAATTTGAGTCACATCAACTTAAAAGCTCTTCAATTCTTACCTTTACTTGTTCCAAATATGTTCCTCAACGTGTAGTTCCCCCTCAGTATTAGCTGATCAAATGACAATTTACAAGATCCTTGCATTAACTTATCAAGCTCAATTGTCGCTCCAATAATCCTAAACTTTGAAGTTTCATGAATAAAAACTGGACCTAAGTTCAATGTTAATCCTAATTTTTGTTGAGTAATTCCTGGAATCTCCATCGGATCAGGTATCGGAAGTGGAAGTCCAACAGGATCTTCTTTTTTAAAATGCTCAATAACTTCATAAATTTGCTTTATTATTTCATTTTGTGCTGTGTTTGAGATATTTTGATGCTTATTTTGTATTTGTGATTGAGTTTGATTAATGCTTTGTATTAGTTGAAGCTGTGTGATGTCACTGGATGCTGAGTAAGATGTAAGGAAATTAGAATAAATGATTTTTGTGAAAGAGATTGTTTACAGACAGCATTTTTCTGAGGAATCGCTTAATTTTCGTTAATATTCTATCAATGAGGAATAAATGTTTGCAGCACAGTCAAAATCTTAGCAAATTTCAGGCTATTTTTTGGCTTGGACAATGTTTTTGAGGGAGCTTGGAACAGTGGTAGCTTAGAACAGTGCTGCTCAACCTCTGTTGTGCCACGGATCGCCTTGTTCGTAAAGCAAAAGCTCACCCGCCATACGTTTTTGGGATTTCTCAAATTGTTCCGCGGCACATGGGTTAACCATCACTGCCATATATGATTTTTTCAACCTTTAATCCAAGTAGCTGAGTCATTTGAACATAGGAACGAGCAACAATTACAAGAATCTAAATCTGATTAGATGCGACTAGTTTTCGTACCACAGAAGCTATAGAACTCAAATTCAGATGGTTTACAGCACAACTCTAACACCATAAACCACCAATACTCACCACTTTTGTCTTTTGACAACACATAACCAGCATAAGCAGTTGCTGCAACTAGAATTATCGAAACAGTAACTATTTCTATATAGTGCCTCATCTTGTGTTCCGTCATTACACGTTTGATTGATTTAAGGTTCAATCTGATACTAATATTCATAATAAATATTAATGAGCGAAAACTATGAGAAATTAATCGTGTGATCGACAGATGTGTCATACAAAATGTACAACTTGTGATCCAGATTGCATAACTTCGAGGTTACTTTGGCATTTCACACCAAAGTCCCTCCAAAAATTAAAATAAAATTTTCAACCTTAAAATACAACTTTTTTATTTCAATTTTTTAAATCTACAATTTAATATCTCAAGAACTTGTAACTTCAGTCGATGGATTGTTGTCAGACTCACTCTCTACTTTCGCATTATGAAGTGGAAGTTTTTCAAGTTCACTTCGACTTGTTGCTTCAATAATTGCTGCTCCGTAAGCATCTCCCATGACATTGAGGGTTGTCCTCAGTCGACCACTGGAAGAGTATAAGAGAAGTTTTGATTATTTGGGTAATAATTGATGCATAGATAGGCAAGGGTTTGGATTAGTTCATAGTTAAGCGAGTTCATTACAAAGATGAAGAGTCAGGAGCACTGACAAAATGATAAGACATGATTTCTTGGGTAAACTTAAGTCGAATCCTCAAGTATGTCTTGCAAATCCAGCTCCAGAGACCGTCAAACCAACAGACAAGTTTACAGATTCAGAATCAACATTCAAAAAGTTATAAAACTTACACAATCCAATCAATCGCAATAATCAGTGACACATCTTCAGCTGGAATTCCAATTGTATCAAGAACCATGATTAGGGTTACAAGTCCAGCTTGTGGCACACCGGCAGTTCCAATACTAGCTGCTGTTGCTGTCAGGCTGTTAAAATTAAATGATTGATTTGAATTGTGAATTGAGTTCCTTTTCTTACCTTAAAAATCAATCCCATACTTACACAATAGCCACAACATTTCCAATTGACAGATCCATTTGCTTCAATTGAGCTATAAAAATCGCAGCAACAGCCTCATACAATGCAGTTCCTGTTTACATATCATAAAGTTGTCAAAACCTTATCACTTAAATGGCCTTATCACATTGACATTGAAAAATTACAAAAGCACTTACCATTCATATTGATTGTAGCGCCTAAAGGAAGCATGAACCTCACAACTCTTGGGTCAATTCCTGCATTTTCTTCAACGCATTGCATGGAAACTGGGAGTGTAGCTAAGGAACTTGATGTTCCAATGGCTGTGAGGATTGCAGGTCCGATTTGACCAAGGAATTTGAATGGATTTTTACGAGTAAATCCAAAATATAAAGCAGGTAGGAAGATGAAGCCTTGAATGAATATTCCACTAGCAACAGTAACGACGTAGAGTCCGAGTTTTGAAAAGACATCAACAATGTCGTCCATTTCTAAGAATTTCGCAAGAATCAAGAAGAAAACAGCAACTGGCGTTATCCAAATGATGACTTGAACAATTTTCATCATTGCCTGCATGAATTCTAGTAATACGCTGACAAGATTTGTTACTTTAGATCTGATTGTGCTGAGTGTGATTGCAAAGATGATTGAAACTGAAATTATGCCAAGCATGTTTGTTCCATCGACATATTTTGATGATATATCCCATTCGTAGACGTTGTCTGTGTTATTGTCTGGTGGAGTCAGGACTGTTTGGTAGGTTTGTAGGGTTGCTTGGACAATGTTGGGTGGAAAGAGGTTTCTGAAAAATAATTAATAATTAAATTAAAAACCATTTTCGAAAATAAAAAAAAAACACTTCAAAAATTGAAATCCATTTTTAAAAAAATTGAAAACCATTTTTAAAAATTGAAAACCATTTTTAAAAATTGAAAAACATTTTCAAAAATTGAAAACCATTTTTAAAAATTGAAAACCATTTTTAAAAATTAAAAAACCATTTTCAAAAATTAAAAACCATTTTTAAAAATTGAAAACCATTTTCAAAAATTGAAACCCATTTTTAAAAATTAAAAACCATTTTTAAAAATTGAAAACCATTTTTAAAAATTGAAAACCATTTTTAAAAATTGAAAACCATTTTAAAAAATTTAAAACCATTTTCTAAAATTGAAAACCATTTTCAAAAATTGAAAGAAATTTTCAAAAATTGAGAACCTTTTTTTTTTTTTTTTTTTTAAATTAAACTTTTTATTTATTTACATTTAAATTTAAGTATGTACAAAGTTTCTATACATTTTGTTGCTTTTTGTTTTAAGGTTTCAGGCATTCAATTTGCCTTTTGTCTCTTAATTTTGATTTCATTTACGGATTTTACTTTCTTTTGTATTTCATTTGATTTATTCGGTGTTTTGAGATGCAAGACGACTGTTGAAGTTCGCTTGCAACTTTCCGACGTAGTCTTCGATGGACGGTATTTTCGCTTCTGTATGAAGATCGGTGATCCTTTCATATCTTGTTTTATTGAGAACAATTCTCAAGAATTTGTTTTGCAGTACTTGAAGTTTTTGAAGATGGGTTTTTGCCATGCTTCCAAACGCTGGACAACCATATGTGAATATTGGTCTGATGGCTAGCTTGTAGATGAGAAGTTTGTTTCGTACGTCGAGTTGTGAGTTCCTGCTGATGAGCGGATAAAGCTGTCTTAATGCGGTGTGAGCCCTATTGGTCACATACTCCACATGCGGCTTTAATGTCACTCTCTTGTCGATCACCATTCCCAGATATTTAGCTTCTGTTTCCCATTTGATGTTTTCGTTGAGAAATTTGATGTTATTTCCTGGTAGTTGCCTGGAGTGCCTGTTTGTGATGAATAAGGCTTGAGTCTTCTGTTTGTTGAGGTTGATCTTCCATTTGTTCATGTATTGTTGAACTTTTCTTCCTGTGTGCTGTAGATGTGTCACAATATCGGCCGAGTTCTCTGCAGAATGATACAGTGCTGTATCATCTGCGAAAAGACCGATGTTGTTGGTTGTCTCTCTTACAACATCATACGTGAAGATGTTGTAGAGAGTTGGTGAAAGCACTGCTCCTTGTGGCACTCCGAATTTGATTACCTTGATTTCTGAGAACTGACCTTTAATAAAAACTGCGAAAGATCTTTCACTGAGGAAAGATCTTACAGTTTTTATAAGTGGCAGTGGAAATCTCAGTTTGAGCATTTTGTACAAGAGTCCGTTATGCCAGACTCTGTCAAATGCTTTTTCTACATCCAGGAAGATCATGCCTGTTGACTTTTTGTTGTTTAAGTTTTCTTTTGCTGATTTGATCACTTTGATGAGCTGGTGAGATGTTGATCTTCCAGTCCGGAAGCCGCACTGCTGGTTTGGGATGATGTTGTTATCCTCAAGATGATCGTTGATTCTATTCAGTAATACTCTCTCCAGTATTTTGCTTATTGAGCTGAGTAGACTTATTGGCCTGTAGCTGCTTAGCTCATTTGCTGGTTTTCCAGGTTTTGGAATAGGAATCACTTTTGCATGTTTCCAAACTTTGGGGAAGTGGTTGAGTTTCAGACACGAATTGATGATGAATTTCAAGTATTCGAAACCTTTTTCAGGAAGATTTTTGATGAGTATGTTGTTGACTTCATCTAGTCCCGGAGCTTTTGGATTTTTCAGATTTCTTATGATGCTCACGATTTCGTTTACATCTGTTAGTTCTGGATTCTCATCATTGTCTTGTTCCAATGCTTCTTTGACTGTGTTGTTTACTTCCTGTGTATGTTGTGGATCGTTTCGTTCCAGAGGATTTTCGTGAGCTTCACGAAAATACTCACTGAGTGCGCTGGCTTTTTCTTTGTTGGTGATGAATTTTTTACCCAGATTTGTCAATGGAGGCATTGTTTTTGAACCTTTTTTGCAAAATTTTGCTATTCTCCAAACTGTTTGGTTTGACGGTTGTATCTCTGAGAGACGTTTATTCCAGTTTTTGTTTTTGAGTTCTTTAATTTTCTCGTTGATGACTCTCTGCAGATAATTCAATTCAGATTTGAGTTGATTATCTCTGCTTCTCTGCCATCTTCGACGAAGACTCCTTTTTGTGTTGATTAGATCTTTAATCTCCGGTGTGAGTTTAGTTGATTCGAAGTTGATCTTTTTCATTTTTACACTTGAGTTCCTCGCTTCCATGATGAGTTCAGAGAGAATCTTAATGTGATTCTCGATCTCATCTGTTGCATTGCAAGAATTTTCTCCAATGTTGTCTTCAATGCGGCGTGAAATTTGTGCTTTGAACTTTTTCCAGTTTGCGTTTTTGTAGTCATATCTGTAGACTGTATTTTCAGTTCTGTCGATTTTTGATGTTTTGATTTGGAAATACACAGCGCAGTGATCACTCATTGCCTCTGTGCATTGAAGTTCTGTTGTTTCGAGGTTGGAATTCGAGAGCATCAGGTCAATTGTTGACACTGATTTGTTTCGATCTTCTGGGTAGTACGTTGGCGAGTCAGGAAAGTAGATCATGAACTCTCCTGACATTTCCTGAAGAATATTTCCTGATTTATTTGCAACGTTGCAGTTCCATTCTCGATGTTTTGCATTGAAGTCTCCACAGATGTAGTAATTTCCTCTCAGATTTGTTATTTTGTTGATGTCATCTCTCAGATGTAGATCTATTTCCCCTCCTTTGCTTCCTCCTGGGAGATAGACTGAGAGGATGTGACAACTATCCGTGTCATTGATGAAGACTTTGATTCCAATGCATTCCATTAGTTTTGTGTTGTAGCTTGGTTGAAGCTGATGTTTTAGATTTCTTTTGACGATGATTGCAACACCACCCTTTGGTCTATCCACGCGATCCAATCGATGAATTACGTAGTCTGGATGCGAGTCAATTTTTGAGTTTGGTTTTAGGAATGTTTCTGAGATGCAAGCAACATCGACGTTTTGCTTGCTTAGGTAGTCGAGAAATGCTAACATTTTGTCAGTGAGGCCGTTAGCATTCCAGTAGAGGACGTTGATACTTTGTTGTCTACAATCCATTATTGTATGCGGTGTTTTTGGCACTTGAGCCGATTGCTTGGAGTATTTCGTCGATGAACTCTGGATTTTTGGCGATTAATTTGAGAAGCTCGCTGATAAGGTACTTGCACTTTGATTCCTCTATTTCTGAGATGTTTTTATCTCTTGTGCTGGTGCTTTGAGCTTGTTGATTAGTTGTTATGTTTCGATTCACTACCTCAACACTGAATGAAGGTTCTGGGAAGACTTCATTCGAGGTCTGACTTGTTGCACTGATGTCTTCTGAGTCCATAAGCTCAACATCTTGCTTTGGTTTTTGATGTTGATTGTTATTAATGCGCTCGTTTTGCTTTTTTCTTTGATTCTTTTTCCAATGTTTTCCTCTTTCTTTATTGTTTTGTTGGTTGTTCAAGTTATTTTTATTTCCCTGATTTGAGGGTTTGTGATTTGGAGGAGGATTTGTGTTCCTTGGTTTGTGGTTGACTGGAACTTGTTTTTGATGAACAGGCTTTTGTGTACCAGATGTTGATGGTTCCATATACTCCTTTCTCCATTGAGGTTTTGGTGCATGTTGGACGTTTCTCGTTGATCTCTCAGGACGATGCGGTGTTGGAGGATTGTTTCTCCGTTGTCCATACAAATAATGGCCTGCTGTTTTGTTTTGATTTTGGTTGTTTCCATTCTGTGATTTTGATTTCCATTTTTCAATTATTTCTTGTCTGGTTTTACAACCTGTGAAAATTGCTGTATGTTTTTCACCGCAGAAGAAACATTTGAGTTTTCCGAGTGGAACCTTGTTGGTCTCTTTCGATATGTACTGGCACGTTTTCGAGTCATGTTGCTCAGAGCATCTGAAGCAAACGGACGGTTTGTTACAACCGTTTTGTCCATGACCAAACTGCAGACATTTCGAACATTGAGATGGTCCAGCTTGTCTATTTTTGTAGTCAGCCCATTTAATTTTGAAACTGCTGACAATTTTGATTTTTCTGAGGAATTCCAGGAAATTTCCACCTTGTTCTACATCTTTTTTGAAGTACACGAGGTAGTTCTGGTCGTCGTCTTGTTCGTGTCTTTTGTGTTTCATTGTCATTTTGACAATTTTTACTGGTGTGATTTTTACGGTTTGAAGTTCCTTCTCCAACTCACTGATTTCCATATCTGGGAGTCCATAGAGTACGTACTTCTTCAGTGGTTCTTGGCTGGAGTATGTGTGGAAGTGATGCTTTTTGTCTTTGAGTAGTTGGATGAATTTCTCGTAGTAATCCCAACTCTCCGTTGTTACCGTTTTTGTTCCTTGTTTGCCCTTTTTGGTCTCAATTAAGAAACTTCCAGGTTGATTGTTTATTTCATTCGTCAATCTCTTGATTTCACCAGCTCCTCCTGTGCTGATGACAATTGGAGGTGGTTTTGATTTTTGTTGAGATTTGTTGTTGTTGCTTTCCGTGTTTACGGAAATTGTCTTTTGTTGCTCTGATGTTTTGCTGTTTTCTCTCCAGTACGAAGAAGTTGTCGATCTTTTTTTCTCCTGTTCTGGTGAACCAAATAGATACGGTACTCCAGAAGACGAAGCTTTCTTCACTGGTGGGAGTACGAACAGTGGTTTGTTCCCATCTTTTGGTTTGCTTTCGTTGGCTACTCTTTTTAAAAGAGCGTTGGGAACTATCACTTCTCGAGGGCGTTTTTCTGCTTTACTTGCTTCATTGAGAAACTTCTTTATTGATATTTGTTTTTTTGGTTTGAGATTTGTCATCTCAATGTCGGCTGCTTGTGAAACATCTTCACTGAAAATTTCCTCAATATTGAGAATTGTCACTGAAGATGAATGTTGTTGTTGAGAACTATTATGTCCATGCTGATTTTGAGAAAGATTTTCTTCGTTGTTGGTAGTTTTTGGTGATGCTACCATTTTGATGTTTTGAGAATCAAACTGAGATTTTGAAACTTTTTGCAAACAAAAAGCTTCTCAGGTAGTCTCTGTTTTGTTTCTTTTGAGATTTTTGAATAATTTGCGGAGCGATTTGTAAACACGTCTGTTCACGTTGAGATCTAGTTTGCAACTGTGAAAAATTGAGAACCATTTTTAAAAATTAAAAACCATTTTCAAATATTTAAAACCATATTCAAAAATTGAAAACCATTTTAAAAAATTTAAAACCATTCTCTAAAATTGAAAACCATTTTCAAAAATTGAAAGAAATTTTCAAAAATTGAGAACCATCTTTAAAAATTGAAAACCATTTTTAAAAATTGAAAACCATTTTTAAAAATTGCAAACCTTTTAAAAAAACTGGAAACCATTTTTAAAAATTGAAAACCATTTTCAAAAATTGAAAACCATTTAAAAATCAAAAACTATTTTTAACAATTAAAAACCATTTTAGAAAATTGAAAACCATTTTCAAAAAATTGAAAACCGTTTTTAAAAATTGAAAACCGTTTTTAAAAATTGAAAACCATTTTTAAAAATAAAAACCATTTTCAAAAATTGAAAACCAATTTCAAAAAACCATTTACATACCTCAACAAATCCAACATAGTATCCACAATAGTATTTCCTTGCCTCTCCCTCTCTTCAACATTATCATTCTCAATTCCTTTCCCACCAGGTTTTATTGTCAACACCAAAATTATTCCAATTATTACAGCAATTACTGTCGTGGAGATAATATAGATAATAGCGTGTGTGCCAATTTTTTTACTCAACGAAATATCAAGTGGTGCAATTGCGGCAATTACTGATGAAATAATCAACGGAAGTGTGATCGCTCTAATCATCCGTAAGAACAAGTCACCAATAAAATTAACATACATAACAACACGTGGACTATAACTTGAATGAGACACTCTCATCGATATTCCAACAATAATACTCAAAATCACAGCCGAAATTGTCAAAATTGTCAACAAATTTCGTTTTATTGACGCCTTAAGTCTTGAATTCACCATTTTTAATTCCGATTTACTTGCTGGAGGCCTAAAACAATACTGACTTGTAAGTCGTAGAAAAATATCATTTGAAGTCCTTATCGGTCACTTGTCAGTATCGAAAAAAATTATGAGCCTGTAAAATTATTATCTGTATTGCAATATTAAAACTTTATATGGGCTGTAAATAAACAATAAACATTACAATCTACTTGAGATATATATTTTATAAAATATATATTTTTATTGATAATTGATACGGAACAGCGGGGGAATTTTTGGTGATCGTTCATTAAGATTCTGAAATTTATAATGTGGAGTTTAAAGTTTTATACCTAACCTATACCTAACCTATACCTAACCTATACCTAACCTATACCTAACCTATACCTAACCTATACCTAACCTATACCTAACCTATACCTAACCTATACCTAACCTATACCTAACCTATACCTAACCTATACCTAACCTATACCTAACCTATACCTAACCTATACCCAACCTATACCTAACCTATACCTAACCTATACCTAACCTGTAGCTAACTTATACCTAACCTATACCTAACCTATACCTAACCTATACCTAACCTATACCTAACCTATACCTAACCTATACCTAACCTATACCTAACCTATACCTAACCTATACCTTACCTATCAAAAGATAGAAAATTTCCACTGAACCAGCAATTGACGTAGCTACTTAAAATCTTACTGATACGATTAATTAATTTCGATTGTAGAAAGTTATTAGCTTTTATCACGTGGCACGTCAAGTGGATTAAAATTTAAAATCTTATCAAAGTAATTTTTGTGTCTGCTTGAGTTGGTGTCAAAAAATTTAATTTATTCTTTAATTTTTAAAGGATTGATAAGAATTTTGACAGTCGAGAAAAATTTTCAATTCTATTTTCTCATTAAGTTTTTGAAGTTTGAACTCATCGGTTGGAAGTTTTTTGAGAATGTGGAAATATTTTAGTGTTGTTCAGTGGTTCGAGCCTTAAAAGTCAATAAATTTTTAAAAAAATATTTTTTATTAAATCGAAAATTGAGAATTTTAAAGATTTTTTACATTTAATTAAAAGTTTTAGTAGACTTGCACTTAAGAACTAGCAACTTCAATTTCACCATTAGCAGCTTCTTGCTCTTCCAACTTCTTTGCCTTCATTGTGAGTTTGTGAAGCTCTTTTTCACTGGTCGACTCAATAACAGCTGCACCATAAGTGTCTCCCATGACATTAACCATTGTGCTCAATCGACCTCTGTTGGATTTTATAGCAAAAGGCAATCAAAGATTGATTTAAATTCAATTAATTTTTAACTTACACAATCCAGTCAGACGCTATAACCAAAGATACATCTTGAGCTGGAATTCCAATTGTATCAAGGACCATGACAAGAGTTACGAGAGCAGCTTGTGGCACACCGGCAGTTCCAACACTCGCAGCTGTTGCTGTTAAGCTGTATATGGAAAATATGTATTTAAGGGGTATTGAACTATGTAGAACTTAGTTTTTGGATTTAGGGGTATGAAACTATGAACAAATTAGTTTTAGGATTGAAGGGGGATGCAACTATATAAAAACGTGATTATATGGATAAAAAGGGCTTGAAACTATATAAAACGAGATTTATTTGTTCAAAAGGGAGTAAAACTACGCCGAATTAAAACTGCAAGGAAATACTCACGCCACTGTGATGATTTGTCCAATCGACAGATCAATCTGTACCATCTGAGCAACAAAAATTGCAGCCACACTCTCATACAATGCAGTTCCTATTCAAGAAATAATCAGTAGAACCTCAGCTTACTCCAATAATTATTCAATACCAACCATTCATGTTTATTGTTGCACCCAACGGAAGCATAAACCTAGACACCCTTGTGTCAACTCCAGCATTTTCTTCAACACATTTAAGTGAAACTGGAAGTGTTGCAAGTGAACTTGAAGTTCCAAATGCTGTGAGAATTGCAGGTCCAATGTTTCCAATAAATTTGAAAGGATTCTTTCTAGTAAAACCAAAATAGAGAATTGGAAGGAAAACAAATCCTTGAAGAAACATTCCAATGGCAATTGTTCCTAAATAAAGACCAACTTTTGAGAAAAGCTCGCCAATGTCGTCCATCTCCAAGAACTTAGCAAGAATCAAGAAGAAAACAGCAATTGGAGTCAACCAGATCAGGAATTGAATGATCTTCATCATAGCTGCTGTGAATTCTAAGATAATTTCAATTAACTGTGCTGTTTTAGATCTGATTGTGCTGAGTGTAATTGCAAAGATCACGGAAACAGAGATGACACCCAACATGTTGGTTCCATCGATGTATCTTGATGATATTGTCCAATCATAGACACTAGCTTCTGTATTGTTTTCTGGTGGAATGAGGACTGTTTGATAGGCTTGTAAGGTTGCTTGAACAATGTTTGGAGGAAAGACATTTCTGCGAAATATTAGGTAAGTTACAGTCGAGGTTTAGAATATAATATTGTGATTCTAGTCTCGAAAGATTCTTGATTCTAGAAAAAATATCAAAATCTTTAAATATTTTTATAATCTGGCACAAACAACCATAATCTGGCATAAGTAAGCCAAAAATCTGGCATAAAAAGCCAGAAATCTAAAAAAGGCTTTTTAAAAATCTGGTAGAGCCAGCCAGAATCTGGCACGAATCAGCCAGAATCTGGCACAAGCCAGAAATCTAAAATATTTTTTTAAAAAAAATCTGGTAAAGTCAACCAGAAATCTGATACATGTCAGCTATATTGCTGCCTCAATCTGGCACAATGCAGCCAGAATTCTGGTGAAGTTCCACCAGAAATTTTTTAAAAATTAAATTGACCAAAAAACTTCACCTTATCAAATCCAGCACTGTATCAATAATTGTATTCCCCTTCCTCTGTCCTTCAGCCTCTTCAATTTTATCAAGACTTCCACCAGGTTGAATAGTTGTCACCAAAATAATTCCAAATGTAGCAGAGATAAGAGTTGTACATATGATATATGTTATGGCATGTGTCCCAATTTTTTTACTCAATGATATGTCAAGTGGAGCAATTGCAGCAATAATTGACGAGATAATCAATGGAAGTGTGACTGCTCTGATCATCCTTAAAAACAAGTCACCAATAAAGTTCACATACATAACCACACGCGGACTGTAGCTTGGATGAGATGCTCTCATAGATAATCCGATAATGACAGCCAATATCACAGCAATTAGTGTCAATATTGTCAACAAATTTCGCTTCAAAGCTTTTACGACTCGTGGATTAACCATTTTTGTATCCTGTTTACTGTTCGAGACACAAAATAATACTGATTAAAAATAGTCCAACGGCAATAATTTCAGAAAATCTTATCAAAAAATTCAAGTTCTAGAGAATATGAAGCTTGTAAACATTTATCTATATTGTCGTTTTATAGGCGCTGTAAATAATTGTTATCAGGTTAAATGACCGAAGACAGCCAATTATGTGTAGATTTATTGGGTTATGTTTTTGGTGGGCGTTGATTTGATTGCATTTTATTGATCATAACTGTATTAAATGGTTAAAATTAGAAGCTCGAAGGTGTTGGTTCAAAGCCATGCTCCTCGATTATCTCAATCTGCTGTGAAAATATTTCTACAAAACTACAATTTTCATATCAAAATCTTCAAGAGCACTTGAGCTTACATCGGTCTCGTGACTAGTAATTCAGTAGCTAGTTGATGACTTGTATTAGTTGTACTTACTGATTACAAACCTTATCAATATTGTGTCAAAAATACTTTTATTAATGTTTTTTCAATTAAAAACATAATTGATTTGGTATGAACAGTACAATCTGCGAAGTAAGGCTCTCTCATTCTGTTCAATTGTAGCTAACAACATTGTTGACTGTTGAAATTAATTAATATTTATCACACGGTGAGTCAAGTGCTTGTTAAAACTGCAACTTTCAAAAAAATAAAAAATTCCAAATCTTATCAAGAACGTATGAATGTGCCAATTGGTGTCGGTTCAAAAATAAAGAAAATTTATGACGATTGTAATGATAAAGTGAAGAGTGGATTGTGTTTGAAGTTTAGTTGTACTTAATCGTTGAGTTTGACGAGGGTCCTTAGTCATCTTGCTCTTGAATTTTGAAAGAAAGCTGAAAAAACTATAAATTTCCCTAAATAACCCCTAAAATATCCCTTTTAAATATTTAATATATTAAGAAAATTTGAAACATCCTTAAATATCTCTTAATAATCTCGAATATTCTGCAGAATTTTCAAATATCCTTTAAGATCCTTAAATATCCCTCAACAAATTTTTAAAATGTCCCTTAATATCTTAAAATGTCTCCAAATATCCCTTTCCTTCTTTAAATCTTCAAATATACTATAAAATCCCCGAATATCCTTAAATATCCCTAATATCCCTAATACCCCTAAATTTTCTCGAATATCTTTAAATGATTTCAAATATCCCTAAAATGCACGAATATCCTTAAATATCCTCAAATATCACTAAATATCCTCAAATATCCATAATTACCATCAAATATCCCCACATGAAAAGCGTCTAATGATTCCAACTTAACATCATTTACAACTAATACCTCCAATGAACCCTATTAAAGTCTAATCCAAGCTCAATACAAATTTCAATTCAATTAAAAATACATTTCATCATCTTTATTCCTTAATTGTTCCTCAATCATCCTCTTACAAAATTATTAAATTAAAGTCATTAAGTTGCTAACTTTGTTCTCTTCGAACAATAAAGACCACAAAAAAGGTTCATCACAATAATTATCAAATTAAAATCTTCAATTTACAAGGGGAAAAGTTCATCATACGTAGCATTTTTAGCCAATTCATTAGCAACATTTGTGAGCAGCTCAGCCAAATCTTTCTCAATTGTTGGATAGACATTTTGGAGTAAAAAGTCTGAATTAGCTGTGATGAATGCATTTGCAGCTTCTTCAATATTTCGATCGTTTTGAAACAGGTTTGAGAGCTTCAATTGACGAATTGTTCCCGGCTGAACCTTTAAACGGAATCTGTCGAACTTGATGTACTCTTTGCCATCTTTTGAGTATTTTGATCCTTTCAATGAGACACGTGCGCGAGCATTTTCAAGTTTGATGAAGCCATCGCCTTTGTTGTCGAGATTTTGACCGAAAATTTTGATTATAAGATCGTAGTTGGCTTTGATGTCAAGTTTTGGGAAGTTTACGATCACATCGACTTTGATGTCGTTGACGTTAGCTCTGGAAATAAAATAAAGAATAATTAGAAGCAATTTGTCGTTATTTTTGTTCGTTTTCATTTCTTTGGAAAAAAACTAGATCATGAAACACCCTAGTAAAGTCAATTTTAGACTTGAAAAGCTTATTCAAGGCTTGTCGAGCCTAATGTAGGTTTCTAAATCTAATATAAAACTAATAAAATTTACTTTACACTTTTAAATTGTATTTATAGATGCTTTTGCTAGCGCTAAGCTATTCAAAGATAACTTTTAACTAATATTGCAATCTTTAGCTTCTTATAGCTTACTTTAGGCTCCTAATAGCTATCTTAAAGTAACTATAGCCTAACCTGCATATAGGAACTCTTATTATGGATTTCCCTGAGAGAAATGAGCACTATAAATTAGATAAGTTAAGTTGTAAAACTAAGTTGTCAATAAAAAATAAAATTTATCAATTTAAAGCTGTTTAGAGCATTATTACATAACAAAATCTCCATATTTAAAAATTTTGATCAACTTTTTTCAATTTTTTTGATTAAAACTTATAAAATGAGTCTCAAAGACTCCAAAAACACACAGCACATCATATTTGAGTCAAAACATCTCTCACGAATTTTACTTTTAATTAGGTAAACCAGGGATTGACATAATTGACCCAGTGCACTGTGTATTATAAACATTACGTTAAAATAAGGCACATCAAGTGCCATTAATACCAAAATCAATAACTTCATTGTAATATCAATAATAAACACACTTTCTGCTAAGTCATTCAATAATCTACTATGAGAACACCTTCATTGTATCTCTATTTCATATATTCACAAATATCTTGAGTCAGCTTTAAAAGTTAAATAACATCAACCAAAAACCCATCTCAAGTTGAATAAAATTGGCAAACAAAAACAACAAAATATCGACTCATTATCACAACCACCACAACCTACCTCAATTTCTCAATTCTAAAGTTGCTAGCGCCTTTGATGAGAACATTTTTGAGACTGACCTTGAAGTCTTGCGTTGTTCCGACTTTGATGCTGTTTCGTAGAAAAAATGAGAAAGAAAAGAGAAGAAAATAAAAATTGAGCAAATGTGAGAACTTTAATGTGCAAAGATTATTGAAGTGAGCTTTATTGTGCGATGAATAAATTTAATTTGATTACTTTTCAGAGAATTATTGGATAATTAATAAAGTTAGAACGTAATTTAAGATTCGAGGTGATTCTTGGTATTAAATTATGGAAATTATTAAGGGATTTTTATAGAATTTAATGACTTGTTAATAGATTTTATTATAAATAGTCAATAGTAAGTCATTAGGGGGTTAGGGCTAAGTAATTAAGGTTCACTTAGGTCTGTAAACCTCCACAAGAGCTTAATTTGAGCCTTAGAAGCTAGTCTATTGGTCTCCTTGAAGTTCCATACCCTAGAATTTGAAATTGATGTCCTAAACTTCAATGTTTACTTTAGTGTTTAATTATGGCTTGGAGAGGTTCCCTGGCTATCTCTTAAGACCAATCCAAGATATCTTTTGGCAATTCGTAATCTTTCCTTTCAAGAAACCACATGAAACGCATCAGGCATGTTCAATTAAGCATGTTAAGAACTTGTATGAAGCTAGAGTCAGCTAATCCCTACAAAATCTTATTCAGCTTCACATTTTGGTTTCATTCATTACCTTTGAATAGCAAAAGGCTCAATTTTCGGTAGATCAAATCCATCTCCTAAGCTTCCAGCAGCTAATCTCGGTCTAAGTTGTTCAATTGACTTGATTATGCACTCATTAATTTGTGGATCATTTCTGTGACAGATTTTGACTGATGATGCTGAATATTTTGAAAAGAAAATAATTATTAAAGATGGAAATAATTTAATTTAAATAAATTTTGATAATTAAGTAGGGTGACCATCTGCGTAGTTTTACAACGGACAGTCCTGTATTTCAAAACCCTGTCCTGTATAAATTTGAAAACTTTGTTCCAGGTCCTGTATTTTTTTTGAGGAAATTTCCGTTAATATTCAAATTTTCCTTTGTGTCCTGTATTTTTTGGGAAATTTATCAAATGTCCTGTATTTTCATAAAAATTAGATGGTCACTCTATAATTAAGGCAAGTCGTGGTTTTTCATAAATTTTAAATTTAAATAAAATTAATCTGAGACTAGAGTAGGGTGCCCCGAGTAGACCAAGAAACCAGCCCCAGGGCAAACAACCCCACTTTTTGCAAAAAATTCTTCAATTTGCTAGAGTTTTGTGAATAAGAATCTTTAAATCCCCATTAATTGTAACATCCAATAGCTACACCAGTGCTGCTTTATGCAGCAAAACAAACACATTTAATTCACTAAAAGGTGCTAAACTCAGCTAAATGCTATCCAAATATTTTCATTTCTAATCGCAGTCGCTTTTATTTATTTACAAATAAAAGCAAGGCATGAAAGCTTTTTTCCTAATTTACAAAAAAAAACACTTTGTTCTTTAATATTATTAACACAGTTGACACTTACGTAATGCACCAGAAACTCCATATGAGCAGCTTATTGCAACAGCGGCAACAAAAATTAACGAAATTTGATTCATTTTAAGCACTTTTTTTGGTTTTTTCTAGTCTGTGAAATTAAGAAATTGAAAGTTAGAAAATTGGAGATTTTTAAGGAAGTTTTGTGGACTTAAGAATGTAAAAAATTCAAAAAGTAAGAAAAATAATTACAATTTAAATTCTAAATTTAAAAATAATAATTAGAATTTAAAATCTAAATTTTTTAAAACAAAATCGATCATTTTTGGGATTTTTTTTTTCTTTATTTAATATCCAAACATTTTTTAACCAAAATCAATTTGTTTTTTGATTTTTTAAACTCATATATTTTTTAAAAAACAATTAAATTTTATTTGAAATGTTTTTTAATTTTTTCAATTTTTTTGAATTTTTTCAAAGTTTCCAAATTATTTAAAAAATTTTGATTTCTTTAATTTTTTTTTTATTTTTTATTGATTTTCACAGTTTTTTGCTGCATTTTTTGAATATTTTTTAAAATTCAAAAATCATGTTTAAAATTATTTTTTTTTTAAATTTCAATTTTTAAAACAAAATTTCACTTTTTTATTTAAAAAAAATCACCTTTTTATCAATAAAACAGTCTCAAAAATTTCAAAACTTTTTTTATCACTTTTTAAATCTTCAAGAAAGTTAAAACTTTACTTTTAAGATTCTAACGAGAACTAAAGACACTTTTCAATGCCGCACCATCATTTATAGTCAAATTGAAGTTAACTGGAAAGTTCTGACTGGAAGTCTCGTGAGAACCTTTTTATAATATTTGAGAGAGCCTCAATCACAGCTGTTACTTGAAACTTGAACTTCAAAATTAGATTTTGCGAGAGAAAATAAAGTTTGTAAACAAGATGCTGCTCACATGCTTGTCGTCATTTTACTTCCATTCACAGAAAAAAAATTGAGAATTTTCAAGATCAAGGTTATGACATGTTGGTGCTCTTTGCGAGTTTCTAATTATTTTTTGTCATTTCTTGGCTTATTTAAGTTTAATTTGGTCTTAAAAATCAGTAAAATTGCGATAAAATTAGCCAAAATTGTGTGAATTTTGTTTCAAATTATCTTTAGTAACATCCAGGCAGTGCAAAGGTTTAAATACAACAAGAATTAGTGTTAACTCAAAAAGAAGAAGTAACAGTCATAGTTCTTGTTTCTTGACATGTTTGGGACGGCAATTCAGGTTAAACGAGATTAAGGAAAAGAAGTTTAAGCCAATAATATTTTGTAAATATAATAAAAGTGCATTCAACCAGGTTAAAATCCAAAAACAAAAGCTTTTTAAGAGCTTTTTCGATTGAGGTTAGTCATGACTAACTTCGGAAGTCACCATTGACTAGATTTGAATTTTTTGGAGCATTTTCTAATTTTAAAAGTAGTTTCCCAGCAACATCTATATTGGCATTTAGGAACTAAATGGTTTTTATTCATTACTTCACTTAGCTACCACAGCAGATGCTTTTCGTCCGAAAGGATACCTCAAAGTAAATGATGCAATTTAATGGAAAGAATTGAAATCTTAACCGGAGTTGCTTATTATACATCTTATTTAAGAACAGTGTTGTCAAAACTGTGTGCCATGTCACACTGGTGTGCCGTAAAATTCTTTGTAGATGACTCGAGTTGCATTCTTTAGTGCGACTTTGGTAACGGTTTACCCCTAAGGTGTGCCGTGGCTCAGAAAAGTTTAGACAACACTGTTTTAGAATCAATTCTATTGAAATGTCATCTCAATTGGAGCGCTAGACATGATTCTTGACGACTGGGGTCGACTAATGACTAGGGTGACCATCTGCGTAGTTTTACAACGGACAGTCCTGTATTTCAAAACCCTGTCCTGTATAAATTTGAAAATTTTGTTCCAGGTCCTGTATTTTTTTCACGACAATTTCCGTTAATTTTAAAATTTTCCTTTGTGTCCTGTATTTTTTAGGAAATTTATCAAATGTCCTGTATTTTCATAAAAATTAGATTAGGGAAAATTAGTAGGGTGACCACTAATGACCAAATTTCCGGGTTTCTTCATAAAAAACAACCCTTACCCTAGTCTTAGCAAACCAAAAATCATCTTTGTAAAATTGCGCCACAGGAACCAAGGATGCAGAACTGATGAATTACATTTTTGATCAAATTTGATCATTTCATCACTTCTATACCATTGGCTACGCCTTACAGTCATCATTATCATCAAAACATCGCATATGAAAATGTCACTAGATTATGAACAAGTTGTAAGCCTGTCATTATAAAAATTTATTATATAATGATTATGGCAATTAATATTCAATTATGTAGCAAATTAATTCCAGTTTTAATTAAAGCACGGCAGTGACGATGCAGAAATACAAACTGTCAAGTTAAATGAATTTTAGAATTTTTAACTGTAATAAATTGTTTTTTTTTGTGTTGCATGGATTACGATTTGTGGATTAAGTAACTGGTTAAATATCGAAAATTAGGAACAATGTTATGAAATTCTAAAACCACATGCTTAGTAACTTGTTAAATAAAAATTACTTTTTTGGGGGAATTTCATAAGTTTGAAAAGTATGTATGCTCATCTGCAGTGGTGGATAACCTTTTTTTGTACCGCGGCACACCTTAGTTGTAAAAAATGATTGAAACCGCACACGACATTCGATTCATTGGAAATTTTGAATTTTGTCGCGACTCATGGGTTGAACATCACTGGGTTTTTTTTGGATAATTCGTAAAAGCTTTGCTAATTTCGTAATTTTTTCGGACCTTTCTTCGTCAATTGACACTAATAATAAACGTTTTCAGACACAAAGCATGTTGAGCTGATTAAAATGACTTAAATTAACACATTTGGGTCAAATCAAATTAACTTGTAATAAACATCATTGCTACACGAACCCCAAATTAACCGACCTATTTGAATATTCAAATTTATTCAATCACAATTGTCTAGATGATTCTATTAAGGGATTTAAAGTTATTGTAAAACTGTGCTTAGCCCATAAAAAAACCTCACAAATCTGTAATTAGACACTTTAACCTTATCTCATGTTCTACAGCCTCCAATTTTCTCAAATAATTAATTAATCGTGTCCAACTTATAATTCTGTAAATCATTCTAGAATTTGACAACAAAGATTTCCCACCCAGCAGTTAAAAATTCAAGATTTACTTCCTCATAAAATGTTTGCCAATTATCATAATACTTCTGTGGCAATAAAATTGTCGTCATTATTACAATTTTTTTTTGTCTATTAGACTCTTCTTTGACGTCACTAGCTTCTTCTGCATCATCAGTAATAATTGTAAAGTTTTAAAATAATTAGGTGCTTAATGGAATTAACTATAATTGTTAATGCTTTGTACTTATTACATTGTTTAGAAATTTTAATGAGCGGGGGTTAGATTGGAAGTGATGGATATCAAAAAGTTTGAGGTTATAATTGAAAAATTGAGGTTAAGAAGCTTTGAATTCAAAATATTAAGGTTAAGCTTCAAAATTTGAGGTTAGAATTCAGAATTTTGAAATTAAGCTTCGAAATTTGAGGTTAGAATACAAAATTTTGAGGTTAATTTTCCAAATTTGAGGTGACAATTTAAATTTTTGAGGTTAATCTTCCAAATTTTAGGTTACAATTCAAAATTTTGAGATTAATCTTCCAAATTTGAGGTTTTAATGCAAAATTTTGAGGTTAATCTTCCAAATTTGAGGTTACAATTCAAAATTTTGATGATAAGCTTCTAAATTTGAGGTTATAATCCAAAATTTTGAGGTTTAGCTTCCAAATTTTAGGTTACAATTCAAAATTTTGAGGTTACAATTCAAAATTTTGAGGTTAAGCTTCCAAATTTGAGGTTACAATTCAAAACTTTGGAGTTAAGCTTCTAAATTTGAGGTTAAAATTCAAAATTTCGAGGCTAAGTATCCAAATTTGAGTTTTGAATTTAAAATTTTGAGGTTAAGCTTTTAAAATTGAAGTTAAACTTCCTTCTTTAACCCCGAAAATTAGACCTGAAGTAAAACAATATCAAATCTTAGCTGCAACCTTCCATTCATCCATGAATGTTAAACGTCATTAGCAAACAATCCCCAAATAATTGAATTCAACAAACACATTAGCCAAGTGACACAGCACATTATATATATTTTTGCGATCACTTACATTCATTATTCCTGGAATCAAAAAAAGAATAAAAATCTAAAATTTCACCTTCATCCCAATTGCAAACGTAAATGCTCGACAATTAATCAAACATTACACAATCTAGACAAATGGAAGTGATGCGGCAAAATTTTTCGTGTTCCTAAGTCATTATTTTCTCAAAGTCATTCAAACAACAAAAAAAAAGGTTTATTATTTTTTGTAATCTGAGAAAAAAAACACGTTCAATGAATCGGAATCAAAAGAAGATGAGACTCATTATCTTGTGTATGGAGAGGAATAGTTGGACAAGTAAACTACGTGAGCAAGTAAGTAAACATATAAGAAGAAGATTTGGAACATTGGAATTGGTTTGATGGCAGGGTTGTGGTCAGGGGTGAAGTTTCTTGGGCTACCAGGACTGCTGAACCTCAATTATTGACAATTTTTGCCTAATTCTTAGAGCAGTGATGGCAAACCCATGTGGATGTGCCGCAACGAAGTTCTAGGAACCCCACGAACCGTGTTCAGTGCGTGACAGAGGCTTAGCAGAAGTTCTGACAGAGGTTTTGAATAACAATGACATTAATTAAGTTCCAAGGGTAAGGAGTGGGTTTAAGAATGTTGATAATCATTCTGAGTACCACTTACAGCCTAGTTGATGGATATTATTAGATTTTTGATAATACTTTGACATCTCCAAGGAGCGACAACGACTATAAAATTAAATTCACGATTTGATTTTGTTAATTTTCATTTTTATTTCGACTTGCTACAAAATTTTACTCCTTCTTCATTCTTTTCTTTCCAGAGCTCTTTCCTTCTTCAGTCTTTACTTTCTTTGGTGGAGTCTTTGAGCTAAAGAAGACAAAACAAGATAACTGTCCTAGATTCACAGCCAGAAAGATGATGTTTTGGAACTAAAATTCATAAAGGGAATTAAAAAAAATTCTATAAAAAAATCAAAGGGGAGAACAACTTGTTGAGCAAAAGTTTTGATATCAAATTTCCATCAATGTTTCTCAATGATTTTAAAACTTTCCATCACTTTAGAAACTCGATGGAAAATTCTCAATCAAAGTTAAAAATCAGCATAAATTTCCCACCAAAATTTGCTCCCATCACGTTGTTATCCCCCTTCAAAAATCCAAACGTACCACAATAAATTGCCGATTTTTCAAAATTCCATAACAAATTCGATTAGCTCCCATCAATGCTGACGCAGAACTCATCTCGAGTGCCAAATGAGATGAAGTTTTCCCAGCAAATCCAGCATAAACACCCAGCAATGCAATAAAGTGGAAACTCCATAGAACACTAGTCATTATTGTCTCATATTTTGCTGCGATTGTTGATGGATCGGCATTTACTGAGTAGTAATAGATAAATGTGCAAAGAGCAGCTCCACTTGAGATGTAAATGACGTTTTCCTTTTTCTTTTGCTGTGGACAGAGATAGTAGTAGATTGTGAGGTAAACTGCTGAAAATGCAAGACCTTTAAGGTTAGAATCATAAAGGGCTTGATTGTTGATGATTTGAGCGTAGCGAAGGCTGAGAACCATGCTAAAATTTGAAGTAGGATAAGGTTAATTATGCATTTTTTTAGTAACCCGCGGATTATGAAGCTTTTTTGGTTTTACAACCCGCGGGTTAATTGTTTAAGAATCAAATTGTCCCTACAATCCAAAGATTTATTTGGATTTTAAATGTTGATTTAATCCGCGTGTTATAAAACTTTCCCTAGAGGTCAATTGTTTAAATATTCCGCGGGTTATGAAGTTACATATTAAATTGAATTTTTGCTTCAACTAGCGGATTATAAAGCTATAATTAAAATTCGGTGTGTATTCAAAAAAGCGAATGTGTATGCTTCGTTTAATTAATATTCCCTCCAATCCGCGGATTAAGAAACTATTTGTATTCACTATCCGCGGTTTATAAAAAGTTCTTTTAAATTTTGAAATACTTACTAAATGGCAACAAAAAGGAACGGAAAAACTGGAATTTTATTATTTTCCCTGTTCTTTCTAATTCCATTCAACACAAAAGCCGGACTCACGATCTGCAAAACACCTAGCCATGCTGCACTTTTATCTATAAAACCTGTATACGGCAACAATGTTTGCGCAATGTCTTTAAAAATTACATCAAGCTGTGTCATGTTGACCTAATGAAATTGAAATCTCGAATGACTTTTTTACTATCCACAAATGTGCTCAACTTTATCTTATCAGCTGTTTGTGATAAGCTGGAAATTTATCAAAAACTTCTCAATTAATTGCTCAAATAAACAAGTTGAATCAACGATTATTATTTTTTTGTAGGTCGAGATTTGTGCTGAATGTGATAAAAACTTGCTGTTAAATGATTATTTTATTTTTGAATTCTTTGGCTTTATTTTGAAGAGATCTGAAAAATGTGACTGGAAATTCCGATAGTTTTGAATTTCACATATTGACTTGAATGTAAACAGTTGGCAGTGACGACGAACTGGTTGGTTGGAAATAATTGAAATTAAATATTTATTTAAGGAGTGCTGCAGTCGAAGACTTGTCAGGCACTTACGTGATTCTTAAGTTGAGGAAGGGTTTGAAATATTTTAGTCAAATTTATTTATGAATTTAAGATTTAATTAATGCAAAAATATTTTTTATTAATAAAAATAATTTTTAAAAATTGGAGAATTTTATATTTTTGGAGACGTTTTGGTTTAAACATTTTAAAACCGTTATTTTTTTAGCGCATCTTTGAAACTTGTTTCTAAAAGGTAGCTTAATAATACACTTTGTACGGCTGTTCGGCTGCTCGGGTGAAGAAAAACTTTTTAATTAGACATCGTAGAGAGCTCGCTTTTGTTTTATTATCTCCGTTATTATCGATTTATCGACCCATCGAATGCTTAAAAGTCTTTTAATCATGTATTTATGCTGTAATTAATGATTTTTGTTTTCAGTGTAACCTGTCCAAATTTTATTTTACCTCTATAATTTCAACATTACCTCTATAATTTCAAAATTTTTCTAACCGTTGTAAAATGTGAATTTCGAAACACCGTTAAATGACAAACTTTTTCTATAAATTGATTGCAACAAATTAATAATTAGATAATCAATTACTGATCGCTATCACAAAAATGCGCTTAAGTCCCTCGATCAATAACACAAGGACTTCCGTAATTTTTTATTTTTAAAATCATTTTTTCTTCATATAAATCACAACACCTACTCCAGTAATCAAAAACATCACAAAAACTCCTAAAGCAATGCCAATTTTAGTTGAAAGAGCCACAAATTCACGTTCTAAAGGTTCATCAGTAATTTTACTAGCTTTACCAAACATTGTTGTTGTCTCTGCAACCCAGCAGCTATCTTTCATTGTCCAAATCAATTTATTAATCAAGTCATTGTCGTCAGCATTGCTATCGATGCACTTGTTGTTATTCATCAACAATGCTTTTAAGCTTGTCAATCCATTAAATGCTGTTGGATGAACTTCCTTGATTCGATTATCATTAAGGTTCACGTAAATCAAGCTGGGATTAAATTTAAATAAATCAGCTTCGAGGACTTCAATTTTATTCTTAATCAGGAACGCATGCTTCAATTTTGTGAAGACTTTGAGGTCATCTTGAGTTATTTCCTTCAATTCACAGCCAGACACACTCAGTCCGATCAGATTTGCAAAAAACTTCGCAATTCCTTTTGGTAAATAATGCATCGTTTTGCCTTGAACATGAAAGCCTTGAACATTTGAAATTCCAAATCCCCAGCTGTGATAACCTCCAACATAACCAATTTGAGTATCCTTTTGTGTTACACTGAGACTCGATGCGACTTCACATTCATAAATGGAACCAATTGTCGTGTAGCCCCAATCTTCTTTCTCGAATTCACAATAAATGTCCAGTGATATTGAAAACATTATGTGGGAAAGAAGAAGAAGGAATAGCAGTGATCTGTGAATTATTGTGGATTATAATAAAAAAAAAAAACTTTAGATTTAGTAAGTCACAATCTTACCTTGACATTTTTTTTTAAAAATCACAAAATAACGAATAAACCACTTGAAAGTATTTTGCTTAAAGGTTCTTATTGTACTGATCATATTTTACATAAAGCACAAGATTTATGTACAAAATCACAAGTTGATTCTCATGAGAATGTATTTCATCATATCACTTTCCTTGATTATGTCTTCTTTTTTTAATTAAAATACAAAATTTGTCTCTTTATTACGCTGTTGATTACATTTTAGAAATTAAAAAAATTATTGGACTTTCCAGGCTTTTTTTTTAAAAAAAATTGTATTATTTTGAGTCAAAACATTCAGATTGATAAAGATTGATGGAAGGAGGTCAAAGCTTTATGATTATGATAATGATTAGGAGCTAATAATCCACTGTGAATTGTAAAACATTAAAGGTTTCTACTTCTCTTATTGTTGCACTGCCTCCTGAGCCTAATGACTAGGTCAGGTCAGGTCCGTTCTGACAATATTCCATTATAAGGTAATCTTGTAGCTCTCGTTCTTATTTCTCCCGCTACACTTCAAGTTCCTGATCCGTTCCTTAATCCAACGTTGCCCAAATGCCCAATTATGGCTTGATTTTCTACATTAAGCAGTCGAAGTATCTAAACTTCCGAAAAAGAACAAATTTGGAAATGGCTGGATTCGAACCGACGACCTTCGAGTTACCATCCCAAATTTGAGCCAAAATCCCGCTTAAAATCCTTACTTTCCCGCTTTTTTAATCTATTTTCTAGGAAAAGCTTGAAAATTTGGTCTGTCCTGCTTTTTAAGTGCTGAAATTGAGACTTAGACCGCTTTTTGACCAAAATTAAACAAAAGCTCAAGGACACCCTTAAAAAATACAAAAAAAAATTAAAATTCATGCTGATCATCTTCTTGAGTTTGAAGATTCTAGAACATAATGCCAATGGTACAACCAGCAACCGGCCTTATTTGCTTCCTTGGCTGGGGCACACTTGAGCCTATTCCCGCGTTCAGAAATCGTCTAAAGACAGCTCTGTTCTTCGAGTTCTGCTGGCTGTTTGGGATATTAAAAACTCTAGCATCAATATTATACTAAAAGAGATATCCAACAATTAAAATTCTCAAAAAATGGTAGCCAGCAATAGAGCCAGCTTCAGGCACCATTTAAGGGAGGCCACGAATCACAATTGATCTGTACGGTCAGCGAAACAAGTAAGTAAGTAAGAAATAAATTCTAGTCACTTGAATTATTCCATGTTAAATTTATTTTTTAAATATCAGATAAAAATACAACATTTAAGCCACTAACATGCAACTGGATATGAATCTGGAGATTATATTTAAAATTTTATTTCATTTTCAATCTAAACATCACAAAAGTTGCTACTATTTCTAGTACTTGAATAAATCAGGACTGTCAATTTTCGAAGTTTCTGAACAGCTCAATTTTAAGGATTTTTGAGCAACTCAGACCCCACAACAATGACTAGGTAAGGTAAAATACTTAATTAAAATCAAAAATGTATCACTTTCTGCTCTAAAATTGCTGACGTGTTTATTGAAATTGGCATCAATGTTCAGAGTGGGCAAGACCCTATGGACGCAGATCCTAATAAATCCAATTTAGATAGGATGGAAGGAGTATGTTCAGAAACTTTCAAAAAAACTCTAGCAAAATGAAGAAAATTTCTTTTGAGGATGGAAAATTTGTACCCCAAATCAACCCCTTTTCCCCTCCCTGACTACTCCTGGGCCCTGGGGCTCACCATGAGGGTTTGGACCCGCCTTATAAATTTTAAGCCGTACTCTCGCTTTGGTTTAACATTTTTAGAGGAGGGGAGTCTCTGCTCTTCAAGCCAATCGCTTAGCTGGTAGTGGAGGGAATGGGGAATGGGGAATTTGGGAATCCCTCAAGATAACAAAAAATTTCTTCATTTTGCTAGGGTTTTATTGAAAAAATCCTTAAATTCAACCCCCCTTCCCTATTTTTTTCATAAATGCTTCCCCCTTCTCCAAATTCTGGCTGTTGCAAGTCTTCCAGCTACGCCCCTGCTTCTAAGCAATAGACAATTAATTAGACGAGCTTAAAGTTTTAAACATTTTCCAGAGTAAAATTCATAATGTACTCAATCTTCACCATCATCAACCTTTCATCATGTGAGACAACATTCAACCTCGAATGCAATTATGATGACCACAAACTAACCCCAACCAACATAGATGTCTATAGATGTGAAGCCACAAATGAAATTGTCCTGAAGGAACGATACATCAAGAAAGGAACTGCAACAGGCAAACTTGCACCTGGAAAGACTCTTGCTGACGTCACTGGACTTCATGCTTATTTCAAGACAATCAATTTTCTGCCAGATTTTACAACTGTGTTCCCAAATTTGATTGGATTAAGCCTTGACATGTGTAAAGTGCTAAAACTCACAAAGGACGAATTAAAGCCGTACCCAAAAATTGTGCATTTACATTTGCATGCCAATAAGTTGCGTGTTTTAGAAAAAGACTTGTTCATGTACAATCCAGATTTGATCTACATTCGATTATCGCACAACATGCTGAGGGAAATTGACCCGCAAGTCTTTGACAGCCTCAAATCTCTAAAATATCTCTACTTTAAAGGCAACGAATGCACACAGAAGGATTGTGAAAGTCCAAAAGAGATTGCAGAACTTGTCAAGACATTGGATGATGAATGTGTGATTAAGTATCGACCAGCACCGGTTTCAAGACCACGAGAGGAACGCAAAAGAGTTGTTAAGGAAAAGACGAGCATTTGGAAGACTTTTGGGATCACTTTTGGTACCTTTGGTGGAATTGTTGTTGCTGTTGGCATTTTTTATCTCGTTCGAAAATTGTTTTTGCAGTAAAATAGATTGAATTTTGGTAATTGAGTGAAGTCTTGACAATTTATAATATTGTTTGTGACATTTTGATCAAATTTTTCTTTAAAAACATTTGTGTATTGGAATTAAGGTCACCTTTTTGCTTTTGTCGAGAAGATTTTCACTTTTTAATTTAAGTTTTGACCAGAAAATGCAACAAAAGAAATTGTTCTTATTTTTTAAGGTTTGAAAAGCATTAAATAATCTAATTTTCATTCAACTTTTTCCATTATTGCCCTTGCTGCTGGTAAAATGCCAAACAAAGCATGTTGAAATGCAAAGACTACCAAAAAAGATGCACAAAACATCATAAATCATTATAAAAAACATTACAAAACATCACAAAACATCACAAAACATCACAAAAGCATCACAAAACATCACAAAAGCATCACAAAAACATTACAAAACATCACAAAACAACATAAAACATTACAAAACATCACAAAATATCGAAAAACATCACAAAACATCACCAAATGACACACCAAAACATTAAACATCACAAATTCAAAACAAAAACAATAACAAACTTTTTCGCATCACTTTCTGCATCCCAACCTCCCCGCATCTTTACTCCTACCTGCATCTTTTTCAGAAAAAAAATCTCAAATAAACAGAGGAAAAAAGTAGGAAAAAAAATTGTTTATAAATTAAAATTTATTTTACACAAAATCAATTATTGCTGGACCAGAAACCAGCTAGAATGGCAGGCGGATCATCAACAAAAGTGGTGCAAGTCACCAATATTGCTCCGCAAGCGACCAAAGATCAAATGCAAGCGTTGTTTGGTATTTTGGGAAAAATTGATGAAATTCGGCTTTGTAAGTGTTGAAATTTTTTTTAAATTAAATTTAAATATTTTTTGCATTTTTAGAGGAGTTTGAGTTGGTTTTGTGAGGATTTTGTGGATTAATATGCTATTTTGTGATAAGTTGGATGTTTAAAATATCAAATGAGGCATCTTAGAAGTTCTGGATTTGGATCTGGATGTTTGAATTTGGATCAGTGCTTATTATTTTAGCTTTGAGCTGTTTTTGGGCAATTAAGTAAAATTTTGATCCTAATCATGTAGCTGAATGGCACACGACATAGACTGGTCTCAAAATAACACACCAGAAAAATTTGAACCATGTGAACAGCCAGATTTGATAACAATCCAGCCTACATAAGTCTCAATTCAGTTTAATTCCATCATTTTGCACTCCGTCTACGTTGTATGCTATTCAAGGCACAATTTTAGACGTTTTGAATCGTTTCATAGCTTAAAACTCATAAATAGCCTTCATGAAGGCAACATCTTACTCCTCCTCATTTCCTAGTTCCTCAAAACATCATAAAAGTTCGTCTATAGTCCTGCTTGGGCACACAATCTCCTTTCAGAGAAGATCCCTTCCTCCTGCAATACTAATAATCAATCATTCAATTCATCATTTTAGATCCATCAATCAGAGACGTCTCAGTTCCAGTTATATCCAGAATTTGCTATGTCAAATACACAGAATCGAGTGCAGTGTCAGCAGCACAACACATGACAAATACCGTCTTTATTGACCGAGCTCTTATCTGTATTCCGGTTCAGAGGTAAGTTTCGGTCTTGATTGTAGAGTTAAGTCAGTTAAATTTGAAGATTTGCCTTTGAGTTGATCTCTGGAACTACAAGTTACCAGTCCTCTGCTGTCCTAATTCCTTAACATCAATTACTAATCATTACTTTACTTCCCCCAGCATCCCAGACGAATACCACGCCCTCGAGATGTCAGCAAGTGGAACTTTAGTTCCAGGCTTCGGTAATTATTCATCGGAATCAAAGCTTCCACCAGAAGTTGTCTCCCGCATCGAAGGTCAAATGCCAAATCAAGTCATTCGAACTTACGATCCAAAACTTGAGAAATACAATCTCCCCGAGTATCCAGCACTTCCGGTCAATTATGATGATCGTAAAATTGAAGAGACAAGACGAACCATTTTAGTCCTCGCTGTTGAGTCTGACTGGAGATTGAATGACTTGATTGATCATTTTAAAAGAGCTGGTGAGGTGAAGTACGGACGATTTGCTGAAACTGACAATCGGCAAAAAATCGCAATGGTTGAATTTTGTGAGCAAAAAAGTGTAATTTATGCACTAAAAATGCAAGGATCAAGTTTCAATGGAGCACCTCTTAATATTCATCACTCAACGCAGCCAATCGTTAAGCCAGAAGCAAAGACAAATGAGGCAGCACAGAAAGAAATTGAGGAAGCAATGTCAATTGTTAAAGAATGTCATCAACAGATTTCAGCTGTAATTGATCCTGCATTTGGAATTTTGGCATCGAAGGATAAGACTTCGGGAAGCAGAAGGTCGAGGACTAGAAGTCGATCAAGAAGTAAGACAAGTCACTCGAGGTCCAAGAGGTCCAGGAGCAGAAAGAGGTAATTTTGAAGATTCTTGTGCTGAAATTTTCAATTAATTGTCAAATTACAATTTTAGATCCACAAGCCGCACCAGACGCAAGAGATCAACCAGCCGTCGTAAGTCTAAATCTCGTTCAAGAAGTCGTAGCAAGCGCAGAAAGCGTTCTGTTAGTCGTCGTAAGAGATCTCGTAGTCGCAGTAAGGATAGACGTCGTCGACGAGACAAGCGATCTCGTGAAAGGTCAAAGTCACGTCATCGTGACCACAGAGCTAGCCGGAATCGATCCAAGTGAGTACCTAACCTATACCTAACCTATACCTAACCTATACCTAACCTATACCTAACCTATACCTAACCTATACCTAACCTATACCTAACCTATACCTAACCTATACCTAACCTATACCTAACCTATACCTAACCTATACCTAACCTATACCTAACCTATACCTAACCTATACCTAACCTAAAATGTTGTCAACTCTCAAACCTTTTTCCAGAAGTCGTGAACGTCGCTCAGCCTCAAAAACACGTCACCGCACGGACCGTAAAAAGCGAACTCACCGTGAAAAGCGTGAAGAACGTCGCTACTCAGTGTCACGGTCTCGATCAAAAAGTCCACCAAAACGCTCACCATCACATGAGAAGCCAGTCTCAAAAATATCGAAAAAGCGCTCAAGCGAACGGAAATTATTGAAGAGAGTGTCTGAGGAACGAGTCAGAGATTATGATGCTGAAGAGAAGATTGGTTTGGATGACAATGGATGTGAAAAGTCTAGCTCGAAATCTGATAATATGGATATATCTCCATAGATTGTGAATTATTTGTGAGTTTTTTTTGAGGTGAAAATTTAAAATAATTTAATAAAAATTAATTTTTCAACTATGAATATTTCAATGTTTTACTGACTCAATAGTAGTTTTTTATAAGCCGCAACATCATTGGTGGTCAACAATAATACAAAATTTATTTATTTCAGCATTAACAATCTTCTTCTTACATCAATTGTTCTACGAAGAGCGTTTGGCATAAACTTTGGGGTATTTTTTGGCTTAGCCTTTAACTTAACCTTTAGCTTATCCTTCCGATCCTTCCACAACACAATCAACTCTCCGAAAAACACCAAAAATGCAGCATAAATCATGAAAAAGCAAATCTGAAAGCCAAATCCTAAATGACTCAAATTAAGCACAACTTTTTCTGTCTCAAAATCATTATTTTCAAGATTCCATTTTGACTTTGTGAATCTTTCCATGTGCAAGTTGATGATCCCGCCGGTTATGAATCCTTCAATAATTTCTTGAAGCCTCTCGTTCCACAGATTTGGATATAAGAATCCAATTGCATAAAATGACTTTGTGATTGGTGTTGGAATGAATCGTTTTGGGAATGAAACTTGTGAAAAGTAAATGTTTAACTGATGCTCGATGTCGCAGGTGAGGACAGTTCCAGTGAATGAGGGATCGGATATCTTGTTTGTATAGATTTCAGTATAGACATGATTTGAGACAGTTTCGGTGTTTAGGCTACAAAATAAATATTTAAAAGTTTATCAAATTTGACCCAGAATCCAAAGGTTTAGAAATCAAATAATTTACCCGATTACCCTCTTGACGAAGTCCAATATCTTGTGATACTCATTTTCATCAGGCATATAAAGTGAAAAATTCTTATCCTTCAGCTCCTCTAATGTTCTCATTTCAGGCTTCCTTATTGCCGTTGTTGTGAATTCAAATAGCTTTCCTTGATAAGCTGTCCTTATAACCAAGCACCATAAAATAAATGACAGTAAAATCAATCTAGCAAAGTTCTTTTTAGGCAAAATTGTTTGTCCGATTCCAAAAAATCCTCGAACTACGTTGAGCATTGGACTTTGTACTTTTGAGCCATAGAAAATATTTTTAACCATCAATGGGAACCGATTAATGATACAAATTGCAACAACTGCAGAAAACATAGCGATAGTCAAGCATATCCACGTTTCAAAGTCAAATGGAAGGAGAACTTTCTCAAAGGATGTGTACAGATCGCCGGGTGGAATGAACAGTTGTGGCCTGTAAAAAAGTTAATAAATTGTCTTTATTATCTTGTCCCTATAGTCTTCGTTTTGTCTTCGGTTTGTCTTCGTTTTGTCTTCGTTTTGTCTTCGTTTTGTCTTCGTTTTGTCTTCGTTTTATCTTCGTTTTATCTTCGTTTTATCTTCGTTTTATCTTCGGTTTGTCTTCGTTTTGTCTTCGTATTGTCTTCGTTTTGTCTTCGTTTTGTCTTCGTTTTGTATTCGTTTTGTCTTCATTTTGTCTGCATGTTCTTCTATATTGTCTTTGTCATGTTTTTGACTTGTCTGGTACCTTTTCTGCATCTTGATTTTCGTGTTATCAAACTTACGTGCACTCAATGTTAAGTAAAATATTTTTCCAGTTGCTATTTTCATTCATATTAATTGCGTTGGCATCAAGAGTTTCTAAACTGATAATATTGTAGAGATATCGATTTTTCCTCGAAGTTTCTAAGCAGCTCATTGTATCACAAGCATTACCTAATATAGTAAAATTTAAAATGTCTGCAACTTCAGTCAACACTTTGACCATCGGGCCTTCTGATGATTCTCTATTAACATTTTGTCGTAAAATTCGAAAGAAATTTGAACCACCAGGAATGCCTAAAACCATGATGCAATTGTAAAAGTCTTGATATTTTTTTGGGAAGACTGGAAAGCTTGTCCATTGAAGAGTTTTCTCTGAAAATTCATTTATTTGAACAACTCGTTGACTTTCGTGGCAAAATTTGAGTTCTTTTCGATTTTCGTACGTAAAAAGTTTGAATTTTTGGTCCGAATTATCAAAAATAATGAAATAAAAGTGCGGTGGGATAACTAAGTTAGTTTTGAGTATTGTAAGCATCTGTTTTGTTGCATTCTGACAGTAAACTAGAAACCTTATTGGATTTATGTAACGCAATCGAATCAAATCTTTTTTATTAAACAAATTCAAATCAAGAATGTGATTGAACAGCAAAATTGATTGACTTTCAAGCTTCTTTGTGAATTTTAAAGGATTATTCACTTTAGCTAGTGTTAATGTCAAAGAATTATTTGATTTTTTCATTATTTTACCAATCAGGTCACCTTGAAGACCACGAAAATCGATAATGTCGACATTTTTTGAATATTTTGAGTAAAATTCTTCAATTATTTCACCAATTGCGATGCTTAGAATTGTCGTGTCCTGTGAAGTTGTCAATTTTGTCAAAAATAAAATTGAAGCTAAAAAGCATTTTAAAATACTCATTGTGATGTCGACTCTAAAGCACGAATGAAAATGAAGAGCTGATATTTAAAGCTGGTTTCATTGAAAATGTTTGATTTTATCTTTGACTGTTCATAAATGTGTTTAATTAGACTTATTTTCAGAAATCATGAATTCCATTTCTTGAGGTCAGGAAGTTGATGAATAATTTATTTTAACAACATTTAAACATAACAGTTTATAAATATGACAAAAAAAGATATTTTTTGAAACATTTTTGATGACAAAATTTTGAAAGTTTTCGCTGTTTTGACTGACGAGATATAACGCTGGCATTAACACCGTCTATTATTTCATCAAATCCTTCAGCATATCCTGGCATTCCACCCTTCGAGTTGGAGTAAATGTTTGAATATTCTTTATTTGCATCGATGGCTAGAGTTGTTAACAAGATGACAGCTAAACCAAAAACTCTAAAATTTCAGAATAATAAGTTTAAAATTCAGATTTAGGATTTTTTGATTTTTGGTATCTTTTCTCAATGCCTGTACAATTAGGAATGGACATTTAAGCACGAAGGAGGGCTAAAGTTCGAATTCAAAGTAAACACAGTCCACAGCTACTATCTGCGTCACTTATTAACTTATGATAGTTGCTTATGCCAAAAAATAACCAAAAAAAGTCAACAAAATATTCAAATTTTTCACTCACAAAGTAAATTTGTACATTTTTCAATTAAATACTTTTAAAATTCTTCAAATGATCTTCAAAGCTCACACAACGATATTAATTTGACCAACATCTCTAATCCAGTTCTTATTTTATATCATTCTAAATTTCATTTTCATCTGAGGCTTTGATTACATGCATAAAATACATTGCATTTAATAATATTAATTTCATCATGTAATTAACGATTTGTGTCTTGATAAAGTGAAATTTCCTGGAGTGAACGAATGCATTGATGTTTTCTATCCAGAACTAGACATGTTCGAGGCATAATGATCAGTAATGACAAAAGTATTACGAATAGCAAAATCTGAGATGCAAACGATCTGTTTTGTTCTTTTTGCATATCCAGCTATGAGAGTTTGTGGCAATTTTTGTTCAATTGACAACTGATTGACGTAATATTTCATCAGAGAATATCAAGGCATGGCAATTGTAGAATTATCTGATTAGTCTGGTGAGCCTATGAGTCTGTGAGTCTGTAAGTCTGTATGTTTAACTGGCTGTCTGTAAGTCTATGAGTCTGTAAGTCTTTCTGTCTGGCTGTCTGTGAGTCTATGAATCTGTAAGTCTGTCCAGTTTGCTTCTATTTCGGTTGTCATTAAATACTTTTCTTTATCTCTTAGAATCCCCTTTTCCAGAATAAACAAAAATTTGTAAATTATTCTCTAAAAACATTGAGAAATTCTCTCACATAAGAGATTGCACTAAGTTTATTGAGCATATATAATCACTTTTGAATTATACTTCAATAGAGAAAGTCGACTAAGATTTAATTAAGCACAAAAAATTATGAAATTATTTTGGTGAGTATTGATAAATATGGTTAAGACTCATTTGAGATTCCCAAATAAATTTGGTTCAAAAGTTAACAGCTTTAGTTCTTAATGCCGAGGCTGGTTTCAAGGGATATCCTTTAATCATCGCAGACTACAACAATTAAAACTTACATTTTTTATTTTTCATTATTAACAGCCTTATTATCTGCTGCTTATCGCTCCAATTTGACTCTTCATCGTCACTAGACGCTACCTGCTCCTATGAACATTATAGATGGCTTGTCGTTGGTCAAATCTACTTCTGTAAGGTCCTCAACCGACTCAACATCATCACACCAGACCAAAAAGTCATCAGAGATGCTCAAGGAACTCACGAAGTCAGCAAAACCAACGATGATGTCCTCGGATTTTATGCCTTAAATAAATCTATTGAATATTTCCCGCGCGGCATCGAAAAAATATTTAAAAATTTAAAATTAATCAACATTCAGCATGGCAGGATAAAGGAGATTCATCAAGCTGATTTGAAGCCACACACAAAGTTGGAATATTTAGCATTATGGGAAAATGACATTGAAGTTCTTGAGGATGGACTGTTTGACTTCAATCCAGACCTGACTTATCTTTACTTTGAAAAGAACAAAATTATTCAAATTCATTCAAAAACTTTCGACAATTTGCCAAAAATGAAGTTTTTGGACCTCCAATCCAACATGTGCATTGACATGTACGCTAAGGACAACTCAGCAGCTCTAGTAGAGGTCATTAGGCAGTCTAAAGCTCAATGCACGATTCTACCAATTAAAAATTTATTCAATCAAGTCAAAATTGTGGATAAAAAGTCAACTGTAGCTTTAACTAAGGCAGCAAATCATGATTTTGGGTTGAAAATGTGTCAAAATTCAGTTCTGGTTTTAAATCAGAGAATTATAAATTTAGAAAAAGCTACAAAAGCTTTGATGTTGACAAGAAATGATGAAACTAGCTTAAAAGCTCCTGGACTTGAAAGCTCAAATGGAAAGCTTCTCCTGATCGAGCAAGGAATGAAGAACTTGGAACTGACAATGACAGTGACGAAGTTGGAAAATTCAGGAAATGTCAAAGCATTGAATGACAAAGCAGCAGTGCTGGAATCAAAACTCGATAAACTTCAAAACGACTTAAAAGCTTACAAGATTGAAGCTTTACAGGCACAAGTTGACAACATTCAAGAGTCTATAAAAGCACAGGAAGCTGAAACATCAAGAAAGCTTGAAAACTTGCAGAAAGCTCTCAAAGACAACGAAGACAATTTGAACAGCTTTAAGGTTGAAATTTTTGGAGCCGTTGAGAAAATTGTGGAAAAATTGAAGGAAAATTCACAAAATTTCGAGCAAAAAGCTTCGGAAAAATTCGTCGAGTTGTCAAAGAGCTTAAAAGCATCTCAAAATGAAGCTTTTGAAGTTATAAAGGATAAATTTATTAATTTTGAAAATGGATTCAGCAGCTTGCAATCCAAAATGATAGAATCTATAAAAGTTGTTGACGAGTCATGCGATGTTGAATGAAAAGTTCTAAATTTATTAATTCAAATTTCGAATAAAATTAATTTTTATACCAACTTAAAAAATATTCAAGTTTCATTCAAAATATCCTCAATTTTCCCTTCGACTTCCTGAATTCTAGCCATTAATCGACTTTCTAAAGATTTTTCAATTTCTTTGAATTTTTTCTCACTTTTCCCTTCAAACTCCTGCAACTTCTGTCCAACCGCATCAACCATAGACTTTAGTGTCCAAAATGTCTCAACTTTCCAGTCCTTCAAGCAATCCAGTCGCTCACGAAACCACAAAACTTCAGCAAATCTCGAAACTTTAAATTCATCCTCAAATTTCTCCAAATTATTGTAAAAAGCCAAAAAAGATTGAAATTTGAATTTTTTGACGTCATTTTCGAGGTTGTTGAACTTTTGTGAGATGACATTAAAGTCCATGTCGGTGCATTGATCCTTGACATGCTTGATGATTTCAGTTACAGCTGTTTTATTATTCACGGCAATCATATCGACGCAATTGTTGGCTTTAAGGCTTAAATGAACTAATTTGATCAAATTGTCAAAAATATCAGCAGAAATAAAGAAAATTTTGTTATTGTCGAGTGACACAAAAGCCAGGTTCGAGTTGTTCACAAATAAATCTTCTTCCAGCATGTCAATGTCATTGTTGTCTAATTGAAGCCTCACAAGCTGTGCGAATGGCTTCAAATCAGATTTGAGAATTTGTTTAAGGTTGCAGTCATAAATCTCAATCATTTTAAGATTTGGCAAATGTTTGTCAATTCCGTGCGGGAAAAATTGAATGCTTTTTGATGCTGCATGGAAGCCAATCACATTGTCATTGATGTTCTTATCGATATGTGTTCCTATGATGTCTAGTGATTGAGTAGTCATTGGTGAGTAGATTTGTGGATCATTTTTGACTTGACAGCGATAAATGTTGCCGAGAAGCCAGAAGCTGTATTTACTGATGCTGAAGTTGCACTCGATCTTTGTTGGGTTTGGTGACGGGCTTGATGGTTGGATGGAGCAGTAAATCAGACTGTAAATAAACAATTTTTGTCATAAATTTATAAAATCATCGATTGAGGTTAGGTATAGGTTAGGTATAGGTTAGGTATATGTTAGGTATAGGTTAGGTATAGGTTAGGTATAGGTTAGGTATATGTTAGGTATAGGTTAGGTATAGGTTAGGTATAGGTTAGGTATAGGTTAGGTATAGGTTAGGTATAGGTTAGGTATAGGTTAGGTGTAGGTTAGGTATAGGTTAGGTATACATTAGGTTTAGGTTGAGCTTAACTTACAATAAAAACTTCAATTTCATTGTTATTTGATAAAAGTTTAATATGCAATTTTAAAGCAAATCTCAGAGTTCTAAAAGCTAGTTCTAATATAGTCAACAAACTTATGCGAAATGAAGAGAGTAAGAAAATATATTTTTTCCGCAACTTATCATAATTGTTAGATTCTGAGAGTATTCTAAATTGCTCAATTGTAAATCGACAGATTATTCAATAAAAATTTTAAGAAACGCTCAATTTGAGCAATTTTTTAAAGAGAATCTTAGAACTTCTCTTATCCATTCAACCTCCAGGCAGTCTAGTAACAATAAAAAATGATTTTTTAAATTTTTTGGGTAAGAAATACTGCAGTTGTGCTCGATTCTTAGTTTAACAACCAATAAAATTGACAAATATTTAAAAAACTCATCAAAATATTTTATTTAAAAGTCAATAAATGTAAAAGAGTCGTTGTAATCACAATAATATCAATTCTTGGAGCTGCCATGCATCCCTCACTAGCCTCAGCATTTGATTTGACATCCTTTGTATCTGTCAGATCATCTTCAATTTCAAATGTCGATTCATCAGCTGTGGTTAAGCTGTCATTTATCGGACAACTTATTTTGATTTTTCTAATGAGTTTCACAACTTCTGTTGTATTATTTGCATTACTAAACTGACATCGATTCCCATTAAGACCCAAATAAGTTAGCTTTGTCAAACTATTAAAAACTTCAGGATGAATTTGACTGATTCGATTGTCCTCAAATGAAATGTAAAGTAAGTCAAGGTTAAAGTCAAAAAGCCCTTCTTTAATGACTTGAATGAGTCCATCTGTCAAGCTTAAATATTCCAATTTTGTTAAATCTTTCAAATCACTTTGATGGAGTTCCTTAATTCCATTATGATGAATAAAAATCATTCTTAAATTTTTGTAAATCTTTTCAAGTCCAAGCGGAAAAAAATTAATTTTCATATTTTTATTATTGACATAAAATCCAGCAACATCATCGTTGACTTTTGGTCCATGATGAGGTCCACTAGCTGCATCAATGACTGCAGATTCAGGAGTTGTTATATTTGGATCTGTTTGAACTTCACAATGATAAATCGATCCAATGACAGCAAATGTCCAATATTCATATGAACAATCGAGAGACGTTGATGATGAGAGACTTAAAATTGAGCATGAGAGTAAAGTCAGGCAGCTAAAATGTAAATATTTACATTGACTGAATGTTGTTATATATTGGAAATCCTTAAACTTACCATAAGATTCTCATTTTATTGAGTTTTTTCTGCCAAACATTTGATTTATTTTTGGGAATTTTAATAAACAAAATTTAAATTTTGTCTTTGTGGACTTAATAAATGGAAATGAACCACAAAAATGATTAAAAACTTTTTTCTTCTTTATTTCTCTCGTTTTTTAAAGTCGTGAGAAGTTGCAGTCACTGATGTCAATCTGAGAGCGACTTAACTATGACGTCAATTGATGCTTCAAAGCAATATTTTAACAATACAGAACAGCACATTCTAATTGATTGACCAACTTGTGCTGCTCGGGAAAGTATTATTGGCTAGAACCTAAGAACTGCATTAATTATAACAGCCAAAGATATCACCAAAATATGATTTTTATGCTGAACAGATTGACTCTTTCTATGTGGAGCATGTGTAGTTTCCACAAATTCTTCAATTGATGAATCTTCCCAGTCAGTTGTTTTTGTTGTTGTCCATTCTGTTGTAGTGGTTTGAGCAGCAGCTGTCGATCCGGTATATTGACATTTAGCCTTAAATTCACCGATGATATATTTGACTTGAAAGACACTGCTATCAGCCCTACGATTAGTGCATGAATTACCTTCCAAAATCAGATGTCTGAGCTCCTTTAAATTATTAAAAACTGTTGGATGGATTTGAAGGATTTTATTCTCTGCGAAAGAGATGAAGGCAAGCTTTGGATTAAAGTCAAAGAGACCTTCTTCAATAATTTTGATGTCATTGTTTGCCAAGCTTAAATATACTAGTTTTGTGAATGGTTTAAGGTCAGCTTGATGAACTTCTGTGAGTCTTCCGTAGTAAATTGCGATTAATTTAAGATTTTTAAAGATTTTTTCTAAACCGCGCGGAAAAACTTCAATTTTTTTGCTGCTTGAATAGATTCCAGCGACATCATAGTCAGATCTGTAGCTTTCATGGGTTCCTGTTGCACTATTGACGACTGCTGTCTCTGCTGAAATTATGTTTGGATCATAGCGGATGTCACAGTGGTAAGTGTTGCCAATAACAGTAAAAGAGTAATATTCAAAAGAACAATTGATGTCTGTTGATGTGGAAATGTGAATAATTGAAAGGAAAAGGCAGAAGATGAGGCTAGAAGAAAAAGAATATAATTCTTCGTTAATTAAATTCAAGCATTGAAGGTCAAATGTAAGTACTAGAGTGTCTATTATAGAGATTTAGATAAGCATTATTCCAACCATCGTTTTGAAGACTAAAGCAATTGTTGCACATTTTACAAGATCACCCATTTCCACATCCATGAACAACTTACCAATAACCTTTCATCATTTAGAAATTTTAATAAAACTTTTTGACTCAATAATCGTCAACTTAATGATTAAAAAAAATTTATTAAATCAGTCTGAATTTCTGTTATTTAATGGTCAACTAGAGGTTCTCAGGAGTCGTTCATAAATGATGTCAATTAAGAAATATTTCACTCTTAGTCAGGAATTTGAAGAGAAGTAGACAAAAAAATGTTTTTACACAAAGTTTAGGGGGGGGGGGGGGGAGTGGTGCCAGGAGTTTGTAGATATTTTTCATAAAGACCTTTTTCAAATATAAGAAATTTCTGGTGACGGTCGGGAAATAGAGAGAGGTTGAACTGTCACAAAATTCCAAACATCCTCCCACCCATAAAATGTTTGACGTAATTTACAAATAGCTTCTTATGTGCTTCTGTGGAATTCACATGTATATAAGTAAAGGCGAGAATAAGAAAGTCAAGTTGCAAGAGCAAAATGATAAGAGTAATTTAAAAAAAATGATTAAATTCAATATTCTTGAATAACATTTTTGGGGCTTAGCAAGACACAATTAATAAACAAAACCAGCTGATCAACTTTAATATAGCGCTTTGAGTTTGTGCGACTTTGAAGTAGGCTGTTCAATTGCGTTCTTTTTGGCAGGACAGAAGCTTTGTTTCAGTGTTTTCCAAGCTTTTAGAGCCACTGCCGGCATGATGGTAAACGACGCAAAACGAGAGGTTCGTAGATCCTTCAAAAAAACTCTACAGCACACGCGGTTGCCCTGGCACACAATTTTTTACAACACTGCTCAATTGTGAAGAATTTCCTTCCTAAAATCCTTGAATTTGCGCTGTCTTAAATTATTTTCGGCTGTTGCGGTTTTTTAAGCTGAAATCGGGTTATGTCCCGCTTATTAACCAAAAACCGTTGGACAGCCTTCTTCTGACCATTCAGCTTTTTCTTATGTTGGGGGTAGATTTGTAATTAAGTCTAGACTAGGATTAGACCCTAGAGCAGGATCGGTACTTAGACTATCAACTTAGATGTGGGGTTGGTTTCTAGGTCTACCTGTGGGATTCTAGAGCTGATATTAATTACGATTTACTACAATAATGGATATAAATAAAATTAACCTAAGACTAGAGTATGAGGCCCCGGTAGCCTAGAAAATAGGTTCTAAACTAAAACTAAAGCAATTTAAGCTTGTCAAGGATCGCAAAAGTGTGAGCTGGAGTGGCTCGGTGGCGGAATGGTTTAGTACTTCGGTACCTAATTATTGCAATACCGACACAGCGATCATGGGTTCGAGACTGGGTATGAGAAATTTTTCATTTATTCTTTTTCGAATCATATGTACTGGAATTGAGGCTCACAGCCTTCCTTTGTAGGCTACAGGCAGAAATGTCAGTAAAGGAGTGGTTCGGATCCCACTGTAAATTGTAGGTCTAGGTTGGAGTGGCACATCCTCACTCGTTAAACTCTCATTAGCTGCAAAACGCCCTAGCGCACCTCTGGATCACAATTGATCTGAATAGGTAAAGTTTTTTTTAAGGATCGCAAAGCATAGTTTGAGAAGGATTGCCTTAAATGAAAAAAGGATACAATTATACAAGTTATTTGAACTAGCTTTAACAATTTATTTATCACATTTTTTAAAAATTAATCAAATCACTGAATACAAATCCACAAAACAGCAGCAACAGTGACCATCAAGACACTACTTTCCAATCTTGACGTCATTCCTTTAATATTTTCATCATCAAATCGGCCTTCCATGACATTTATTGATTCTTCAGTCGTTGTTATAACTTCTGGTGCTGAACACTTAGCCTTTAATTTTCTGATGAGATCCACAACTTGATTTCTATTTTCATTTGCATTAACATTGATGCACAGATTGCCACTTAGCCTCAAAGTCACCAAATAAGCTAAATGATCAAAACTATTTGGATGAATTCTCGAAATTTTGTTGTCCCTCAACGAAATGTATTTCAAGTTTGGGTTATAGTCAAAAAGTCCATTTTCAATGACCTCAATTTGATTGACAAAAAGTGAGAACCAAATTAGTTTTGGGAATGGCTTCAGGTCATTTTTTCCAATTCTTTTAATTCCACAATCACCAAAAATAATCACTTCCAGATTATTAAAAACTTTGGACAATCCTTGAGGAAAAAAGTCAAAATGACTGCCATAGACCCAAAATCCTGTTACATCTGTGTCTTTTTTGTCAACTAAGTGACGTCCTGTTGCTGATGAAATTGATAAAATGCCTTCTTTAACATGATGATGGTCGCTAATGACATTACAGCAATAAGCTGCTGGAATCAGCTCATTAAATCCTGTTTCGATTTCATAGCGGCATGCAACTTCAAATGATGACACTTGTGAAGTCAATGTGATTGATAGAATTAACGAAATAAGCCTGAGGATGAGAAGGAAGCAAGAAGTTGATCAAAAATAGTTTATAGACATCAGGATTGACGTTTTCTGAGGTATAGAGCATCAGAACTTACCAAAAACACTTCATCGTTGTTGACTTATTTAATTTTAAATTGACTGAACTGTAAACAAACTCAAATGAATGTCTGATGATCCCAGAAGTTATCGATTAAATGAGATGAATTTTTTTAAATCAACTTAATTGGAATAAATTTTGATTAAATAATTTAAAATTTCTTATCAAGGGTTTTTCAGGATTCTCATTCAGATTTGTAGTATTTTTTAATCATTTGGAATTTCCAACCACTTAATTGATTTTATATCAGCTTAATTCAAGTCAATTTTAAAGCAAAGGAGCTAAGCAGTTAAGTACCTTGCTGGTCGAATAGGTAAGGCGCTTGGCTCAAATTTGGGATGGTGACTCGAAGGTCGTCGGTTTGAATCCAGCCATTTCCAAATTTGTTCTTTTTCGGAAGTTTAGATACTTCGACTGCTTAGTGTACAAGATCAAGCCATAATCGGGCATTTGGGCAACGTTGGATTAAGGAACGGGTCAGGAACTTGAAGTGTAGCGGGAGAAATAGGAACGAGAGCTACAAGATTACCCACGAATGAAATATTGTTAGAACGGACCTGAAAAGTATCACGTCACGCCCACAAAAGATCGAAACGAAAGCCTTAGTTTATTTGAAACCTAGATTTGAAGATTAGAACTTTGATCCTACATAAAATTATTTCATATGTAAACAAATACAAAAGTGTAAAATGTGAATTATCACCGGACAGTATGTCGTCAATAAATGCAACAAAGTGCAATTAAAATGAAAAAAAAAAAAAAAATTAAAATAATTTAGTGTCATTTAATTCAGTTTGCGGAAGCAAATTGTGTTTTCTTGCCACTTTTAATCGCTCAATTTATTCATTGTCAATTGATAACATGAATTCAGTACTGTATATAGTTCAATGATCGCAATGAATTCAGACGCTAGCTGCCAAAAGTCAAACAAACCTACTCAAAGCTAGCTAGTACAAACCTAATAAGCACAGTTTGGTTAATTAATCATAAATCCGACATCAATTGTGACCTTGTCATGGAGTCAAGTTTAAATCGAAACCAGTGCCATTCAAGAGCCATGCCGGCTTATCGTTGGATTTCCGATCGAATAACGGACCTTGTGCTTTTGGCAAAAGGTGGAAGAAACTAAAATTTTAAATGCATTAGGCTGTCCAAAATTGATACTTGATCAAAATGTAATTTTTTGATTCCACAACCTTGTTCGACTGCGCATGGACAATCCAACTTTTTTGAAACTATTATTCTTGGAAAATACCTGAAAATTTGGTCTGTCCCGCTTTTTCAGTGCTAAAATCGGGACATTGTAGATCTCCCTATAACTGCTATATATGTGACCACTCGGTCAAAGATCCATGTCACATGGCCATAGATGTACTTATCTCACTTCTGCTATCTGTCAAACACATAAAACCAGTTCTACACGAGCCTAATGTTCAGGCCTATCTCCTACAGACATTCTCTTCAAGCCATATCCACAGACATGTCCCGCTTTTTGACCAAAAATCGACAAAAACCGATGGGCAGCTGACGTTGTCTGCCAGCTTGTTGTTCCAGCACTGATTTCAGACAATAAAACACATTTTACATACTTTTAAATTTTTTTTTTAATATTTCTAATATTCCACTAAGTTCCACTTAACAATTCAAAACACTAAGCACAAGTCCCAAAATGACAAAAAATCCCAATTCAAATTTACTTCCAGAATTTTTTTCATCCATCAATTTCTCCTGATTAATTCTACTCATTTCAGTAGTTGTTGATGTTGTTGTTGTTATTGTGTCATTTAAACATTTAAATTTGACTTCCTTAATAGCCTTGCTGAGTGCTTTATAATCATCTTTAGCTAGTTTATCGACACATTTATTGGCATCGAGGAACAAAAATGACAATTTTGGTAATTTATCAAAAATTTCTGGATGAATTTTGTAAAGTTTATTGTTGGCAAATGAAATGAAGGCTAAGTTTGGGTTAAAGTCGAAAAGTCCTTCCTCTAGAACCTCGATTGTGTTGTTGTGGAGGTTTAGATATTCAAGCTGTGGGAAGGGCTTTAAGTCATCTTGATAAATTTCATTGATTTTTCCATGCATAATGACAATAAGTTTGAGATTTTTGAAGATTTTATCTAAATTTTGTGGGAAAAAGTTGACAGTTTTGTTTTCAGCCCAGAAACCGAAAACATCGTCGTTAGATTTGGATGCTGTATGATTATCAGATGCACTGTCGATAGCTGCTAATTCTGGGGATGTTATGTTGAGGTTTGATGACACTTTGCAGTAGTAAGTTGGTCCGATGACGAAGAATGTGTAAATTTGGTAAGTACAGTCGATGTTTGTTGATGATATAATGGTGAATAATACAGGAAGTAGGCACAAAATGAGACTAAAATTAAGAGAGAATCTGTTAATTGAATTTAAGAAATCAACAAATCAGCTCCAAAACTCACCAAAAAGTCTTCATGTTTGGATCTTCAAAAATTGCACAAAATAAAAATCGACGAGAATCTCAAAAATTTCCACTCATTATGTCGACAATCGTACACGAAATGACCACAAAAAAAATATCACTATTATTTTTAGATAAGTTTCTCTCAGTTTTTGAGCAGCTGCGAGCATTCTTTGCACAAAATTTCTCACTCAACTTTTTAAGCACAGGAAGGTGCGACTTTTAAAATAAACAAATTAAATAATTTTTGCTTAAAGAATTCTTTAAATAGCGACAAAAATTGCGTTGGTCAGGAACAGTCTAAACGACTAAGCTTCACATGATGCGAAGATTAATCACATGTGGAGATGAACAAATTCTCTCAGAGAACGCCTCTCTCGATCTCAAATTTACATTCGTAAAGTTATCAAATCAAAAGTTTCTGTTTATTTTCATGTTTACATACATTTTTTTTTTTGAGAACATTTTAGTCTAAATTTAGCTTTTCGAGTGTTTTTATCAAATTTAAATTGCTCATAAAATTGGAATTCATTTGTTATTAAATTTATAAATTGTGCTGAATTTTGAAATAGTTGTGGAAATAACTGCCTGCATACAATGATGATATTGTGAATAGTTTTATCAAGTTAACTAGATTAGTGTGACTCATTGTGACCCGATTTCTGATACATTTTGGATATGCGATTTGTCATAGTCAACAGCTCTAAAGTGACTATTTGAATTCATTTGTGGAATGAGAAGTGGAAATATTTGAGAAACCAGCGTTATGTTTCATTAGAACTTGAAGGATCATCAATAATTCTCAACTTAACCCAGTTAATCTATAATAATTTTCAACCTAACCTAGCTAATCTTCAGTAATCCCCAATATACTTCAGCTAATCTTCAATAATCCCTAATCTACCTCAGCTAATCTTCATTAATCCCCATCCTACCCCTCCTAATCTTCAATAATCCCCAACCTACCCCAGCTAATCTTCAATAATCCCCAACCCACCTTAATAATCCTTAATTTCCCCCAGCTAATCTTTGAAAATCCCCAATCTACCCCAGCTAATCTTTAATAATCCCCAACTCACCTTAGCTAATCTTCAATAATCCTTAATTTCCCCCAGCTAATCTTTGAAAATCCCCAACCTACCCCAGCTAATCTTTAATAATCCCCAACTCACCTTAGCTAATCTTCAATAATCCTTAATTTCCCCCAGCTAATCTTTGAAAATCCCCAACCTACAACAGCTAATCTTTAATAATCCCCAGATAATCTTCTATAATCCCCAACTTCCCCCAGCTAATATTCGATAATCCCAAACCACACCCAAACTATGTCTGCAAAACTTCTACTTCTATTCCTCATTATCCTTATAATTTCCCCATCCTTAACCTTCAAAAATGACTACGAACTTCTCTTAACCTACAAAAAATACCTCAAAGTAATGAAAGAAACACCTCCAGCCACAAAGTATACCCTCGTAGACATGCTAGAAACAACAATCCAACGCTGTATCAAATTAAAGCTAGACATTCGAGATTCCAGCCACATTCCAGACAAGGAAGTCGATCGTAAAGTCTTCAGCATGACAAGAATTGTTACCGGAAAGTCGAGGGAGATGAAGGAAGCTTATGCAGTCATGCTTGCAGCACCGCTTTGTAATTATTATGTGGATGAATACTTTAAGGATATGTTTGAGGATCTTATGGTGTTGTTTAAAAGTGATTTTTATGAGGAACATTTGGACTGCTTTAGGAACTTCAACATCAACAATTTTGACACGGCTGACGAGGATTGTACTGAGATTTTTGGTGAATTTACTAAGCATTATTATCTTAATCCAATTGATATAGTCAGGAACTTAATTGATAATCATAACTATCCATACTGCATTGAGAACATTGCGATTAAAAATGCAATGTACAACTACAAAGCTGTAATTTATGCCAACACTAATCCTTACGGATTCCATCGAATTGTTATTAGGAATGAGTTTGTGGATATGATGAAGAATAGCAATCAAGATGCCCTCGATTGTATTTTAATGGACTTGAACTTGAGCAAAGTTGAGAAATTAAATTGGAAATCTTTAAATGAAGTCTGAGATAAGGAAAATAATCGGGAGGAAACAACTTCATGAGAAATAAATGTTCAAATAGTTGTGTACCAAAAAGACATTGAATAAATTAAGATTTTTGCTAAAATTTTAAAATTGTGATTTAAATTTTATTCATTTATTAAATTTTTAAAAAAACACGATGCTACACTGACCAAACCTTAGCCTCAATTGTACGTTATTTCCGCCTAAAACACCTTTTTCAAAGTTAGTATATTTAAAGTTACTCTGAATAAAAAAAACAACACGTGCGTCATATTTGCGTAGACATTAATGTCTCTCCCCAAATAAACTACATCCTTAATCCATAGGAAACCTAGGCTGGACATAAATTCTTCGAACTTTCAACTTCCTTGCCCTCAATCTCTTGACTCTCTTGCGTCTATGAATGATGTAGTAAAGTGCACCTTTTTGATATTTTGGATGCTTTGGTTGCTTCTGCTTCTTATATGCCATCTGATGTACTCGATTTCTCAACTTCCGTGCGAGACAAGTAAGCTCTAATTTCTTAAGGATATCATGAAAAAAGATCTCAAAAAGCAGCACAACAATAGACAGAACATAGCCGAAAATAAGAATGCTGAACACTTGAGTTAAGTCTTCAAGTTTTAGTAATGAAGGCTCACTGCTGCTATGAAAAAGATTCTTTTTTATTTTACTAGGTGACACAAAAACATTCCAAATATGCATTAAACCAGCTTGAAATGACAAGTCCATGTAGTACTGAAGTCTCTCAATAAATGGATTAAAGTAGCTTGCTTCAAGTCTGACGAGGTATGAAGACAACTTTTTAGGCAGCATGTAATAATGTTCTGATACTTTGTTGCCATTTGGGAGCTGTAAAGTCATCATCATTTCAATCTGATCGCATTCCAATATAACAATTTTTTCTGATTTTTGCATCGTTTTCTTCAATGTGCCCCATTCCTCAAAAATAGTTTCAATCGATCTTGATTTCAATTTCTCAAGAGCTAAAGTCTCATTTAATGAATCGATGAAAGTTTCGTCAGTGATGATATCATGCTCAGATGCTATTAAGTCATCGAATGTCTCAAGTCGTTGCTCATACATGGGTTGGATCATGAAAGATGTTATGATGCTCTCGTAGGCAGTGCTGAGTACCCAAATCATCAAAATGATCAGCTGCAACAAAATAGTCAGCACAAAGCGGTTCTTCCGACTGAAATGAACACCTTGACCGATGAACATGACAAACATGCCATAAACAAGTAGCCAAGGAGAATCAACAGCACCACGACCACGGAACATCCAAAAAACAGCAACAGAACAAATCATAGTAAGAGCAAAAAATAGCCAAGTAAGACCATCGAATGGTTCAATGAAGATTGACTGAAAAAGGGAATTTGTTTGAGGCAATGGAACTAAAGCGCAATAGCCAATCTCTTCATAAGTCAAAAGTTTTGGAATTGACGGAAAATAAACTTCAACAGCTGTGTTCAAACTTATATCCATGAGACGTTGCTTCCAATACACAATCACGTCCTTACAATTATTTAAAACCCTAATCCAAAGATTTCCATTTTGAATTTTTGCCACTGCTTGCAAGAAGTACAGCAAAGCTGAATGAATTGTCATATTTTCGATAATTACTCGGGGAAGCTGAGCACATGCAACAATTCTGTATGGATATCCATGCAAGTCATTAAGCTTATTATAGAATATATCTTGGTAGAAGCTTTTCGTACTTAAATGTCGTGTAACTTTACGTTTGATATAGTCAAGAACTAGAACGAAAACCTCATTTTTGTGCTCGTAAACTAACACAAAGTTCTGAATTCCAAACAACTTTAAAGTATTGACAATCTGCGATAGTGTGGCTGCATCGATTAAATTGTTAATCAAGAAAATGATTTTCGCGTTATGATTCCATAATGTCGAGTCCTTGTGATTGGCAACAATTGAAGTAATTAACTCCTAAGTAGCGAGAAATGCATGAACTTGAAACCTAATTTGAGAAACATTTATTTGCTTACCTAGTCTACATATCCTACTGCCAAAATTATGACTGCTGCCTTCCTTAATGTCTTTTTAATCACAAAACTCTTGAAATCACTAAAAACCACAGCATTGTCACTTCCAACACATCCAGCAATGTCATTAGCTGTTGATGACCACAATTCTCCAGCCAAATTTCCAATGAGAACATCCTGAGTGTCACTTTTGGATGATATTATGTCTTTGGTGACTTTGCAGACATATTTTGACATCTTTTTGTCATTTTGTGTGGTTTTGAGGATTAAATTGGAGCTAAGAGTCATGTTGAGGATGAGAAGTGCCAAAAATGGTGTCAAAATACGAAACACTTTCATAACTTTTTTCACAAATTTTACCAAAGTTCAACTTTTAGACGTGACAAATAGAACAAAAATGTATGAAATTTGTATTGACTTTTTATTGTATCTATGGATGCAAGAAGTGTTGATGTTCAAGCGAAATCCATAGTAATCAACCCTGAATTTTGTAATGAACTTGATAGTTGCTTGTGCTCAATGCAGCCAAAGTTGACAATGCGGAGCTTTCTGTGGTGATTTTCATAGAAACAATTTTATTTCGTACTTAAATACAATCAGCATTGCTTTAATATTTTATTTTATAAATAAAACTACATTAATGACAGTTTACATTCACATTTATTTACTTTTAATTAAATAACACACAAAAAAAATCATCCGTGCGTCATATTTGCGTAGACATTAATGTCTCTCCCCAAACACATGTCTTATCCTTAATCCATTGGGAATCTAGGCTGGACATAAATCCTTCGAACTTTCAACTTCTTTGGCTTCAATCTCTTGACTCTCTTGCGTCTATGAATGATGTAGTAAAGTGCACCTTTTTGATATTTTGGATGTCTTGCCTGTTTCCTCTTCTTATATGCCAGCTGTCTCACTCGATTCTTCAACTTTCTTGCAATATAAGACATTCTTAACTTCATCAGAACATCATGAGAGAAGATCTCAAATAGAAATAGAACAAAAGACAGCACATAACCAATCACGAGGATGCTGAAGACTTGACTAAGATCTTCAAGATTTAGATATGAAGGTCCTAACCTTTCAGTGTTGATCAAACGATTATTTCCAAAAGCAAAAATATTCCAAATTTGCATCAAACCAGCTTGAAATGTCATATCCATGAAATATTGGAATCGATCAAGAAATGGATTCATATAGCTAGCCTCAAGTAGTTCATAATACAGCAAGAACTTTTGAGGCATCAGATAATAATAATCAGATATCCTTTCGGTAGTATTAGTTATTACCTTTTTAATCATGATATCAATCAGATCACATTTCATGATAAATGCGTAATGTTGTCGCAAGACTTCATACCCAAATTGACTGCCAAGTTGTTGACCTGATGAGTTTAACCTTGATTTAAGGACTTTATAGGTTTCTGATTCAGAAATTTTATAGACAAAGACTTCATCAGTTATAATCTCAAAATCGGATGCAACGAGATCATCAAAAGTCTGAAGTCGATGCTCATAGATTGGTTGGATCATAAATGATGTGATGACACCTTCGTATGCATTGCTGAGTATCCAAACCATGACAATGATCAACTGCAGTAAAATGGTCAGTACTAAACGGTTCTTGCGACTAAAATCGATACCTTGACCGATGAATATGACAAAAATGCCATAACCAAGCAGCCATGGTGAATCAGCTGCACCTCGACCACGAAACATCCACCAGACAGCAACAGAACAAGCAATAGTGAGGAAAAAGAACAACCATATAAGACCATCGAAGGGTTCAATGAAGATAGACTGAAAATTAGATGTTTTAGGAGGCAATGGAACTAAAGCACAGTAGCCATTCTGAACATATGTCAGAAGTTTTGGTTCAAGCTTGTCAATAGTCACAGCAGTATTAATTGTCAAGTCCATTTTACGTTCATACCAAAATTGTACCATTGACTGATAATTCTTTATGATAATGATCAAAGTTTTTGAGTTTTGGATAGACGTGACAGCCTTAAAGAAATGCATGAGTGGACTTTTGACAGTTTTATTGATAATCTCAACCTTTGGTGACTGCTCATAGGCAATAATTTGATAGACATATCCATCCATTGACGTTAGTTTGTCAGGAAATAGCAATGACTTATTGAATTGATTTGTGTAGGCACTAACTTGCCCAGACATTGAAGCAATCAGCTCAGTTTGAATCAATCCTGCTGCATCCTCGTAAATAGTAACAACATTTAGAAACCCAAAGTGTCTAAATATGAAGAGAATATCTAGTCGCTGTTGTCGTGAAACTGTTTTTTGGACTATCCAAAATACAGCAGCCATGTGATGCCAAACAGTTCCAAAGTGATGTTTTCGAATAACTTCAAATATAAGTTGCTTTAATTAAAAGTTTAAAAATTATCTTAAGTTTCCAAAAGCATTTGACTTTAAGGCTGTCATAAACTTACAAAGTTATTAATACCAAACCCAATAATTAGTGCTGCCTTCCTTAATTCTTTCTCAGTCATAATGCTCTTCATATCACTAACAACCACAGCAGTGTCAATTCCAACACATCCAGCAATATCATTAACTGTCGATGACCACATTTTTCCGCCCAAATTTCCAATGAGGACATCCTGAGTGTCACTTTTGGACGATATAATGTCTTTGGTGACTTTGCAGACATAATTTGACAGCTTTTTGTCATTTTGTGAAGTTTTAAGGATGAAATTTGTACTGAAAGTCAAGTCAAAGACGAGAAGTGCCAATAATTGTACCAAAACTTTTGTGACTTTCATGATTTTTGAGTCTTTCAAAGAATTCCGTATTACTTGATAGAAAATTAAATTATTTGTGGATATTTTGCAATGTTTGATGTCGTTACTATAGATCCAACAAGTGTTTATGCTCCAATATCATCCATAGTGATGTAATTGAACTTGACCATGATATTGATAGTTACTGTCGATACTAAGGTAAACTTTATGCAGTAGTTCTAGTAAAATAATTAAATTTTGTGCTTAAAAACCAATCAGACTTGCTTTGTATTTTATTTACTAGTCAAAAATACATCAAGTTATGATTAACATAAAAGTTCAATCCTTAATCCTAAATGACACAAAAAAAATATCCGTGTGCCATTTTTGCGTAGACATTAATGTCTCTCCCCGAATCTACCACATCCTTAATCCACAGAGAATCTAGGCTGGACATAAATCCTTCGAACTTTCAACTTCTTTGGCTTCAATCGCTTGACTCTCTTGCGTCGATGAATGATGTAGTAAAGAGCACCTTTTTGATATTTTGGATGCTTTTGCTGCTTCCTCTTCTTAAATGCTATCTGATGAACTCGATTCCTCAACTTGCGTGCTAGACAAGCAAGCTCTAAATTCTTCAGGATGCCATGAAAAAAGATCTCAATAAGCAACACAACAGTAGAGAGCAAATAACCAATAATAAGGATGCTGAATACTTGAGTTAAGTCAAAAAGTTTCAAATTGAAGAATTCTTGATTTGTAGGTTTAGGTTTGTTGTATGGATTATAATTTGAAACATAAATCTCCCAAATATGCATTAAACCAGCCTGAAAGCATAAATCCATATAGTATTGAAGTCTTTCTAAGAATGGATTAAGATAACTTGCAGCAAGATTTATAAGCTTCTGAATCTTTAATGTCAAGTGCAAATAAGTCATCAGCAATTATTTCATAATCTGATGCTATAAGCTGATCAAATGTACTAAATTGCTCTCCTTCAATGGGTTGGATCATAAATGATGTGATGACACCTTCGTATGCATTGCTGAGTATCCAAACCATGACAATGATCAACTGCAGTAAAATGGTCAGCACTAAACGGTTCTTGCGACTAAAATCGATACCTTGACCGATGAATATGACAAAAATGCCATATGCAAGTAACCATGGTGAGTTAACTGCACCACGACCATGGAACATCCAAAAAACAGCAACCGTACAAAGCATTGTAAAGACAAAAAACAACCAAGTGAGTCCATCGAAAGGCTGGATGAAAATTGACTGAAAAAGTGTGGTTTTAGGTGGCAATGGAACTAATGCACAATAACCGTTCTGCTCATATACTAAAAGCTCTGGTTCTCGATTTTCTGACGTCATTCGTAGTGCTGAATTTAATGTCAGATGCATTGTTCGTTGTAGCCAGTGAATTCCAAGCCTGCTAAGACTTGGCTCTACAACGTACTGAATTGTTGCATTTTGAACTTGCTAAATTGTGGACATAAAGTACACTAAAGGTGTAATCACCTTTCCATTAACAATATATATGCGTGGATGTTGTCGATTTACAGCAATTCTATAAGTAAATCCTTGCATGTCTTTAAGTTTATCAGGAAATATCAATGATGCATCAGGTTGGTTTAGTATTAAACTTTGCTGACTAACCAGCGATGCATTAATCTTAACTTGAATGTCACCATTTTCAGTTTGATGAATAAATGCAATGTTAAGAACTCCAAAATCTGAAAATATTTCAAGTGCTTCGTCGGTTTTGTCTCCTAAGATTGTGTTTGGTGTGATTATCAATAGTTTAGCCATAAAATGCTGAATATTTGTCATTACCTTACGCTGAACTATTAATTTGAAGATTTTCTGAAATTTAATTATATTTTGGCATTTTTATTGTGATTTAATGACTCAATTGCTTTACAACGACGTGGTGCTTAACTGCAACTACACCACTGTCGTCAGACTTACCAAATCAATGTAATCAACTGTAATAATGACAACAGTTGCCTTTCTTAGGATCTTGGTGACTTGAAAGGTCATAAATCTAGTAATTATCATGGGATTGTCAGCTCCTAAACACAATGCAATGTGATTTATTGTTGATGACCACATGTGACTTCCAAAATTTCCTAAAAATATGTCCTGAGTGTCACGCTTGGACTTTGTTATGTCTTTGGTAATATTGCAGACATAATTTGGCAACTTTTTGTCATTTTTTAAAGTTCTGAGGATAAAATTTGTGCCGAATGTCGAGTTGAGGATAAAAAATGCCAAAAAAATAAAAGTTTTCATGACTTTTTTCATAATTTTAAAATTAAAATTTAAATAAATGTGTGACTAAAGTCGTTTCCATAGATTTTACAAGTGTTGATTCCCAAAAGCCATCCATAGTGATCAACTTTAGAAGTTTATAGTAGCATTTAGTGTAAAAGAGTCACCGTTGACAATAAGGATCTTTAGGTTGCAATTTAAAATAAAACAAATAGATTTTGTGCTGAAACACAGTCAGAAGTGCTTAACAGTTTATTTTCTAGGTACAAACACATCAAATGACAATTAACATCAATAATAATTCAATTCTTAATCCTAAAATACGTAAAAAAACCTCTGTGCGTCATATTTGCGTAGACATTAATGTCTCTCCCCAAAAATGCCATATCCTTAATTCATAGGGAACCTAGGCTGCACATAAATCGTTCGAACTTTCATCGTTTTAGGTTTCAATCGCTTGACTCTCTTGTGTCTATGTAAAATGTAATAAAGTGCACCTTTTTGATACTTTGGATATCTTGCCTGCTTCCTCTTCTTATATGCCATCTGATGTACTCGATTCTTAAACTTATGTGCGAGGCAAGCTAGTTTTAACTTTCCCAAAATGTCATGAAAGAAAACTTCATTGAGAAACAAGGCTGTTGTTATCACATATCCACCTACTAGGATGCTGAATACTTGAGTTAGATCTTCAAACTTTAAGTACTCAAATTGATCAGAGATTTCCTGTCTAAACGTATATGGACTGTCTAAATAATGAAATAGTTCCCAAATATATAGCAAACCTGCTTGAAATGATAAATCCATGTAGTATTGAAGTATGTCAAGAACTGGATTCAAATAGCTTGCTTCCAACTGTACCAAAGATGGCAGAAACTTTTTTGGGAGCAAGTAATAGAATTCAGACACTCTTTTGTTTTCTCTTGGCAACATCTGGTTAACTATAACTTCAGCCTGATCACATGAAATAATGAACACATAATTCTTTCGTGCCAGTTCCAAAAAGAACTCATCATATAAGTCTTTTGCTGATGAGTTCAATCTGGGCATGAGAACTTTGTATGCTTCAGATGTTGATATTTTTGATGCAAAGACTGTATCGGAAAATATCTTATAATCTGAAGCTACCAAGTCATCAAATGTCTCAAGTCGATGTTCTTGTATTGGTTGGATCATAAAGGATGTGATGACACCCTCGTACGCATTGCAGAGTATCCAAACCATTACAATGATCAACTCAAGCAGAAAAGCCAGCACTAAGCGATTCTTGCGACTGAAATCGATACCTTGACCGATGAACATGACAAACATGCCATAACCTAGAAGCCAAGCAGAATCGACAGCACCACGACCATGGAACATCCACCAAACAGCAACAGAACAACCCGTAGTAAGGACAAAGAACAGCCAAGTGAGACCATCAAATGGTTCAATGAAGATTGACTGGAAAATCGGAACCTTAGGTGGCAATGGAACTAATGCACAGTCTCCATTCTCTTCATAAGTCAACAGTTTTTGCTCGTATGTCTCCATAATTACACCATTACTCAGGCACAGATGAAAAGCTCGATTCATCCAATGCATTTTAATATCTTTTAAATCACTAATAATATAAAGTTCATAATTTGCCTTCTGGAGCCTTACAACAGTATCCAAGAAGTACATCAATGCTGAGGCAATTCCTTTTGAATTAACAATAACTCTTGGTGCTTGTGAATATGCAATGACTTTATAAGTAAGACCAGCCATCTTTAGTTTGTCAGGAAAGACGAGTTTACTTTGTTCTGGTTCTGTTAAGACTCTTATTCCCATTTTTAATGTGTGGAACAGCTCAAACTTAATTGAACCAATGTCATTCTGATAGACAACAGCAACATCAAAGAATCCATACAGCATAAACTGTCGCATGATTTGTAGTCGCTTAGTAAGATTTAGCTAGTTTTTAACTATAAGCATAACTTTTGCCTTATGATTTAAGACTTTTGAGTGTATTTGCCTTCTGATCATGTCTATTACTGTGTTCTGGATGTAAAAAAAATAAATTAAGTTCCTTGGTAAGTTCATAAAGATCTGCATTATGTACCTGAGTTGCCAATCCTAATGCAATTACAATTATTGCTGCCTTCCTTAAAGTTTTCTCAATAATGACGTCATTGAAATCGCTAACAACCACAGCATTGTCATGTCCAACACATCCAGCAATGTCATTTAAAGTCGATGACCACATTTTTTGAGCTAAATTTACAATGAGGACATCCTGTGTGTCTGTATTGGACTTTGTAACATCTTTGGTGATTTTACAGACATAACTTGACAGCTTATTGTCAATTTGAGTATTTACAGTCGAGTTGAAGATGAGAAGTGCCAAAAATTGAGCAAAAAACTTGTTGATTTTCATGTTTTTCACAAAATTAATCAGATGACGTGCTATTAAAAATAAAATTAACTAGTTGTGCAATGTTTGTTGTCGTTTCCATAGATGCAACAAGTGTTGATGCTCAACAGCCATCCATAGTGATCAACTTGAACTTGATATTGATTTGGATGGGACCTTTCATGGACAAAACCTATCTTTTGTTGACAATGACAAACTTTATGAGCGATACTTAAGAAAAATAAATCAATTTCGTGCTTTAAGACAATCCGAAGTGCTTAACATTTTATTTTCTAGACTCAGATACATTAAATGACAACTAACATTCACAATAATACAATCCTTAATTCTAAAATGCAAAAAAAATCACCTGTGCGTCATATTTGCGTAAACATTAATGTCTCTCCCCAAATAAACCACATCCTTAATCCATTGGAAACCTAGGCTGAACATAAATACTTCGAACTTTCAACTTCCTTGCCCTCAATCGCTTGACTCTCTTGTGTCTATGAATGATGTAGTAAAGTGCACCATGTTGATATTTTGGATCCTTTGGTTGCTTCCGCTTCTTATATGCCATTTGATGCACACGATTTCTCAACTTCCGTGCTTGATTTGCAAGTTTTAACTGCTTCAGGATGTCATGAAAGAAGATCTCGAACACTAATATAACAGCAGACAACACAAAGCCAATAGTAAGAAAACTGAATACTTGAGTCAGATCGTCGAGAGTAAGATATACAAACTCATCAAAGTAAACTTCATTTTTCTTGTAAAACTTAGTGATTGCAGAATAAATCGTCCATATATATGGCAAGCCAGCTTGAAATGACAAGTCCATGTAGTATTGAAGTCTTTCAAGAAATGGATTTGAGAAACTAGCAGGAAGTTTAACAATATGCGGATAAATCTTTTGTGGCAGCATGTAGTACAGCTCTGAAACCTTAACTTTTGTACCAGGAATAACTACTGGAACTAACATTTCTGCTTCATCACAATTCAAAATGAATACGTAACGAGCTTGTCGAAGTCCAACTGCAAAATGTGAACCTAGCCGTGGTCCTGATGTGTTAAGTCTCGGCTTTAATTGGCGATAAGCTTCCGAGTTGTCAATACTTGCTGCTAATCCAGCACTGGTTATGATCTTGTAATTAGATGCTACCAAGTCATCAAATGTCTCTAGTCGTTGTTCATGAATGGGTTGAATCATGAAAGATGTGATGACACCTTCGTATGCATTGCTTAGTATCCAAATCATTATAATGATCAACTGCAGCAGAATAGTCAGCACCAAACGATTCTTACGACTGAATTCAACGCCTTGTCCGATGAACATGACAAACATGCCATAACCTAGAAGCCATGGAGAGTCGACAGCACCACGACCACGAAACATCAACCAAACAGCCACAGAACAAAATATAGTGATGACAAAGAACAACCAGGTGAGACCATCGAATGGTTCAATGAAGATTGACTGGAAAATCGGAACCTTAGGTGGCAATGGAATAATTGCGCAGTAACTTCTTTCCTCATAAGTCAAAAGCTCTGTTTCATTTGTTATCATCTGCAGACCAGTGTTGAAAGTCAAATCCATTAGTCGAAAGTTCCAACGATACTGTAATTTTTTATAGTCACCGACAATAGCATAATTAACAGTAGAATTTTGAATCCTATTAATCGCGTCAATTAAGTATGTCAAAGAGGATTTGACTTTTTTCCCCATAATAACAACCCTTGGTAATTGGCTAAAGACTGCAATTTGGTATGCATAGCCTTCCATGTTCTTTAGCTTATCAGGATACACAACAGATGCGTTCGGAGATTCAGCTATTGTAATTTTCTCTTGTTCCATAAGTGAACTAAAATATTCAACTTGAATGCTCCCATTTAGAGTCTCATGAACGCATGCAATATTTTGAATACCAGAGCGTAGCACTAATAGAACAACTTTTATGATTTGTTTCCGTTGTGTTGTGGATGGAACAACAATAAGAACTTTAGTCATGTGATGATAAACTGTTCCTTTTCGAGTAAAAGCGCCTGAGTTTATGGCAATATCTGATAAGAAGGATTCCTGGTTTTTGGAAATTAGTAAAAAAAAAATTAAAGCATTGGAAGTAACTCACCTTTAATACTTCATTTATCATTAATACTACCACAGCTGCCTTCCTTAATGTCTTCTCAGTCAATGGTTCTTTTAAACTACTAATAACTACAGCAGTGTCACTTCCAACACATCAAGCAATGTCATTTACTGTTGATGACCACAGCTTCCCACCCGAATTTCCAATAAGGACATCCTGAGTGTCATTCTTAGCTTTTGTGATGTCTTTGGTGATTTTGCAGATATAATTTGACAACTTTCTGTCATTTTGTGTAGCTTTAAGGATGAAATTTGTACTAAGAGTCAAGTTAAGGATGAGAAATGCCAAAAATGGGGACAAAATTTTAGAGATTTTCATGATTTTAGACTAAACTTATAAGATGACGTGTGTCTTAATGAAGAAATGAAATTTTTTGGTATTGTTTTAAGTGTTACTATAGAAGCAACAAGTGTTGACGCTTAATATTCATCCATAGTGATCGACGAGTTAGACTTGACTTTGAAATTTTTATATATGATGAATTCAGTGAAAGGTGATAATTAAGAACTTTATGAGACAAATTTAATAAAACAATTCAATTTTGGTTCTTAAAAGCGATCACATTTTATTCTCAGTCACAAATACATCAAATGTCAATTAACATTGATAACAATACAATCTTAAAGATTGAATCTTTAATTTTAAAAGACACAAAAAATAAAACGTGCGTCATATTTGCGTAGACATTAATGTCTCTCCCCAAATATGCCACATCTTTAATCCAAAGGGAACCTAGGCTGGACATAAATACTTCGAACTTTCATCTTTCTAGCCTTCAATCTCTTGACTCTCTTGTGTCTATGAACGATGTAGTAAAGTGCACCTTTTTGATATTTTGGATTCTTTGACTGCTTCTTCTTCTTAAGTGCCATCTGATGTACTCGATTCCTCAACTTCCGTGCTAAATTTGCGAGTTTCAACTCTTTTAGGATGTCATGAAAGAATATCTCGAAAAGAAATAGAATAGTCGACATCACGCAACCAACAACAAGAATGCTGAACACTTGAGTTAAATCTTCAAGTTTAAGGTATGCAGCTTCAATTGATGACTTAATTGTTCTTGTCATTTTGCTATTTTCAAATGCAAGCAATTTCCACATTTGCATTAATCCAGCTTGAAATGATAAATCCATAAAATATTGGAAGCGATCTAGGAATGGATTCATATAGCTAGCTTCAAGCTGTTCAAAATACAGCAAGAACTTCTGTTGCATCAGATAGTAAAAATCAGAAACTTTCTTTTCAGTTTGACCTAAATGCAAGTCTATCCACATTTCAGCACGGTCACACTTTATGATGAACACATAATGCTGTCGCTTGATCTCATATCCAAACTGAATGCCTAGTTGCTGACCAGATGTGTTTAGTCTAGGCTTAAGTACTTTATATGCTTCAGACTTGGATATTTTTGATGCAAAAGCACCATCAGTCATGATCTCGTAATGTGATGCAACCAAGTCATCAAAAGTCTCTAGTCGATATTCGTGGATTGGTTGAATCATGAAGGAGGTGATGACACCTTCGTACGCATTGCAGAGTATCCAAACCATTACAATGATCAACTCCAGCAGAAAAGTCAGCACCAAACGATTCTTGCGACTGAAGTTAACACCTTGTCCGATGAATATGACAAACATGCCATAAGCAAGCAGCCAAGGAGAATCGACAGCACCACGACCGCGGAACATCCACCAAACAGCAACAGAGCAAGCCACAGTGACTAATAAGAACAGCCAAGTTAGTCCATCGAATGGTTCAATAAAGATTGACTGAAAAACTGGAACCTTAGGTGGTAATGGAACTAAGGCACAGTATCCATTTTGAACATAGGTTTGAAGTTTCGGCTCTGGTGCGTTAATTAACACACCAGTATTAAGTGTCAAGTCCATCTTCCGATCATACCAAAATTTTTCCATTAAATGATAATCATTAATAATCATCAATGACAGTCGAGCATTTTGGACATGTGCAACAGCTAATAAGAAGTATACAAGTGGACTGTAAACAGTTTCATTGACAATTCTAACCATTGGAGGCTGATCATAGACAATAATGCTGTACATGAATCGATTCATTGACTTTAATTTATCAGGAAATACCAAAGAATGATTGAACTCATTTGTGTAAACACTAAAATGTCGAGTCATTGAAGTCAATACTTCAACCTGTATGCCGAATGGCTTTTCAAAGACAACAGCAACATCAAGAAACCCAAAGTGCATAAATGTTGAAACAATACTTAATCGCTGATTTAAAGAAGCTGTAGCTGGGACAATCCATAAAATTTTAGCCTTTTGATGCCAAGCAGTTCCAAAATGATGTGTTGTAACCAATTGATTCAAGTTAATCTTTCGTTTGACATAAATAAAAAATAATATAAAATTTGGCAGCATGTAAAATATTTTACAATTTGTATGTATGTATGTATGTATGTATGTATGATTTATTAAACCTTTTCGGTTGACGAAATTTAACTTACCATTTTACTTTCTGCAAACATTATGATTAAATTAGCTTTCCTTAAAGTCTTTTCAGTCAATGGCTTCTTGAAATCATTAACTAAAACAGCATTTTCATGTCCAACACATCGAGCAATGTCATTGACTGTCGATAACCACATTTTACCACCTAAATTTACAATGAGCACATCCTGGTTGTGATTCTTAGCTTTGATGACGTCTTTAGAGACTTTGCAGATATAATTTGACATTTTTTTGTCATTTTGTGAAATTTTGAGTAAGAAATTTATGCTGAAGGTCGAGTTGAGGATAAAAAGTGCCAAAAATGGCACGAAAAACCAAGCAGATTTCATATTTTTGACTTATTGCGTGTTGTTAAATGGAAACTTAATTTAAAATTGGATATTTTGCAATTGATTATTGTCGTTTCCATGGATGCAACAAGTGTTGGTGCTCAACAGCCATCAATAGTGATCAACTTGAACTTGATATTGAATTTGATCGGAGCTTTCATGGATAAAACCTTGCTTATGTTGACAATGACAAACTTTATGAGCGATACTTAAGAAAAATAAATTAATTTTGTGCTTTAAAACAATCAGCAGTGCTCAACATTTTATTTACTAGCCACAAATACATTAAATGACTAATACAATTCACAATAATACAATTCTTAATTCTAAAATGCAAAAAAATCATCCGTGCGTCATATTTACGTAGACATTAATGACTCTCCCCAAATAAACCACATCCTTAATCCATAGAAAACCTAGGCTGGACATAAATCCTTCGAATTTTTAACTTCTTAGGCTTCAATCGCTTGACTCTCTTGCGTCGATGAATGATGTAATAAAGTGCACCTCTTTGATATTTTGGATGCTTTGGCTGCTTCCTCTTCTTATATGCCATCTGATGTACTCGATTCCTCAACTTCCGTGCAAGACAAGCAAGCTCTAATTTCTTAAGGATGTCATGAAAGAAGATCTCGATTAGAATCAGGCCAAAAGACAGAACGTAGCCACTAATAAGAATAGTAAAGACTTGAGTAAAGTCCTCAAGCTTAAGGTATTCAAACTCATCAGTAAAGCTGTAAATTTTCTTGTATGGGTTTATTTTGGAATAAAAAACCTTCCATATATATGGCAAGCCAGCTTGAAATGATATATCCATATAATACTGAAAGCGTTCCAAGAACGGATTCAAGTAGCTAGCTTCAAGGTCTATGAGAAACGGCAAAAACTTTTCTGGCAATAAGTAATATAATTCTGAAACTGTTTGATTTATTTGCATCAGTTTCTTGTCGAGGATTATCTCAGCTTGATCGCAAGTTATGAAAAACACCCAGTGCTGTCGAACCAGTTCTAGGCTTAAATGCATGCTCTTTTCGAGAACCGATGTGTCTAATCGTGAGTTTAGTAACTTAAAAGAATCAGATCCTGATATTAAGCTTGCGAATGTATTGTCAGACATGAACACATGATCTGAAGCTACTAAGTCATCAAATGTCTGTAGTCGTTGTTCATGGATTGGTTGGATCATGAAGGATGAGATGACACCTTCGTACGCATTGCAGAGTATCCAAACCATCACAATAATCAACTCCAGCAAAATATCCAGTACTAAGCGATTCTTACGACTGAAATCGACGCCTTGTCCGATGAACATGACAAACATGCCATAACCAAGAAGCCAAGGAGAATCAACAGCACCACGACCACGGAACATCCACCAAACAGCAACAGAACAAGCAATAGTAAGGAAAAAGAACAACCAAGTAAGACCATCGAAGGGTTCAATGATGATAGATTGGAAAAAGGTAGTTTTTGGAGGTAAAGGAACTAAAGCACAGTATCCATTTTCCTCATAAGTCTGCAGTTTTGGCTCCGAAGAGTCCATAAACACTCCATAGCTTAAAGAAAAGTCAAAACTTCGATCCATCCAAAGCTTTCTAAACTCTCTTAAATCCTTAATGATGTAGAGTTGATGTCGTGAATTTTGGAGCTTAGTAACAGCATGCATAAATGGAACAATTGTCGAAGAGACTTTATTATTGTTAATTATTACACGAGGTACCTGATTATATGCCAAAATGGTATACATGTGACCATTCATGTCCCTCAACTTGTCGGGAAACACAAGATCTGATTGTTCGGGATTTGTCAGTGTTCGGATGTTTCTTTTCATAGTAGCAAAGATCTCAAACTTGACTGCACCATTTTTGGTCTCATGAATGATTGCAGAATCAAGGAATCCGTACATCACTAGCATCTTTAAGATTTGCATCCGCTGATTAAAGTTGAGATTGTTTTTGACTATGAGCATGACTTTTGCTTTATGATTCCAGACTTTTGAATGTATGTGCGTTCTGACTGTTGCTATTACTGTATTCTGGATGTTTAAACTGAACTTTAGTTGCTGTGCTACATAAATATTCTTAAAACGTACCTGATCAGCCCATCCTAATGCTAAAACAATAATTGATGCCTTCCTTAATGTCTTCTCAGTCAATGGCTTCTTAAAATCACTAACAACTACAGCATCTTTATGTCCAACACATCCAGCAATGTAATTGATAGTTGATGACCACATTTTTCCGCCTATATTTCCAATCAGGACATCCTGAGTAGAGCTGTTGGATTTTAAGAGGTCTTTGATGATTTTGCAGACATAATTCGACAAGTTTTGGTCAATCTGTAAAGTTTCAGTGGTGCTTAAAATTGTAGTGAGGATTAACAGTATAAAAATTTGGGTTATTCTCATTCCTGTTTATTAAAATAGATTCAAATTAATTTAATGGCGTGTTCCTTAATAGAAATGAATTTAATTTGCATTTTTTTTTTGCAATGACTCAATATGTTACCATAGACGCAACAAGTGTTGATGTTCTAATTTGATTTCCATGGTGATTAAATTGGACTTGATCTTGAACTTATTGTAATGGGGAATGAGGTTTTGAATAAAACCAATAATTGAAGTGCTGCAAAGCAATCAGCAGTGCTAAACATTTTATTACTAGCCAAAAATACATCAAATGACAATTAATATTTATAATAATTCAATCTTTAATTCTAAATCACACAAAAAAATCACTTGTGCGTCATATTTGCGTAGACATTAATATCTCTCCCCAAATATGCCACATACTTAGTCCATAGGAAACCTAGGCTGGACATAAATCCTTCGAACTTTCAACTTTCTAGCCTTCAATCTCTTGACTCGCTTGTGCCTATGAATGATGTAGTAAAGTGCACCTCTTTGATATTTTGGATGCTTTGGCTGCTTTCTCTTCTTATATGCCATCTGATGAACTTGGTTTTTCAAATTCCGTGCTAGATTTGCAAGCTCTAATTTCTGGATGATGTCATGAAAGAAGATCTCAATTATAAACAGTCCCAATGATAAAGCACATCCAGCCATAAGAATACAAAAGACTACCACAAAATCTTTAAGCTCAAGATAAGTTTGCTCGCTTGATGATTGACGAAATCTTTCGAAAAATCTATTTTCAGGTGACATAACCTTCCAGATGTGCATCAAACCAGCTTGAAATGACAAATCCATAAAGTACTGAAGTCTTTCAACATATGGATTGAAAAAGCTGGCTTCAAGTTCTTCAAGGTATGAAAACATCTTCTCAGGCAGCAAATAGTAAAAGTTTGATACTATCTTGCCAGTTACAGTTGGGATATCGATCATGATTTCAGCTATGTCACAATTCATGATGAATACATAGTGCTGTCTTGGAATTTCAGTTTTAAGCTCATCTCTAAGTTGGTTTCCGGACGAATTTAGTCTCATCATCAATGATTTATAGATTCCAGTATCCCTAATAGCCCTGGTAAATACTTCATCAGTGATAATCTCATAATCTGATGCAACTAAATCATCGAATGTCAACATTCGTTCTTCTTGGATTGGTTGGATCATGAAGGATGTGATAACACCTTCATATGCATTGCAGAGTATCCAAATCATCACAATGATCAATTGCAACAGAATTATCAGCACTAAGCGGTTCTTTCGACTGAAATCAACGCCTTGTCCGATGAACATGACAAACATGCCATAAACTAGGAGCCTAGGAGAATCAACAGCACCACGACCTTGGAACATCCACCAGACAGTAACAGAACAAGCCATAGTGAGAGCTAAGAACAGCCAAGTTAGTCCATCGAATGGTTTGATAAAGATAAGTTGAGAATATGATGTTTCTGATGGCAACGGAATCAATGCACAGTATCCACTGTCCTCATATGTCATCAGCTTAGGTTCGGATGTATAAAACTTATATCCAGTATTTAGGGTTAGGTCCATTAATCGATCCATCCAAACATTTTTCAACAAAGTTTCATGCTTCAAAACTTTGTAAAGAACTGTTGCATTTTGGATCTTTTGAACTGCCGACATGAAATGAGCCAACGGTGTTAGAGGTCGTCCATGACTAATTATCAATTTTGGAATTTGACTGTAGACGTAAACTTTGTATGGATACCCAAACATGTTTCTCAATTTATCCGGAAATATTAGCTCGGTGCCAACATCATTCAACTCGACAGATTTTTTATTATCGAGGGAAAAGTAAGTTTCCCATTGGATGTCGTGATTGGCAGTTTCATGAACACAAACAACATTTTGAAAGCCAAAAGCAATGAACGAATTAATAAGTTTGAATCGCTGATCGAATTTGGTGTCTTTAGGCACAATGATGATAAATTTAGCCATATGATGCGAAACTTTTGAAAACTTATGGACATTTACCAGGAAATTTACAATTTTCTATGATAAAAATTTAATATTTTTTTTTTTATAAATTTATGCAAAGTCATAAAATAATTAATTACATGATCGGCTGAACTTAATGCTATTATAATTACAGCTGCCTTCCTTAATGTCTTTTCTTTCAGCAACATTTTAAAATCACTAAGGACCACAGCAGCTTCTTGTCCAACACATCCAGCAATGTCATTGACTGTCGATGACCACAACTTCCCACTCAAGTTACCAATCAAGACATCCTGAGTGTCATTCTTAGCCTTTGTGATTTCTTTGATGACTTTGCAGACATAATTTGACAACTTTTTTTCATTTTGTGAAGTTTTGAGGATGAAATTTGTGCTGAAAGTTGAGTTCAGGATGAGAAGTGCCAAAAATGACGATAAAACTTTTGATATTTTCATTCCTTCATGCCAAATTCTTCATATGACGTGTTTTTAAAAATTTTAAACTTTTGTAATTGTTCAAAATGTTACTATAGATGCAACAAGTGTTTATGCTTAACAGACATCCATGGTGATCGAACTGAACTTTATGAAGCGATGCAAAAAATAATAAAAAATAAATTTTGTGCTTAAAAAAATCTAGACGTGCTTAACATTTTATTTACTAGCTACAGATACAATAAATGACAATTAAGATTCATAATAATTCAATTCTTAATCATAAAATACATTTAAAAAAACATCCGTGCGTCATATTTGCGTAGACATTAATGTCTCTCCCCAAATATTCCACTTCTTTAATCCATAGGGAATCTAGGCTCGACATAAACCCTTCGAACTTTCAACTTCTTTGGCTTCAATCGCTTGACTCTCTTGCGTCTATGAATGATGTAGTAAAGTGCACCTTTTTGATACTTTGGATGCCTTGCCTGCTTTCTCTTCCTGTATGCTAGCTGATGTACTCGATTCTTTAACTTCCGTGCAAGATGAGACAGTCTAAACTGCACTAAGATGTCATGAAAGAAGATCTCAAATAAAAACAGAACAATAGACAGCACATAACTAATAATAAGGATGGTAAATACTTGTGACAAGTCTTCAAGTCCAAGTAGGGTTGGTTCCATATGACCTTCTCTATTTATTTCAAGCTTATATGGATTATGCTCATAAATCTTCCAAATTTGCATCAGACCAGCTTGATATGACAAGTCCATATAATACTGAAGTCTCTCAATAAATGGATTACTGTAGCCAGCTTGAAGCTCGATTAGGAACGGGATAAATTTATGAGGCATCAAATAGTAAAAATAAGAAACTTTCCTCGATGCATGCGGAAGATATCCAATATTCAGGATCTCGGCTTGATCACAAGTCAGGATAAACACGTAGTTTTTCTTAGTCAGCTCAATTGAGAACTGTGCACCAAGTCTAGCAGCTGATGTGTTCATCCTTGGTTTAAGCACTTTATATGCTTCAGATTCGGATATTTTTGATGCAAAAACGCCATCAGTCATGATCTTGTGATCAGAAGCTGCTAAGTCATCAAATGTCTTTAGTCGGTTTTCTTGAATTGGTTGGATCATGAAGGATGTGATGACACCTTCGTACGCATTACAGAGTATCCAAACCATCACAATGATCAACTGCAGAAGAATAGTCAGCACTAAGCGATTTTTGCGACTGAAATCGACACCTTGACCGATGAACATGACAAACATGCCATAACCAAGAAGCCAAGGAGAATCGACAGCACCGCGACCACGAAACATCCAAAACACAGCAACTGAGCAAGCTATAGTGAGAGCCAGGAACAACCAAGTAAGACCATCAAAAGGCTCGATGAACATTGACTGAATCATTGGAATTTTAGGTGGCACTGGAATTAATGCACAGAAGCCATTCTCTTCGTAAGTAAGCAAAGGAGGTTCTGGATTTCTTGTGTGAATTGGAGTGTTGAATGTCAGGTCCATTTCACGATATGAAATCTGATCAACAATATCCTTTTGGTTCTTAACAAAAATATACTTTGTGGTTGAATTTTGAGCATTATTAACAGCTGACATAAAGTACGTCAAATAGTTCCTTATAGAGCCATTGATGATCACAAGTCGAGGTCTTTGTTGAAAGACTGAAACTTTATATGCGAAACCTTTCATGTCTTTAAGTTTGTTTGGAAAGATGTCTGATGCTTTTGGTTGAGTCAGCACAGTCAGCTCATGACTTATTAAGTTTGCATACAAACTGACTTGAATGTCTCCACCTTTAGATTCTTGAATGACGACAACATTATGAAAACCAACAATTACACACACTTCAATAGCTCGCGTCAATGTGTCTCTTTGTGAATGTCCTTTCGGTACGATGATGATAAGTTTAGCCATAAAATGCCAGACAGTGTTTTTGGACGAGTATCGATACTGAATGAAGTTGCTGACTATTACCTTTTGGATATAGGATTAGAAAAATGTCTGTAAGTTTAATTAAGAGTCAATGAGCTATGGGAACTACTCCTCTAACCGGGGAACATGGTTCATAGATGATCAAAGTGAAATTAGTACATAAAAAGGAGGAAGAGTGGGGAGAAGGCTCAATTAGGGTGAAGAAGGAGAACTCTTAAATATTTTAAACAATAATTCCTACCTCATTAAACTGTTTGAATGTAAAAATCACCACTGCTGCCTTCTTCAAGGTTTGTTCGGTCAATGGGACTTTGAAATCATTAACAACCACAGCACTGTCATGTCCAACACATTCAGCAATGTCGTTCACTGTCGATGACAACATTTTCCCGCCTAAATTTCCAATGAGAACATCCTGAGTGTCACTTTTGGTCCTTGTAATGTCTTTGGTGACTTTGCAGACATAATTTGACAACTTTTTGTCATTTTTTATAGTTGTGAGGATAAAACTTGAGCTGAGGGTTGAGTTGAGGATCAGAAGTGCCAAAAATGATGCAAAAATACGACCAACTTTCATAAATTTACAGAATTTTAATATTTTTACGTGTTGCTTGATCGAAAAATTGATTAAGTTTGCAATGGCTAATATCGTATCCATAGATGCAACTAATGTTAGTCTTCAGATGCCATCCATGGTGATATATTTCTATTTGGTACAATTAATTTAAAAGATTTTATATTAACAGCAATTAATCTTCAGTAAATCTTGACTCAACAAATTATTGCAGACGAAGTTTGGAAAAGGAAATGGAACTGGATTGGTCATACATTAAGGAAAGACCATACAGACATCGCGAGACAAGCGATTTTCTGGAATGTCCAAGGAAATAGGACTAGGGGCCGACGAAGAATTACTTGGCGTACAACTGTTGAACGGGAGGCGGAACAACAGTACAAGAAGCTGCAGGAAATAGCAGCTTTGGCCCAGAATCGAGTGCGATTCAAATGCTTTGTGGACGCCCTACGCTTCATAGTGGAGCAATAGGAGCCCATCATCATCAAATCTTGACTGAACATTAGTCCCCCGATCTGGTTCCTTTTGATATTCAAGCTGCTTCCTTTTCTTATATAATAACATCTAATGGACTCGATTCCTCAACTTCCGTACGTTACTAGCTAGCTTTAATGTCTTAAAGATATCGTGAAAGAAGATCTCAATCAGAAGTAATGATATAGCACATCCAGCCGTAAGAATACGAAACAAAATTTCCAAGTCCCTAAACTTAAGATATGTTGGTGGATCCAACAATTGACGAATTATTTTTAAAACTTTATTTTCTGGTGACATAATCTTCCAGATGTGCATCATTCCAGCTTGAAATGAGATGTCCATTTAGTACTGGAGCCTCTTAATGAATGGATTTTTATAGCTGGCTTCAAGTTCTTCAAGATACGGAAAGATCTTCTGCGGCATCATGTAGTAAAAGTCTGAGAGTTTGAAAAAAGTTTTGTCATTTGGAAACATGGAATTGATCAATATTTCAGCTATGTCGCAGCTAATTATGACTGTATAGTAATGTGTTTGTAGTTCAGTAGTAAGTTCATCTCTAAGCTGATTTCCAGATGAATTTAATCTTGGCATCAGTGACTTGTAGAATCTAAAGCTATTAAGTCATCAATTGATTCAAGTCGATGTTCACGAATTGGTTTAATCATGAAGGAAGTGATGATACTGTGAAGTTTTATGGATAAAGCTTGTGCTGTGGGTCGAGTTGACGATAAGTAATGCCAAAAATAGCGCAAAAACTATTAAAATATTCATTAATTCACTAGAAAAAATGATTTTCTTGACTTTTATTAAACTTAAAAAATTGCAATTTATGCGACACTGAGATTGAATAGTTCAGCAACTCAATTGCATCAAGATGTCCAGCTATCAATTTAATAAACAGTTCTGAAACATTGACTTCGCATGCTTTACTTAAATACCTAAAATTAAAACTAATCGCCAAAAATTTATTATAAGCTCCTGTTAAAGATGTTCACTGACTGTGTTCAGATTCATTTCTGTGCCAAATCTTTTCCTTTGCTTCATGTTGTCTAAATTATCAGCAATTCTTGTGCTTACAAACTCATTGTTCGTGACATCCTCGATTTTCTCAGTTCCTGTATTCGGATCGCTGACAATTCCATGCTCAACGATGTCACATCCAAGTAGTTCACTTTGTGGATCAAGACGTAATGGAACTATTTTATTTGTCAACCAGATGATTGGATATGCACCGAGAAGGCCGAGAAGTGTTAAGCTTAAGCTTGAGACACATTGGATCAGGAAGAAGTAGTAATCACCGCCTGAAAAAGTTAAAATTGAGATTTGTTCCTTTAGTAAGGATCAGGTGACTCATAAGACTAGTTTTCATTCAGCTATCACACTTACCCATTAGCAATCCTTCTTTTCCAGCAGTAGTCGTCAACGGAACTGGATTTTCAGAAAATAATCCAACAGTCAAGTGACCCCAAACACCACCAAACCAATGAACAGCAAAGACACCAATCGGATCATCAATATGACTAGGAATCGACAACGAATTCTTAGTATTTTAATCAATCTCAGATTTTATATAATTACTTACAATTTGTCAAGCACAGGCAGCAAGCTAATTGACACGAATGCTGATATAGCTCCAGTGATTAAGGCAAGATATGATGGCATTAGATAACAACTAGCATTGATCATGACTGAAAGATAAAAGTTTTGGTATTTAGGATTGTCAATTCAAAATTAAGTTGTGGTTTGTATTTTAAAAATTTTAGTATTCGGGTTTAGAACTCAGTCTTAGTACTCAGTTTTAGTACTCAATCTTAGTACTCAGCTATTGTACTCAGTCTTAGTACTCAGCTTTTGTACTCAGTCTTAGTACTCAGTCTTTGTACTAAGTCTTAGTACTCAGCTTTAGTACTCAGCTCTAGAACTCATGCTCTGAATTAAGTATTAGTACTTAGTCTTAGTACTCAGTTTTAGTACTCAGCTTTAGTACTCAGCTCTAGAATTCAGGCTCTGGACTCAGTATTAGTACTCAGTCTTAGTACTCAATCTAAATACTCAGCTTTAGTACTCAGTCGTAGTACTCAGCTTTTGTACTCAGTCTTAGTACTCAGTCTTTGTACTCAGTCTTAGTACTCAGTCTTTGTACTAAGTCTTAGTACTCAGCTTTAGTACTCAGCTCTAGAACTCATGTTCTGAATTAAGTATTAGTACTCAGTCTTAGTACTCAGTTTTAGTACTCAGCTCTAGAATTCAGGCTCTGGACTCAGTATTAGTACTCAGTCTTAGGACTCAGCTATTGTACTCAGATATTGTACTCAGTCTTAGTACTCAGCTTTTGTACTCAGTATTAGTACTCAGCTTTAGTACTTAGTCTTTGCACTCAGCTATTTTACTCAGTCTTAGTACTGAGTCTTTGTACTCAGTCTTTGTACTAAGCCTTAGTACTCAGATTTAGTACTCAGCTCTAAAATTCAGGCTCTGGACTCAGTATTAGTACTCAGTCTTAGTACTCAGTCTAAGTACTCAATTTTAGTACTCAGTCTTAGCTTTTGTACTCAGTCTTAGTACTCAGCTTTAGTATTCAGCTTTAGTTAAGGAAACATTTTTATTGCCCAATTTAAATTTCTAGTCTAAAAGCTTACCTAAAGCACAAATAATTCCCGATATAACCTCAAAGACATCAATTTTTCCTTTATGCAAAAAAGCTGAATAAGCGATTCCAAATGTTCCAGCACCCCAAGAAGCCAAAGCAGTTCCAACTCCTGCACGAGCTGCATAGTGCCATTTACCACCTGTTATACCGTACGAACAACCACAGTTGAATGCTATCCAACCCCACCAAAGGATAAAGCTGCAAATTTAGAATTTATTTAATTTTAGGAAAATTAATGTTAAAATGCACAACTTACAGACCGATGCAAACAAAAACAGGATTTCCCATCGGTAGTGGTTCTCGTCCTTTTTTATATCTATCAATTCTTGGTCCAAGAAACCATGTACAAGTAACTCCAGCAGCTCCACCAACAATATGAATTACAGCACCAGATAAGTCAACTGCTCCGAGATTTCTGAGCCATCCATGCTCACCCCACATCCAGCCAGCACCAAGAGAGTAAAGGATTGTTATGAGGAATGTGAGAATGCAGTAGGCTGAGAAGTGAACTCGCTCGGCAACAGCTCCAGAGACTATTGTGTTGCTGAAAATGAAGGAATTTTATAAGATTTTTGGCGAATTTTTGACGGATTTTTAGCGGATTTTTGGCAGATTTATAGTGGAAACTCACCTAGTCGTCGCATAAGACATCTGATACAGCAACAATGTAAAGACTTGACAAGTCAACGGATCACCAAATTTAGTATTTGGAAAGAAGTCACCAGAACCGAAGAAAGGAGTCGTAAAAGGACCTCGTCCGAATGCTAATCCAAAACCGAAAATATAAAATGCAAGTCCACCAATGCACACGTCAGCAATGTTCTTCATCATTATGTTGACACTGTTTTTAGGTCGAACGATGCCGGACTCGATGAGGGCAAAGCCTGGAAGTATTTTGATTTATTTTGGATGTCTTATCAAGATTAGTTCAAATAATTTTACCAGTTTGCATTTGAAAGATCATTAAACAAATACAAAGAGGGAAGGCAGCATCTCCAACTTCCAGCTCATAAAGACCTGCAAAAAAATTTGTTAATAAATTAAGAAAATATTCAAAAAAAGTGATAATTTATAAGAAAATGTGATAAAGTGTGGGAAATTAGCCACAGAATGTGACAATCACGTGCATATATTAGAAAAGATATTCAGGGATATGGAATCAGCAGAGGAGGATCCTTTCAGATTCCTGGGGGTCTGTTCATATGTGACGTTCATTAAAAACTGAGAGTTTAGATCAGTTTCGATCAGAACCACAAATAAACTCCAGACCCCCCTTAAAAAAAAATTGGACGTCATTTATGAACAAACCATGGATAGACCATCATGTTATTGTCCCCTTCTGAATCCAAATTAACAATAACAAACCTGGCAATGCATAGCTGTCATTCCTTGGAAATATTTTAAATGTCTCATCAAAAAGTTCTGTGAAATTTGACATTTTTTTTTTAATTTTTATGATCTAATCACCAGCACTTCATTCACTATTGTGTAGGAACTTAATTCAGCAATTCACAACATCTGCAAACCACATCAACTGAAACTGCCTCAAAAACTAAGATTTAAGCTCCCTTAATGTTTTTCTTTTATAGACTTTTCGTTATTGATTTTTATTCGGCAATCGATACTTCAGCAAAAGAGATTATCATCAGTTCTTGTTGCTAGCCGTGTCTGTATTAAACTGTGAAACACACTGAATGGAAGATAAATATTCAATATTTAAATATTATCGAAAATATCAGAAGTTTAAGATCAATGACATTTTCACACCTCACTGATCTATTTCTGTGGATGAATTTGGTAAATATGGAAAAGTTATCAATAAGTTTAAAGCAAGTTAAAATAAATCTTTCTATTCATAAATTTTCGATCAAGTTGAAATTGTTTCACATCAAGTTTGAAATTTTTTGGTCAAGTTCGATTTAGTTTTTAAACAAATTTAATGTTTTCTGGTAAAGTTCGAATATTTTCTGTCAAAATTGAATTTTTCTGTCGTGATAAATTTTTCAATTAAATTGATTAAATTTTAATTTTTCTCTGTCAAGTTCGAATTATTTCATACAATTTCGAATTGTTTTGGGTCAAGTTCGAATTTTTTTGGGTCAAGTTCAAATTTTTTTGTGTCAAATTTCGAATTTTCTTTTCAATTCAATTTTAACTTTGTTAATTAAATATAAAGTTTTGTAAGTTTGATTATTTTAAATCAAGTTTGTATTTTTTTGTAAAGTTCTAATTTTGTTTCGGTCAAGTTTGAATATTTTTTGTCAAAATCGAATTGTTTTGCACTAATTCGAATTTTTTTTGGGTCAAGTGTGAATTTTTTGTACAAGTTCGATTTTTTCGGTCAAGTTCGAATTTTTTTTGGGTCAAGTTCGATTTTTTTGGGTCAAGTTCGAATTTTTTTGTGTCAAATTTTGAATTTTTTTGCAATTCAATTTGAAAGTTCGAATTTTGTTTTGGTCAAGTTTGCATATTTTCTGTCAAAATCGAATTGTTTTGCACAAATTCGAATTTTTTTTGGGTCAAGTTTGAATTTTTTTGTACAATTTTGATTTTCTTCGGCCAAGTTCGAATTTTTTGGGTCAAGTTCGAATTTTTTTTTTGTCAAATTTTGATTTTTTTTTAATTCAATTTGAAAGTTTGGATTTTGTTTTGGTCAAGTTTGCATATTTTCTGTCAAAATCGAATTGTTTTGCACAAATTCGATTTTTTTGGGTCTAGTTTGAATTTTTTTGAACAAGTTCAATTTTTTTCGGTCAAGTTCGAAATTTTTGTGTCAAGTTCGAAATTTTTTTTAAGTCAATCTCGAAAATCTCTGTCGAATTAGGTACAAAAATGACAAACGATCGAGTTTTCAAGATAGCTTATCTACAAAATCACAGCTACATATTATAATGGAAATCATCTAATCAGTATTAAATCATATTTAGTAAATAAAAGCACGCGATCTCTGAATTTTTTAACAGCAATTTTAATGTTTACGTACCCGTCATCAGAATCACAAATATGACAAACTCTCATGTGACTTTCTGAAAAATAATTTCAATAATATTTACGCTCTGTCAAAATATTCTCAACACTTTTGAAGACTGGTCCGGGACAAAATTCTCATCGTGGCATTGAAAAAAACTTTAAATTTATGTGATAAATTTGAGCATTTTGAGCAGTACTTGATCTTGAAAGTTTCATCATTGAATTTAGAAAATTGAATTTATTTTAACAAAAAAGGAAGAACGGATGTCGGCTGGAACTTGACTTTAACTAGGGTGACCATCTGCGTAGTTTTACAGCGGACAGTCCTGTATTTCAAAACCCTGTCCTGTATAAATTTTTAAATTTTGTTCTTGTTCCTGTATTTTTTTCATGAAAATTTCCGTTAATTTTCGAACTTTACTCTAAGTCCTGTTTTTTTCGAAAAAATTTACCAAATGTCCTGTATTTTCATGAAAATTAGATGGTAACCCTAACTTTAACTCACAATCCTCCTGTCCTTATAGGTTTAGAAAGTTCTACAGTAAATCCAAAAACCAGCAACAGTCACTATGGGAAACATTTAAGCATCAACACTTGTTGCATCCATAGCAACATCTTCAGCCATTGCAAAAGTGTCAATTATTGAAAAACTAGTCAAAGCTTAAATTTATCATGAAAGAATGAAAATATCTAAAATTTTGGCAACAATTTTGTCACTTCTTATCCTGAACTCAGTCTTCAGCACCAACTTCATTCTCAAAACTTCACAAAACTCCAAAAAATTGTCAAGTTATGTCTGCAAAGTCACAAAAGATATCATATCATCCAAAAGTAACACTCAGGATATCTTAATTGGAAATCTAGGCGGGAAAATGTGGTCACCGACAGTTAATGACATTGCTGGATGTTTTGGACAAGACACTGCTATAGTTGTAAGTGATTTTAACAGCATTGTCACTGAGAAGACTTTAAGGAAGGCTACTATGGTGATTTTGACATTTGATAAGTTTGAGAAGGTTAGTAAAGTCGTTTAATTTTTTAAAATTGATGAAAAATTTTTACAACAAAAAAAATTAATAGAAGTTTTTTGACAAATTGGTTCAGCAACACTACTTATCTACAGTTTGGCACCACATGGCTAATATTATCATTGTAATGCCCAATGACATCACCGTTGTGAATCGTTTTCAGTATCTTGAACGATTTATAAAGCTAGGTTTTATCAATGTCGTTACTGTTCATGAAACAGCTGCACATGACATTCGGTTCGAAACTTACTTAAATCTTGGTGGTGAGCCATCAATGGAATTGAATGATTTTGACAGTTCTTTGATATTTCCTGATAAGCTTCGAGACATGGCTGGATATGGCTACAAAATTGTAGTCTTTAGTCAAATACCAAAAGTTATTATTCGTGGAGGATATCCAAAAACACCACTTGTGTATTTTATGACGATGATTCAAAAGATCCAAAATGCAACAATTTGGTACGAGGCTATAAGAGATGAGAGAGAATTATCTAACTACTGGGCAGCACGCGAGATGGACTTAACTTTAAATACTGGAATTCAGATTAATTCGAATGAACCAAAGTTGATGATTTATGAAGAGAGTGGATACTGTGCCTTGATACCAAAACCAACAGAAATTTCACTTGGTCAAGTTATTTTCGTTAAACCATTTGATGGACTAACTTGGTTGTTCCTGTTTCTTACTATGGCTTGTTCTGTTACTGTCTGGTGGATGTTTTATGATCGTGGAGCTGTTGATTCACCTTGGCTACTTGCGTACGGCATGTTTGTTATGTTCATCGGACAAGGCGTCGATTTTAGTCGCAACAATCGCTTGGTGCTCACTATTCTCCTTGAGTTGATTATTGTGATGGTTTGGATACTCTGTAATGCATACGAGGGCGTCATCACATCCTTTATGATTGAACCCATCCGTGTACATCGACTTGAGACATTTGATGACTTGGTTGCATCGAATCATGCGATTATAACTGATGAAGTATTTGCTAAAGCTGTAAAAGATTCAGGAATCTACATGTCAATGATGCCAAGACTTAATTCATCAGGAAGTCATCTTAAACATGAACTTGCAATTGAACTTGAAAGACAGCACTACACAGTCATTATAAGTTGCGAAATAGCTGAAGTCTTGATCGATGCTTATTTGTCAAAATCTAAAAGAGTCTCGAACTTTTATTACATGCTGCCTCAAATGATTTTTCCACATCTCGAAGAACTTGAAGCCAGCTATTTAAATCCATTCATTGAGAGGTTCCAGTACTATATGGATTTGTCATTTCAAGCTGGTTTGATGCACATTTGGAAGGTTATGTCACCTGAAAATAGATTTTTGAAATCAAATCTTGAATTGGTAGAGGAAACATCCTACCTTGAAATAAAAGACTTAGCACTAGTTTTTCGAATCCTTATAGTTGGATATGTTGTATCTACAGTTTTGTTTCTGTTAGAGATCTTCTTTCATGACCTTTTAGTGAGACTGACACTGTCTTTTGTTGCAAAACAGTTCAAAAACCGAGTACATCAGATATCATATGCAAAGAGGAAGCAGCAAAAGCATCCAAAATATCAAAAAGGTGCACTTTACTACATCATTCATAGACACAAGAGAGTCAAGAGATTGAGGGCAAGAAAGTTGAAAGTTCGAAGGATTTATGTCCAGCCTAAGTTTCCTATGGATTAAACATGTAGTAGATTTGGGGAGAGACAGTAATGTCTACGCAAATATGACGCACGGATGATTTTTTTTGTATTTTAGGTTTAAAAACTGAATTATCAATGTTAATTGTCATTTAATGCATCTGAATCTAGGAAATAAAATGAAAAAGCACTGCTGATTTATATTTATGCACAAAATTAATTATTTTACTCAAATTACCTCATAAAGTTTAGCAAAGCATCGACAGTAACCATGAATAACATAGTCAAGTTCAACTGTTTCACCATGGATGTCATTGGAGCATCAACACTTGATGCATCTATGGATACGACTTAAATATACAAAATGCACAGTTAGCTTATATATTTGTCAAATTTTTAAAGTCAAAATCTATTTACAATCATGAAGATTATTAAAATTTTGGCGCCATTTTTGGCAATTCTCATCCTCAATTTGACCTGCAGCACAAATTTGATCATCAAAACTTTACAAGATGACAAAAGGTTGTCAAATTACATCTGCAAAATCACCAAAGACATCACAAAAGCTAAAAGTGACACTCAGGATGTTCTCATTGGAAATTTAGGCGGTAACATGTGGTCATCAACTATCAATTACATTGCTGGATGTGTTGGAAGTGACACTGCTGTGGTTTTAAGCGGCTTTAAAGACGTTTTGACTGAAAAGACTTTGAGGAAGGCATCCGTCATTATATTGGCATTAGGATGAGCTGATCAGGTATGCAAAATAAATGCTTATTAACCAAAACATCTAAATCCATATTAATCATACAGAACACAATCAGTGAAATAGTTCAAACACATCTAAATTCTAAAGTCTGGCATCACAAATCTAGGGTCATGCTGATTGTCTCAAACTCACTAAGCACAGCTCGTCGTCTTAACATTTTACAGATATTCATGACTCTTGGCTTTCTTGACATTTCCATTGTGCATCAGATTGCGAATAAAGCTATTACTTTTCAGATATTTAATACACTAGCAATGGATGTGAGAGAACTGATTAATCCAGAGCAAGGCTGTCTAGTATTCCCTAACAAATTAAAGGACATGATGGGGTTTACGTACAAAATTGTTGCATATAGTCAGGAACCGAAAGTCTTTGTCAGCAACAATACAGTTTTCTCATCCAAAGTTCTATTCATTGATGCTGTTATTCAGCACCAAAATGCAAGCTTCAAACTCTTTTCTACTAAAAATTTAGGAAAAATTAAGTCACTTTGGATGAGTAGAAATTATCATCTGTTTATAAGCTACGGAATCGTTATCAATATGGATGTGCCAAAATTGCAGATTTATGAGGAAAATGGATACTGCGCATTAGTTCCATTACGACCAAAAATTCCAGTTTTTAAGTCAATCTTTGTCGAACCGTTTGATAGACTCACTTGGTTGTTCCTGGCTCTCACTATGGCATGTTCTGTTTTTGTCTTTTGGATGTTTGGTGGTCGTGGTGCTGTCGATTCTCCTTGGCTACTTGCTTATGGCATATTTGTCATGTTCATCGGTCAAGGTGTCAATTTTAGTCGACGGAATCGTTTAGTGCTGACCATTCTCTTGCAGTTGATCATTTTTATGATTTGGGTACTAAGCAACGCATACGGAGGAATCTTGACATCCTTCATGATCGAGCCAATCCAAGAAGAACGACTCTTGACATTTGATGACTTAGTTGCCTCAAATTACAAAATTATGACTGATGAATTATTTGCGAGAATGATATCAGGTTCTGATTCTTATAAGATTTTAAAGCCACGATTAAATACATCTCTGGTATTGATGACTAGTGAACTTAGTGAAGAACTTGCTCGAAAGTTTTACGTATTTATCATGACTTGCGATCAAGCTGAAATGATCATTGATAAGGAACTTATAAGAGAAAATAAGACAGTCTCAAAATTCTATTATTTGTTGCCGGAAAAGTTCATGCCTTTCCTGATACAGCTTGAAGCTAGTTACTTAAATCCATTTTTAGAACGGTTTCAGTATTACATGGACTTATCATTTCAAGCTGGCTTGCCATATATTTGGGAAGTTTTTTACTCAAAACTATATGAAATGCCATTTGGATATAATCATCAAAATGTCAATGTCTATTTCCAACTTAATGATCTAACCCAAGTCTTTAGCATCCTTATTATTGGTAATGTGCTGTCTGCACTAGCGTTTCTCATTGAGATCTTCTTTCATGACATCCTAGCGAAATTAAATCTATCTTATCTTGCACGAAAGTTGAGAAATCGAGTACATCAGCTGGCATATAACAAGAAGAAGCAGCCAAAGCATCCAAAATATCAAAAAGGTGCACTTTACTACATCATTCATCGACACAAAAGAGTCAAGAGATTGAAGGCTAGAAAGTTGAAAGTTCGAAGAATTTATGTGCAGCCTAGGTTCCCTATGGATTAAGGATGTGGTAGATTCGGGGAGAGACATTAATGTCTACGCAAATATGACGCACAAGTGATTTTTTTGTGTCATTTAGAATTAAAGATTGAATTATTATAAATGTTAATTGTCATTTATTGTATTTGTGGCTTTTAAATAAAATGTTAAGCACGTCTGATTGTTTTTAAGCACTAAACGCAAGAACTAGAAGTTCATTATCAAGTTCAATCACATCACTTTCGATGGCTGTGAAGCATCGAACTATTATTGCATCTATGGTAACAGCTTGAACCATTGCAAAAATTTCAAAAACTTAAAAACAAGTCATCTTGTGAAAGGATGAAAATATCTAAGATTTCAGCACTATTTTTGGGACTTCTCATTGTCAACTCGACGCTTAGTAAGAATGTCATGCTCAAAACTTTACAACATGACAAAAAGTTGTCAAATTATATCTGCAAAATCACCAAAGACATCACAAAAGCTAAAAGTGACACTCAGGATGTCTTTATTGGAAATTTTGGTGGTAAAATGTGGTCATCGACAGTCAATGACATTGCTTTATGTATTGGACCTGAAACGCCTTTGATTATTACAGGATTAAAATCAGTAGCAATAAGTTAATCTTTAAGAAAGGCCTCTGTTGTGATTTTGACTGTTGATACTTTTGACGAGGTAAGGTTTACTATGCAATTGTATATCTGGCTTCATTTAGCCGCTATTAATGCTTTGCAACTGAATAATCACTTCCATAAAATTCTTTTTAAGGATATCTTTAATATAACAATTCGATCGGATTTAAATGCAATTGTTAATCATTTTATCGCAAAAACTATATTCATCACATTAAGCACATTCCTACAGACTGAAACAGACAATATTCTCAAATATTATTCAGACTTTGGATTCCTTAATGTTGCATTTGTTAGCAAAGCTTCAAATGGTGACATTTTGGTTATATTTTATGCATCACTTGTGAGTCGCAACAGTTCTGTGCTGATCAGTCCAAATTCATCAACAATGTTTCCCGACAAACTTAAGGATATGGAAGGATTCGCATACCGAGTTGCACTTTATAAACAAAAACCACGCATTTATGTTGTTAATGGAGTTGTGACTACACCACTGGCTTACTTCTTGAAAGCTATTAGTACAATTCAGAATGCTACAATTCGGTACATAATTGAACGAGATGAACATGAAATTTCAAAACATTGGCTCTATAGAACCATGCACTTGTCCCTCAATTCTGCACTTAATATGCAAATTCGTGAACCGGAGCTGTTGACTTATGAGGAAAATGGATATTGTGCATTAGTTCCACTACCACACAAAGTTCCGGTTTTTCAATCCATTTTTGTTGAACCCTTCGATAGACTCACTTGGCTGTTCCTAGTCCTTACTATTGCATGTTCTTTTGCTATCTTGTGGATGTTCCGTGATCGTGGAGCTGTCGATTCTCCATGGCTTCTTGCTTACGGCATTTTTGTCATGTTTATCGGACAAGGCGTTGATTTCAGTCGAAATAATCGTTTGGTGCTGACCATTCTGCTGCAGTTGATCATTGTGATGATATGGATACTAAGCAATGCGTACGAAGGTGTCATCACTTCCTTCATGATCGAACCAATTCAAGAGAATCGATTTGAGACATTTGATGACTTAATAGCTTCAGATTATGAGATCATCGCGGATCAAGCATTTGCTCTTGGTTTAAAAGGATCTGAAGCTTATAAGTTATTGGGATCAAGACTTAATATTTCTGGTCCATACATAGGCAGTCGATTTCCTTATGAACTTACACGAGATCAGTATGTCTTCATACTCACTTGTGAGCAATCTGAAGTTATTGTTAGAGTGACATTGCCGCAAGTGAACAAAAAAGTATATGAATTTTATTATCTGCTCCCTCAAAAAATATTGCCTTTTTTGATGCACATTCCAGCAAGCTACCTAAATCCTTTCTTAGAACGGCTTCAATACTTTATGGACTTGTGTTTTCAAGCTGGTTTAATGCATATTTGGAAGGTTTATGTATCGGAATTTGATCCATTGAAAGGCCATGACTTAGTGGACAGTCAACTTTCTTTTTTAAAACTTTCAGACTTAATTCAAGTGTTTATGATTCTCATGATTGGCTGTGCCTCAGCAATTGTAATACTGCTAATTGAGATCTTCTTTCATGACATCTTAGTACAGTTCAGATTGTCTTATCTTGCACGGAAGTTGAAGAATCGAGTACATCAGATTACATATAATAAGAGGAAGCAGCCAAAGCATCCAAAATATCAAAGAGGTGCTCTTTACTACATCATTCATAGACGCAAGAAAGTCAAGCGATTGAAGCATAGAAAATTGAAAGTTCGAAAGATTTATGTCCAGCCTAGGTTCCCAACGGATTAAGGATATGGCATATTTGGGGAGAGACATTAATGTCTACTCAAATATGGCGCACGGATGATTTTTTGTGTAATATTTATCATTCAATGTATTTGTGGCTAGTAAATAAAATGTTAAGCACATCTTATTACTTTTAAGCACGAACTTTATATTGTTTTCTTTAACATTATTTCATCATTATCAACTTTAAGTTAATTCAGCACTAATCGCAACAATTAGAAGTTCATTATCAAGGTCAATTAAATCACTATGGATGTCTTTTGAGCATCAACACTTGTTGCATCTATGGAAACGTCATTTAACATTGCACAACAAATTGATTTTAATTCTTAATAGCACGTATGGTTAATCTTGTAAAAACATGAAAATAACAAATCTTTCGGCATCAGTTTTTTTATTTCTCATCCTCAACTCGACTGTCAGCAGCAACTTCATTCTGAGAACTTGACAAAATGACAAAAAGTTATCAAATTATATCTGCAAAGTCACCAAAGGCATCATAAACACCAAAAGTGAATTTCAGGATGTCTTTATTGGAAATTTAGGTGGAAAATTGTGGTCATCAACTGTCAATGAGATTGCTGGATGTGTTGGACATGACAGTGCTGTTGTGGTTAGTGATTTTAAGGAACCATTAACGGAGAAGACACTAAGGAAGGCAGCTATTATAATCTTATCATTTGAACGAATCAATCTAGTAAGTTTTAATAATTCAAATAATTTTAATTTTGATCCAATTTGATACTTTCGTACCATAAAGCCTGAAATAAAATTCTTGATTCAAAAGCATCATTTTGGAACTGTGTGGCATCACATGGCTAAGATCATTTGTGTCGTTTCTTATAACATTCCAATGCCTCAACGGTTACATGCTTTGCACTTATTTTCACTCTTTGGATTTTTAGACGTCGCATTTGTGCACAAGAATGAATATGAAAACATTCAGCTTGAAATTCGCATGTCAGTTTTAGGACGTCCTGCAATTTATGGCGATCAAGTCAACCATTCCTTGATATTTCCTGATAAGTTAAAGTCAATGGACCGATATCATCACAACATCATTGTCTATGATCAGCCACCAAAAGTGAGAATTATAAATAGAATTATTTATAGTCCACTGCTGTACTTCCTTTATGCTGTATCATCTGCTCAAAATTCACGGTTTTACTTGACTGTAATTAAGGATTATCACGAAATGAAGGAGTTTTGGATCGACCGAAAGATGCACTTGACACTTAATACTGGTGTGTTTACTGTGTGTTTATTAATGAACCTGAGCCAAAACTTCAAACATATGTTGAGAATGGATATTGTGCTTTAGTTCCATTGCCACCCAAAGTTCCACTGTTTCAATCAATATTCATTGAACCATTCGATGGACTAACTTGGATGTTCCCTTTTCTTGCAATAGCTTGTTCTGTTGCTGTTTGGTGGATGTTCCGTAATCGTGGTGCTGTCGATTCTCCTTGGCTATTAGCTTATGGCATGTTTGCTATGTTTATCGGTCAAGGGGTCGAATTCAGTCGACATAACCGCTTAGTGCTGACCATTCTGCTGCAGTTGATCATTGTAATGATTTGGGTACTAAGCAATGCCTACGAAGGTGTCATCACATCTTTTATGATCCAGCCTATCCAAGAACACCGACTAGAGACATTTGATGACTTAATTGCATCAGATTATAAAATAATCACGGACGAAGTGTTTGTGCTTAAAATATCCGGTTCTGAAGCTTATGAAGCCCTTAAATCAAGACTTAACACATCTGGCTCGCAACTAGGAATCCGACTTGGCACTGAAATACTCCGAAAACATTTTGTATTAATTATGAAATGCGATCAAGCTGAAATGTTGATTGCTGAGCGCTTTGAGCAGTCAGAAAGGAAAATGTCTGAATTTTACTATCGAATGCCACAAAAATTGATTCCACATCTTGAACAGCTTGAGGCTAGCGTCTTAAATCCGTTCTTAAAGCGATTTCAGTATTATATGGACTTGTGCTTTCAAGCTGGTCTTATCCAGATTTGGAAAACGCTTGATGTTTTGAGTAATCCTGCAATTAGAAATCATGAGCCAACAGATGAGAATGAGTATTTGGAACTTGCAGATTTGACTCAGGTTTTTGGTATCTTGATTATTGGTTGCGTTGCGTCGACTGGGATATTCCTCTTTGAGATCTTCTTTCATGACATCTTAGTGCAGTTCAGACTGTCTTATCTTGCACGGAAGTTGAGGAACCGAGTGCATCAGATGGCATATAAGAAGAGGAAGCAGCCAAAGCATCCAAAATATCAAAAAGGTGCACTTTACTACATCATTCATAGACACAAGAGAGTCAAGCGCTTGAAGACAAACAAGTTGAAAGTTCGAAGGATTTATGTACAGCCTAGGTTCCCTATGGATTAAGTTAAAAGCTCTGGCAGTGATTAAAACAATTTTACTTATGGATTTATAATTGACACGATTTATTGTACAAATTTAAAAATTCCATTACTTTATGTTTGTGGAAAAAATTTAATTTTATAAATGTCTGATGACTCAACACAATTTATCGATCCGTAAAGTATTGCATTATAAGCTCACAATCAATCGTAATAAGCTAGCTGTCACCACGTAATGAAATTTTTTCAATTTTATGTGCCATTTTTGGTATTAATCGTCTGTAATTCAACTCTCAACATAAACTTCATCCTCAAAAATGACAAAAAGCTGTCAAATTATGTCTGTAAAGTCACCAAAGACATAATTTCGTCCAAAAGTGACACTAAGGATGTACTGATTGGAAATTTAGGAGGAAAAGTGTGGTCGTCGACTGTCAATGACATTGCTGGATGTGTTGGACAAGACAGTGCTGTTGTAGCTAGTGACTTTAAGGAGCCATTGACTGTAGAGACGTTGAGGAAAGCAATTGTTATTATTTTGGCTGTTGGATATATTAATAAGGTTGATTAATATGATTTTTTTTTTCCTTTTGAGTTGAAATTAATATTTCCATTTAATTCACATTAGCAATCAATTCGTGCAATTATCGCTGACCACATGTTCTCCACAGTTTGGAATCACAACGCAAAAATCATATTTTTAATTAATAAATCGATCGATGAAGGCACGCAAACTCAAATAATTCAATCGTTAAGATATTTTGGAATTCAAAATTCAGCATTTATTTATGAACATAAAAATAAAATAAATGCGATTGTGTTAGACTATCTTAAAGGTTCCGCGATGGAGTTAGGTCTTAATAGCACATACCAAGACATTTTTTATGATAAACTTAATGACTTGCATGGATATACATACAGAATCGTAGCATGTGCTCAACTACCTCGAATAACGATCGAAAACGGAGAAGTTCATTCAGCTTTATTGTATTTTATGCAAGCAGTTGCTAAAATTCAAAATGCAAATCTGAATGTTAAGCTTTTAAAGTCGTGCATGGAACTTTCTGTGTATTGGAATTGACTGCGTATGGATTTAACTTTGAACACGGCTGTTGAATATTATGCTCCATCGATTCCAAAACTATTGACTTATGAAGAGAGTGGACACTGTGCCTTAGTTCCATTGCCTCCCAAAATTCCACTTTTCCAGTCAATCTTCATTGAACCATTCGATGGTCTTACTTGGTTGTTCTTTTTCCTTACTATTGCTTGTTCTGTTGCTGTTTGGTGGATGTTCCGTGGTCGTGGTGCTGTCGATTCTCCTTGGCTGCTTGCTTATGGCATGTTTGTCATATTCATCGGACAAGGCGTTGACTTCAGTCGTAGGAATCATTTGGTGCTGACTATTTTGTTGCAGTTGATTATTGTGATGATTTGGGTAATAAGCAATGCGTACGAAGGTGTCATCACATCCTTCATGATCCAGCCTATCCAAGAGCATCGACTTCATACTTTTGATGACATAATTGCATCAGATTATGAGATAATTACTGATGAATCTTTCATCTATTCAATAAATGAGACTTCTGCATTTGAGAAATTAAAGCCACGATTGATTGAAACTTTTTATCAGAACTGGGGAGTTTTAAGGACAATGATGGAAAAGCTTCAAAAAGTTGTTATCCTAGAATGCGATCAGATTGAATTAATAATGAATCTTCACTTTGCGAATGGTAGAAATGTTTCGGATTATTATTACGTGCTGCCGAAAAAGTTGTCGTCATACCTCGTCAGACTAGAAGCAAGCTACTTCAATCCATTTATTGAGAGACTTCAGTACTACATGGATTTGTCATTTCAAGCAGGACTGATGCACATGTGGAATATTTTTATGACACCTAAATGCTTGAGGTTTAAACTTACATCACACAGCGATGAACTTACATACTTGAAACTTGAAGATTTTACTCAAGTCTTCAGCATCCTTATTATTGGCTTCGCGATATCCACTGTAATTGTTTTATTTGAAATCTGTTTTTATGACATCCTTAAGAAGTATAAACTTAAAAATCTCGCAAGAAAGTTGAGAAATCGTGTGCATAAGATAGCATTTAACCAGAGGAAGCAGCAAAAGCATTCAAAATATCAAAAAGGTGCACTTTACTACATCTTTCATAGACGCAAGAGAGTCAAGAGATTAAAGCCTAGAAAGATGAAAGTTCGAAGAATTTATGTCCAGCCTAGGTTCCAAATTGATTAAGGATATGGTATATTTGGGGAGAGACATTAATGTCTACCCAAATATGACGCACGGAGAAGTTTTTTGTGTTTTGGGTTTAAAAGTGCATGTTAAATGTCATTTAATGTATTTGTGGCTAGAAAATAAAGTTTAAAGCACATCAAATTGTTTTAAAGCACAACATTTAATTGTTTTCTTAAGAATTGCTCTACAAAGTATTATTTTTTCAACATAAATACAGTTTTTAGTATGAAGTTCATTATCAAGTCAAAGTCAATCACTATGGATAACTATTGAGCATAAACAGTTCATGCATCTATGGATACGATCGTCAACCATTGCAAAATATCCACAGTTAACACGTAGTAAGTCAAATTTCTATAACTTCGTCCAAAAAAATATGAAAATTGCTCGACTTTTTGCACTATTTTTGGCGCTTCTTATTTTCAACTCGACATTTAGCACTAAATTCATCCTCAAAACCTTACAAAATGACGATAAGTTGTCGAATTATGTCTGCAAAGTCACTAAAGACATAATTTCGTCCAAAAGTGACACTCAGGATGTCCTCATTGGAAATTTGGGTGGGAAAATGTGGTCGTTAACTGTCAATGACATAACTGGATGTATTGGAAGTCTAAGTGCTGTAGTTGTTACTAATTTTGAGGATGTTATGACTGAAAAGACCCTAAATAAGGCAGCTGTGATGATTGTAATGTTTGGTGACGTTAATCAGGTAAATTACAAGCTTTACAAAGTCTTTTTGAAACTGAATTTCATTAAAAAAAATCAGGTTTTGATGCAAACATTTCTAAAAAAGTACATAAAATCGACTGTATGGAACCACTCAGTCAAACTAATCGGCATCGTTAAAGATCAAATGACGTGGAAACAACAGATGGTAATCATCAATCACCTGACTCAATATAGCTTCCTGAATTTCGCATTAATTGCCAACATTAATCAAAGAATTTTGACTATCACAATGAACACATTCCTTGGTATTGTCCATGTCACTGATAAGCTCCTAAGTGGAGATTTATTATTTCCTGACAAGCTTAAAAATCTTCATAATTATCCATATCGAGTCCCAATTTGCGAACAAAGTCCACGCGTAGTCATTCAGAATAGAGTCGTTCAGTCCCCGTGGATTTATTTCCTGATTGAAGTGACAAAGCTTCAAAATGCTTCAGCTGATGTTGATCTTGTTGATGACTGTAGAGAGTTAATTACTTTGTGGAAAGAACGCAAAATGGATTTGAGTATCAACACTGCTGTTGTATTTCCAATCGATTCAAATCCTAAGTTGTTGACTTATGAGGAGAACAGCTATTGTGCATTAGTTCCATTGCCTCCTGAAACTTCATCTTATCATCTGACTTTCCTTGACCCATTTGATGGACTAACTTGGATGTTCTTTGTTCTCACTATGACTTGTTCTGTTGCTGTCTGGTTGATGTTTCGTCATCGTGGTGCTGTCGATTCTCCTTGGCTACTTGCTTATAGCATATTTGTCATGTTCATTGGACAAGGCGTTCATTTCAATCCACATAATCGTTTGGTGCTTGTCATTCTACTGCAGTTGATGATTTTTATGATTTTTGTCCTTAGTTCTGCTTACGAAGGTGTCATCACATCCTTTATGATCCAACCAATCCAAGACAATAGACTTGAGACTTTAGATGACCTAGTTGCATCAGATTATGAGATCTTTTGTCCAGATGCATTTATATATATCATCAAGAACATTGGAATGTACAATCAGCTAAAGGCACGACTAAATACATCGAGGATGGAAGTGAGTGGACAATTTGAAGAAGAAATATTGCGCCAAAAATCAGTTTTTGTTATGGAGTGTGATCGTGCTGAATTAATATTGGGTTATGAGATGGACAATGACCAAATACTTTATGACTATTATTATATATTGAAGCATAAGCTGTTTCCTCAATTTGTCCGACTGGAAGCAAGTTATCTTAATCCGTTTATTGAAAGACTTCAGGATTACATGGACATTTCTTTCCAAGCTGGTTTGCTTCACATTTGGAAGGTTTTTATGCATCTAAGTGATCTTGATCAGTTTAGTCATAAACCATTGATAAGTTCTAACATCCTTAAACTTGAAAACTTAATTCAAGTGTTCAGCGTACTTGTAATTGGTTATGTGCTGTCAGCAGTTGTGTTGCTTATTGAAATCTTCTTTTATGACACTCTGAAGAATTTAAAACTTGCAGTTCTCGCACAGAAATTGAGAAATCGAGTAAGTCAGATGGCATATAAGAAGAGGAAGCAGCCAAAGCATCCAAAATATCAAAAAGGTGCACTTTACTACATTATTCATAGACGCAAGAGAGTCAAGAGATTGAGGACAAGGAAGTTGAAAGTTCGAAGGATTTATGTCCAGCCTAGGTTTCCTATGGATTAAGGATATGGAATATTTGGGGAGAGACATTAATGTCTACGCAAATATGACGCACGGATGATTTTTTAAACTTTTTTAAAATATTTATGTTAAAAGATTGAAAATTAAGCAAAATTGTTATTTTTAGAGCACGATACTCATAGTTTTATTTTGTAACTTAATCGATTGCACCTCACTTTAGATTCAATATCAATTATTAAGGCTGTCGATTCTCTGTCCTAACAATTTCCGTCTCTGTGCAGTATTTGAAGCCAACTTTAGATAATGACCTGTTAAAGAAGCTTCCAAAATCTGCAAATAGCTCGACACACATTTGATTCCTTTCTTTTTCATTCATTGATGATCGTTGTGTTGTTGTTGATGATTCAAAGTTGACTGGATTTGCTGTGTCCGAGGAACGAGTTTGATTTTCTGAATAACTTTTTGGGAGGTCGGTTGAGCATTTTGGGGCCGTTTGGGAGAGCTTCGTGGCTTTTTGAGAGCTTTTGGGGGTTTCTGGAGTTTGTGTCGAGCTTTTAGGGTCAGTATTGACACAACTTCTGCAAACTTCATCCTCATGTCCTTGTTCTTTGGAATTTTTGTCATTTTCATCATAAGACAAGCTGAAAATCTTCTCGAATTCTTCAATAATTTCATCACAATTTGGGAAAGCTTTGAGCTGCTCGTAGAGACTAATTCTCAAATTTTCATCGAGTTTTTGGAATTTTTTGTAATTTTCTTCAAGTTGAGATAAAATTTGCTGAATTAATTCAATATTTTGATCCATTTTTTTGTAATAAAATAAAATATATTTAAACTACACCAATAAAAATCAGAGTTTGCACATTATAAAAATACTTGACTGACTAACAAAGAAGTAAGAAGCTTCTTACTTTTTATTATTGAGTGCTGATAAGATAAATAAAACTGGTTTCAAAAAAATACATTCGTGGGCACCCTGTAGTTCAACTTTCGTGTCATTCTGTAAAGTAATACTTTTTTTTTATTGTGAAGATGATTGCTTATGGACTTTCAAGTGCTGTGTTGGATATTGAGTATTTAAATTAGTCAATAAAAAAGCATGTGCTTATAAAAGCTTCTAGATCTTGTTAGTTTATATTTTTGGTCACCATGTGGTTTAGTTTGATGTCACCCTGTATTTATGCATAAATCAAATTGTAACCCTGTAGTAATGAACTAGGGTCATAGCGAAGTCTTGTTCCCACAACTTAACTAGAAAAATGATTGTCACTGTATGTATTTGATGTCACCCTGTAATAATAACCTATTAAATTAAATAGTTTAAAACATATTTTTTCTAAACATAAAAATTTTATTTGATTTAATCCAAAAAATAAAATAAATGTCATAAATCCACCGAAAAATAATAAAAAGAATCTCTAAAGGAAAATTGTTTCCCATCCAGTCAATAGTTTAATACCACATTAAGAACATCAAAGTTTTTAAGCATTGTATGATGATGCACTGACATTGCCGCCAGTTCCAGTCCAGTTTGTATGAACAAACTTTCCTTCTTGTCCCAATAATTCGTACGTATGAGCACCAAAGAAGTCACGTTGAGCTTGCAAGAGATTAGCTGGAAGTCTCTCCGAACGATATCCATCAAAGAAGGCAAGAGCAGCTGACATTGTTGGAACTGGAATTCCCCAAAGTGTTGCATTAGCAACGACTTGTCTCCATGAGTGTTGATTCTTAACAATTGCAACCTTAAAGAAGTCATCGAGTAGGAGATTTGAAAGTTGTGGATTTCTTGTGAATGCTTCCTTAATGTTGCCTAAAAAGACACTACGGATGATGCATCCTCCACGCCACATCAATGCAATACCGCCATAATTCAAGTGCCAGCCAAAATCTTTAGCTGCTTCACGCATAAGCATGAATCCTTGAGCATATGAGACAATTTTAGCGCAGTAGAGAGCATTCTTGATGTGATTCAGGAATTCAGCCTTATTTGGAACCATTGGCTTCTCCTCTGGTCCTTTGATCAACTTACTGGCACGAACACGTTCATCTTTAAGTGCTGATAAACATCTTGCAAAAACAGCCTCACCAATTAGAGTGACTGGAACGCCATATTGAAGTGCAGCAATTGCAGTCCACTTTCCAGTTCCTTTTTGTCCAGCTGTGTCACGAATACGTTCGAGTAAGTATCCATCCTTATCTTTATAGTTGAGAATATTGCTGGTAATTTCAATAAGGAATGAGTCAAGTTCTCCTTTGTTCCATTCTGTGAATGTATCAGCCATTTCCTTTTGGCTCATTCCTAATGATTTCATGAGATCGTATGCTTCACAGATGAGCTGCATGTCACCGTATTCGATACCATTGTGGACCATCTTGACAAAGTGACCACTGCCGCCTTCACCAACCTACAAGATGAAAGAAAATTTTGAGGTTAGAATTTTATAAATTTGGGAATTGGAAATGTTTAGCCAGATTTTTCTAAAAGCTCAGCCAGAATTTTCTAAAAGCTCAGCCAGATTTTTCAAAAAGCTCAGTCAGATTTTTCAAAGAATGTTCAACCTTACCCATTCACAACATGGATCACTTCCAGACTTTGCACAGATGGACTGGAAGATATCCTTAATATGTGGCCAAGCCTCTGGATTTCCACCTGGCATAAGAGATGGTCCATAACGTGCACCTTCTTCACCACCACTAACACCTGATCCAACGAATAACAACTTATGCTTCTTACATTCTTCAACACGACGGGCTGTGTCTTGATATTCTGAATTTCCACCATCGATGATTATGTCACCGGCTGAAAGAAGTGGCGTGAGTTGCTTAATAAAGTCATCGACTGCACTTCCAGCTGTAAATAGAAAAATAAAATTGACATTGTAGTGATCTTGATAATGATAATGAAAATGTTGACATTGAATGTAGATTAATCATATGCTGAATTGAAAGGTTCGTTACGGAAGACATTAGATTAGAAGCCAGCGATAGTTCCCACATTATAATTACTAAAGTCACCTTAGTATTGCACCTACAACATTATTATTCCAATAACTTAACCCTCTCATCGAGCATTGATCACTGAGTTCATCCTTGACCGACAGAAAACCCGGCAAAATACATTCCATTATGTGTCTATGACTTTATGCCAGTGGTGTCCAACCTTTTTTGTACCACGGCACATCATAACCATGTACATGTACACGTAATACAATTCGTGGATTTTTCTGATTTTTTTTGCGACGCACTAGTGTGCCGCGGAACATAAGTTGATCAGCACTGCTCTTTGACATTCTAATGTACTTGATTAAGAATTCAAGTCACATGAACGCACATTCACTGTTGACTTACTTTCACTTTAGAATGCTTCTATGCTGTTAGATTGAGTACAAAGGCTGATCAAATGCTCGGTTGTGCTTGATTAAAATGTGTATTGACGGCATTCAATGTGTGAGCTTTTCCAATGTCAATGACAGATTTTATAAATGGAAATTGAGGAATTGTTTATGAGATGTGTTGCTTGAACTTTGATTTTGCTTCTTCCAAGCCTTCCAATTATTGTGCTACTCTACCTACTGCTTGTACGGCCTGGACCATCGAACTAAACTCTGAGAACTTAAGTTAAACCGGCATGTATGATTACATGGCTAGATGATCTATCCTAGTAAAACTATGCCTTTTTATCAGTAATGCTTGTCATCAAAAACAAGACTTTGTACCCTAAACCAGTGGTGGTCAACCTTTTTTTTTGCCACGGCAAACTTGACCAAAACAGCATATGGTTCTTGGAATATTCCAAATTGTCTAATGGCACATTAGTGTACCGCGGCACACAGGTTGGCTACCACTGCCCCAAACAATTGAGTTAAACGCAAACAACTTAAATTCCTCTTTTAATTCTCTCGCCATGTGATCAAATTACTCATAATTTTTGCTATGTTTACAAAAAGTTTTACTTTGTTGACTTCCAACACATCCAAAAAATCCGCTCAGTAATTTTTTTTATCACCTGATATCTCTCTCTCACTCTCTTTATCGCTCACCGCGATTTTCCTTTCTTTTTCTTCATGTATTTCACGAATTCATGTTAAATTTACCGCAATGACATGAAAAGTCGACGGAAAAAACTAGTTTTGCAGCACAGCATAAATGAATTGGCATTAAATTAAAATAAATTATGATTTTATAGAACATGGACAGTGCAGAAAGATTGAATTACATGCCGTTGACAGTGATTGGAATTTTTAAATTGGTTATCGGAGCTGTTTTTTGTGATGTAATTTTGAGTTGTGGACGGGTTTTTACATGACTATGTACCACAAAGTTGTGTAAAAAGCACGACTATTGACATTTGGACAATTTTAGATGATTTTGATGAAGAATTTAAGAAATTGAGCCCCAAAGTCGTACATTGAACACGACTTTTAAAAATTACATAATAAGTCTGATTAGAGAATTCCAATTTGTCACAAAAGTCGCACAAAACACACGATTAAGCTACAATATCTACATAACAAACTGATCTATACAATGCTATGACTCATGAGGCTTCAAAGTCGTGTGTTGAGAACGACTCATGACGACAGAAGTAGCCACAGATTGATTATCGTAGAAAAGTCACTAAAACCGTGTGCATTACACGATTATTGTAATTTAATACATTTATTAATGACAAAAAGGTCAAGATCAATACCAAAACTGTACGATTTACACGACTATTGAACACTTATCAGTATAAGTCAGTAATGGCCAACTTATGTGCTGCGGTACCCCAAGAGCCATATACCGTCCACGGTTTCAGTCATGGCTTATCATTAATATGTGCCATGGAAGAAAAAAGTTTGCCAGCACTGGTAAAAGTCAATGTACAATCCACAAATTTTGTCAAAAGTCGCACGCTACACACAACTATTGTCTTGAACTAATTCTTTTAAACCCAATTTCACTTCCAAAATTGAAAACAAAAAGCCGTAAAAAAAAGAAAACCAAAACAAATTCAGCTCCCGTACTTAACTTTTCATTCATTAACACAATATAGACTGACTGACGCACAGACACAACTACAATGGAATATTATTAAAGAGTATATTCACCTTTGACCAAGAGCATAACACGTCGTGGACTCTTCAATTTGCTGACCATGTCTTCCATTGATGTTGCGCCGATAATTTTGGTTCCTTTGGCTTCATTGGCGAGGAAGCTCTTGACCTGAAAGAGAGAAAGCATTAAACAACAGCCACTCAAATCACACAATTCAGCCTAATCATTGAAGGGAAAAGTACGCCGTCTATGACGTCATAGCCAATAGACAAATACAAAATGGAATGAGTATGCACTTATGTCAATTGAGCCTATAAAAACGAACCTTATCAACGGTACGATTAAATGCACAGACAACAAATCCTTTTGAGTCCATGTTGAGAATCAGGTTCTGTCCCATGACAGCGAGTCCAATTAAGGCAATATCTGCTTTTCTGGAAGATTAAGATGAGATTTTCACATTTTTGAGGTTAAATTTTCTCAATTTTCACAAATTAATACTCACTGTGCCATCGTTTTAAGCATGAAAAATTAACAAAAATATTCCGAAACAAAAATCAATAAAAAACAACTTAGACGAGAGGAATAAAATTCACAACGTTTTCACTGCGAACTTGTTGAATGTCTGACTATGTTAGTCGTACGATGTCGGCTTTTTATAATGAAAACTTTTACTTTGTATTATTTTGAGAGAATTGAGCAAAGTTTCTTGACGTCACAGCCAGTTTCTCGCGAGAATTTCAGTTTCAGTTATTGTGTGTGTGTGTGGATGTTGGTGTGCGTGAGACTAAAGTTTGAGAACGGGCAGGTACGATGAGCGAGACAGAAAACGAAAGATTTAAACTCAATCAGGTAAATTGTTGTGATTTATTTTTTATTTGTAAACAAATCAATTTTTTGATGGTTTGACTTGGAATTTGATAGGTTTTTTGAAATTATGGATGCAGAATTGAGGCCCGAGGTTCACTTCTTAACCTTAAGGAAGCATCTTTAGTTCAATAATCTGAAAGCAAACCTATAACTTCATTGAAGGTTTAGTATTAAATGGGATTATAATCCACAGATATTAAATTAGAGTTAATCCAGTGATTCTCAAACCTTGTGCTGCGGCCACTTCTGTTAAATATTCCACGAAATCTCCTTTGCTAGATTATTTACTTATTACGGAAGCTAGGTTATTTGGTTTATTTTCTAGCAAACTGGAAACTAGTTAAACCTAGTAATCTAGTAGCTAAGTAGCTAGTTTACCATAGAAGCTAGCTTATCATAGTACCTGGATTAACCTTGTAGTCGAGTAGCTTGTTTAACCTAGTAGCGTAGTTTCTAGCTTAACTTACTATCCAAGTAGCTGGTTTAACTTAGTAGCTTTAAAGCTACTCTACTCATTGGCTAGTTTAATCAAGCGACTAGTTTGACCAAGGAGACTAGTAGCTACTAGCTAGTTTGACTAAGCAGCTAGTAAATCCTAGCAATACAGAAACATTCTAAGGAAGTATTTAAGTAAAACTAGCAACTAGTTAAACCTAGATCAAGGTAATTCCATGGTAAAGTCAAAAACTGACATGCTACAGCAGGCAGGCCTCAGACGTTTCCATAGACACTAAAGCTCCTATCAACTTTGAATTTGACATTCATCTAATCAAATATTTTTCCATATCGATTCTACAAACTTTCACTAATTATATTTCTCACAATCTAGAACTGTTTTAGTCAAGGCATTCAGGAATCACCTTCGCTGATCACGAATCACCTTTCATATCTAATAACACTTAAAGTTCAATCTTTATTATAACAAAATAATCTCAGGGGGAAAACAACATGAAGGGGAAATTTTTTTCAGGGGGAAAACAACATGATGGGGAAATTTTCAGGGGGAAAACAACATGAAGGGGAAATTTTTTTCAAGGGAAAACAACATGATGGGGAAATTTTTTTCAAGGGGAAACATCATGAAGGGGAATTTTTTTCAGGGGATAAACAACATGATGGGGAACAAGATAATCGGAAAAAAATTGAGAGAAATTTTTACAAATAAAATTTTTCTTGAAAGTTAATCAAATTTATGGTAAAATCGTAGAAATTTTCAATCAAAAATTTTCCCCGTCATGTTGTTAACCCCCTTCAAAAAAAATAAAAAAATTTCAATATTCGTCTTTTTTTCATTTATTTTTTGATCAATAATATTCTTCATGTTTAAAACTTCATTATATTATCACAATATAATAATAATAATAGTTATAGTTGTCCTATCTAAGTAACGTGCACACGGTTAAGTAATTGCTTGTCCGATGAGAATGAGTAGAAATCACACCAAAAATTGTTTATCAAAAAAAATTTTGTTCATGTTTTCTTTTAGAAGTTATTTTGTTAATTTTTTGTTCCGATTAATTTTTTTTTATAAATATTAAATGCAAAAATTTGACTAAGTTATTTATTACACTGAGAGGAAAATTTTGATGACTGGCAATTTTATTTAGAATAATTTTTGATTGAAAATTTAAGGGAAGAGGAATTGAATAATGTGAAACTGATCAACATTTTTCAGAAAGGAGTGGAGCAGTGGTGGACAACCTTTTTTGTACCACGGCCCACTTTGATGGTAAGTCATGACCGAAACCACACGCGGCACACGGTTCATGTGATTTTTCAAAAAAAAATTTTCTCAACTGTGCCTCAGCACATGGGTTGACCATCACTGAATTTGAGGTTAGGGTTGGAGTAAAGTAACATCAAAAACTTAACTAAGTTATTCAAAAGGCTAAAATTTCTTATAAAATCTTTAAGGAACCATCGATTAACTTCATAAAATTCAATTATTTTCCATTGCCAAACCTCAAAGTTTTTCTCTCAGTGTACAAAAATTTATACGATTAAACCTGAATAAGCAAAATGTTTTTTTTTTTCGATATTTAAATCACAATATCATTTACAATAAATATGAGAAGCATGAAAAATGTTTTGTTTTGTTTGTTATCTTTGAAGATGTGAGGCTGATGGGTTAGGTTTGAGCTTATGGAGGTTAATGGCATAATGGCAACATCTTGACGCTTTTATGTCACTTCATTGGCAACTTAGTAGTACCCTAATGACTATGTAGTGTTTTCCAAGCTACTGCAACCTTTTTAGTACTATTTGTATCCTTAATAAACCCCTTAACTCTCCCTAAACCCATTAAACTCGTCCTTCTCACATCTCCAACAATCCTAAGTAAAATAGCCTGCTAAAATTTGTTCAAACATATTCAAGGCCTTCATTTAATCTCAACAATGATCCATTCCCGATAATCCTTGACTCTAAATTGTCATTAAAAATCATCCAATTCCTTTTTTTGTTGCTAAACAAACCAAAACAATTGCACTGGAAGAAATCCGCTAAATTATTTAATAGACCGAGATGGAATGGCGATTTTCCACCCAATTCTGCAAAATGTTTGTAGCGTCCTCGATTGACTCGCTCATTCGTTGTCATTCCCATAAATACGATTTGATAAAATTGAATAACGGAGAGGATTGTCACCCAGAAGATGTGAAAACATGCATTGATCATCATCCACACGACCCACAATGAGCAATTGTTAATGATTAAAAGTGCATTCCAAATACCTTCACCAGCTAGATTACAATTTTGTTGATAAAATAAAATTCCTCCATAGAAATTTAGAATCATGATGAAAAGGATGAGAAGGATGAAGAGGATGAAGATTCTATGATTGTTGATGCCAATGTCGTTGGCTATCCATGGACTAAAAGTAAATGAAACATAAGTAAATTATTCTAGAACTTCTGCTTTGTCACTACATATCCAATATACAGTCAAAGAACAATCAAAGTCAAGACACACAATCAAGTCAAGACACACAATCCTCAAGTCAAGAAAAAAATCTTCAAAAAAAGATACACTTTTAAAATCGAGATATAATTCCCAAGCCAAGAGACACTCCCAAATCAAGATACATACTCTTTACACCAAGACATACTCTTTAAGTCAAGACACATTCCTTAAGTCAAGACACACAATCCTTAAGTTAAGAAACAATCTTGTAATCGAGATATAATCCTCAAACCAAGATAATTTTGAAGTCGAGACACATTCCTCAAGTCAAGACACACCCTTCAAGTCCACATGCTACTCGAGTCAAACAGACCATATTCAAGTCAATACTAGCTCATCAAGCCAGGAAACATTTTTTAAGTCAAGGCACACTCCTTAAGTCAAGACACAATCACCAAGTCAAGACACACAATCACCAAGTCGAGAAACAATCTTGTAATCGAGATATAATCCTCAAACCAAGATACTTTTGAAGTCGAGACACATTCCTTAAGTCAAGACACACCATTCAAGTCCAGACATGGTATACGATTCAAAAAGACCGTCTTCATGTTAAGACACATTTTTACTAAAGCCATGACATAACCTCCTCAAGTCAAGACACAATATTTAAGTCAAGGCACATTCCTCAAGTCAAAACACACATTCCTCAAGTCAAAACACACCACATTAGCACACTATATATGCTAATTGAGTCAAACAGACGATCTTTAAGTCAAAACTCGCTCATAAAGCCAAGACATATTCTTTAAGTCAAAGCACACTCGTTAAGTCAAGACACACAATCCCCAAGTCAAGAAACAATCTTGTAATCGAGATATAATCCTCAAAGCAAGATACTTTTGAAGTTGAGACACATTCATTAAGTCGAAACACACCATTCAAGTCCAGACATGGCATACGATTCAAAAAGACCGTCTTCATGTTAAGACACATTTTTACTAAAACCATGGCATAACCTCCTCAAGTCAAGACACAATATTTAAGTCAAGGCACATTCCTCAAGTCAAAACACACATTCCTCAAGTCAAAACACACCACATTAGCACACTATATATGCTAATTGAGTCAAACAGACCATCTTTAGGTCAAGACACGCTCATCTAGCAAGACATTTTTTAAGTCGAGGCTCACTCCTCAAGTTAAGACGCACCGTTCAAGTCCAGACATTCCACTCAAGTCAAACAAACCATCTTTGAGCCAAGACGCATTTTTTCATTAAGTCAAGAAACATGCTCAACAAGACAAGACTCATTCTTTAAGTCAAGACACATTCTTTAAGTGGAGGCACAATCTTCAAGTCAAGATACACCGCGCAAGTCAAGATACACCGTGCAAGTCAAGATACACTATTTAAGTCAAGACAAACTGTTTGAGCCCAGACATTCCATTCAAGTCAAACAAACCATCTTTAAGTCAAGACACATTTTTCTCTAAATCCAAGACACATGCAAGTCAAGCCATAATATTTAAGTCAAGAAACACTTCACAAGTCAAGACACACACTCTCCAACTCTTAAATACTCACCAATGATGATCAAATTTTCCCACACACCGGTCACAAACTGAGCAATGTTTCGATCTAATTGGACGTCTTATTAGACAAGCTGAGCAAAATGATGAAGGTTCAAAACCTTTTCCCTTCTCGTCACTTTCTGCGATGTAAATGATCGTCTTCAGTCGTTCACTAAGGGTAGCTTTGAGAATTCCGGGATCACCTGAAGATGTAAGGATAGTAAAATTATTAAATTTGATCTTTTTGAGTAAGAGAGCATCCACTTCTCAAGAATTGTCAAAGATACAAAACAAAACAATAACTCACCAAGCAAAAGTACAATAAAGCAAATAAACAGCACAAAGTTAAGTCCTCCAAACAGGAAGCTCATCAAAGACGGTACAACCGGTGCAATATAGACAGCCCAACTCACATAGAAGAAAGCCATTGTTGCCCAATAAAACATCAACGGAAGCTGCGATTGCAAATTATCATCCAACATAATTCGCTTTATAATCGATATGACGACACAAACAATAACAATTAAAACTATCTTAAAAATAAAGAAAATTTCCGCTGATAAAATTAGTCCTATTGAGAAGAGTAGGATGAATGGAATGCAGACGAGTGTCCACCATTTTATGTCTTGATTCATGGTAATTTTCATGAGTATGCTGACTTTTGAACGTTGCTGTGTGATGTGCTTTATGAGGTCTGTGACTTCTCTAGTTATCCATCTAGAGCCGATATGTTGTTGAAGTAGTTGGAGTGGGCTGTCACCCTTTTTATTTTTAACATCGATATTGGCTTTGCCTTTAATTACTAAGGTGTGAATTGCTCGGTGATTTCTGGAGAGAATGGCCCAGTGAAGACTAAAATTGTTGAGAGAGTGAGTAAAATTATTATTTTGAATTGTTTTGAGTCAATTTAATCTAATTTGAATCAAATAAGGCTGAGATGAGTCAAGTAATACAGTTAAAGGGCGAATTAAAAATCTTGTGACTCAAGTAGTTCTCTAATGAGTCAGGTAGTTTTCTCATGAGTCAGGTAGATCTTACATGAGTCAAGTAGGTCTCTTATGAGTCAAGTAGGTCTATCATGAGCCAAGCAGATCTCTCATGAGTCAAGGAGGTATATCATGAGTCAAGTAGGTTTTACATGAGTCAAGTAGGTTTAACATGAGTCAAGTAGGTATTACATGAGTCAAGTAGATATCTCATGAGTCAAGTAGGTATTTAATGAGTCAAGTAGGTCTCTCATGAGTCAAGGAGGTATCTCATGAGTCAAGTAGGTCTTATGTGGTTCAAGTAGGTCTTATGAGTCAAGTAGGTCTCTAATGAGTCAAAGAGTTTTCCCATGAGTCAAGTAGGTCTCTCATGAGTCAACGAGGGCTATTTAAGTTTAGCAGTTTTGAATCAAGTAGGGCTATTCTTAGTCAAATAGAGCCGTTTAACATCAAGTAGCAAAATTATAAAGTCAAGTAGGGGTGCAAGTAGGAATGTTACAAGTCAGTTGAACAATTACTCACGCTGTATTTCCATGAGCTAAATCCTGTAAATTAGGATTAGCTCCAAGCGTCAACAGCAATCGTACTGGATCAAGTGAAATCATCTTCCAAGCACTCCACATGAGCGGTGTCATTCCACTGGAATCGTAAATATCTAAGTATACATTTTTGGCTATTAAATAAGCTACCACTGCCGTATGACCGAATTGACTAGCTAAATGTATGCAGCCTAAAAAAATAAAAAATTCAAGGTAAAAACATTGGACAATAGAAAAAAGTTTGACAAAGAAAACGAACCACTCCCTTCAGCATCTAAGAGATTCGGATCTGCACCATTTTTCATTAACAGGACGGTTGCTGCCAAATGACCCTGCCGTACAGCCCAATGGAGTGGAGTCGACTGAAGATCACCGCCAACAACATTCACAATTGCGCCTTTTTCGATTAATAATTTTATGATTTCCCTCCGATTATTAATCGCTGCCCAGTGCAGTAAATAGACGGTGTCATTGTCCGGCTGATTGACATCAAGTCCCGCCTCAATCAGCTCCGAAACTCTCTCACATGCACCATATTGAACAGCTTTAATAACATCAAATTCACTACAATCGATATTTTTTGACAAATTTTTATCGTCATTCTCAACTCGAACAATTATTGGATCTTTCTCAGTTTCAGGCTCAGCACAAGCACCAGCCGATGCTGCACATGATGTCTTTTGAAACATCACTGTCGTGGTAGTTTAAACATTTGAATTGGCTAAGATTTAACTACGTTTAAGTTTGTGGAAGAATGAAACTTTTTTTTGTGTTGAAGGAAAAATATGTAAATAAAAAAAAATTTTGAGTTTCGAAAGATAATTCGTAGCTTGTTGTCCTGCGATGATGTTCGAATTTTCGAAATAAAATTAAAAACTTTGAATTTCAACGGATTTATTAGGAAATGATTCGCTAAGAACCAATTTGGAGCTATTTTAATGCAAGTAAGCTTTATTAATATTTGTGATTTTTTAAATTTTTTTTAAAAATCTACCATTTTATTTAACATAATTTATGAATGACCCCTTTTAAAATTATTATTTTCCTGACATTTCAGACTGAAATCATTCAAGCCATTTTCAATGCTTTTTATTTTGTCATTTAACATTGAAAACAGTTGACCTTGAGCTGTCTGCATGCTTTTTGTGATTTCATTAAACTTCTCATCAACTTTTTGTCCAATTTTGTCAGACATTTGATCGAGGTTGTCTAGAATCTCCTGGAAATTTGAATAAACTTCTGATTTAATGCTTTCTAGGTCTTCTTGAAAAGCTGACACTTGATGATCTAAATTTACTATTGATGCATGATAATTATGGATGTCGTCTGATGATTTTTGGGATGAATTTTGAATTTCTTTGAACAGCGACACGACAAATGGAATTTTGACATTTTTGACATTTTCCAGCATGACGCTCAAATCATGCGACTTCGGCAAGCCTAAATCTTTGATTTGAGCTTCGATTTTAGTGAAATTTTCTTCGATTTTCGTGCTGTTTGCCTCATAATCTTCAAATTTGATGTGATTGACGTCATTTTCGAGGTTTTTGATCTGTTTTTCAATGTTGAGCTGCTCACTTATTGTGCATTGAAGTTTGACTAGCTTAATGATGTCTCCAGCCGATTTTGAACTTAATTCTGAATCTTTGTCAATGCATTGATTGCCTAGCAGCCTTAACTTAACCAAATGAGGCAAATTGTCAAAGACTTTCGAGTGAATTTGCTTAATTTTGTTGTCGCGCAACGAAATCATTTTTAAATTTGGATTAAATTTGAATAAATCCTCGTCAATAATTTCGATTTCATTGACATGAAGACCAAGATGAACTAGCTTAGTGAATGGTTTCAAGTCATTCTGATGAACCTCCTTAATGTGTGCATTAGCAATCACAATTCCTTCAAGATTATTGAATATTTTGTCTAAATCTTTTGGGAAGAATTGAAAGTTTTTCTCGATTGAGTAAAAGCAGTTAACGTCATTGATGGTCAATCCATTGCTGTGCATTCCAATTGCTTTGTTTATTGTCAGTCGCTCAGTTATGACTCCGTCGATATTGTTCTGAACATCACATAGGTAGGCTGGGAACACCTCCCAAGTCTCGCTTTTAAATTCACATTTGATGTCAATTAGCACTACATTAGAAAACCTTAAAAATGCCAATATGAAGTTACTGGAATAGAAAATGAGATTACAATAAGTGCTGTACATTAATCTGTATCAAATCAACAAGACTGAATGATGGCTAATGACAAGAGCAGCTTGTGGACTATTTAAGACTTCACATAATTAATTAATTAAGCAGCAAGAGTGTAGAACTGATCAAAATGACAATTATCCTTAACTTCAAGCCTATAAGCTCAAACCCAGAAGCCCACAATGCTGACGTCTACCACTTTCCAAGCATGATCTATGGATGTAGCATAGCAAAGCTACAATGAATCATGCAGAACTATTAAGTGACATATTTTGTCGATCACCGATTTCTAAACACTTTTACCATAAAATTATCTTGTGCGTTGTTTTCTGGAACTGTTCATAGCCACAAAGATTTATAAATGAGCTTAACATTGCAAATCTTCATAGAATGGGATAAACTAGTGACATCCAACCCGTGTGCCATGACACACTAGCGAACTGTGAAATTTTATTTTGGATGTTCCATAAATCTGTCAATGCTGTGTGTAGTTTTGGTCATAGCTGACCACCAAGTGTGCCATGACACAAAAAAGGTTGGACGCCACTGAAATAAACCACTAAAAAATATTAAGTCTACCTTAACAATTTCATATTTATTATTCCTGCACTTCGTGTTGAACTTTAAAGTTGTTATGAATGTTAAGCTTGCTTTTATTCAATTTTGAGCTATTCGGATGTCCATCTGATAATTTACATCAAGTTTTGATATCAAGAAACACCATAAATAATGAAAATCACTCAAATATGAATTTAGTCATCCAATTGTCAAATGCAGGCACAAAACCATTCATTTAAAATCCTCAAAAGTCTGTATTTATTCAAATTACTATGAATTATTAATGTTATAATGTACAATTTAAAGAAAAATAGTTACATATCAGCACTTCAAGCTAGACACGAGGGGGAAAACAACATTAAGGTCCACTGGACTCTATAGCCATTGTTCATATTCATCTATCTCCCAAAAGGCCACGGTAAAGTAGGAAAGAAGTCATGAAATGATGGCATTTTAGGTGTCGTAAATTCTGGAATCGTTGGATTATTTGGGAAAGTAGGCACAGTCGGTAAGTTACTTGGAAATGTTGGAAATCCAGGATTAGCAGGTGAAGTCGGAAATGTTGGAAACTGCGGGATCGTTGGGATCGCTGGAATGCTTGGAATAGCTGGAACAGTCGGAATTTTGTTGATTAAATCTCCAAGAACATCCCATGGACCTTTATCTGGTGCAGGGCGACAAATTGTCAAAGCTAAATTAGAATGTGTTGAAAAATTGATAAATTGAATTTAAAGTGTGAAGCTTAAAGTCAAATCGAGTCTGAATTTACTTACCAAAGGATAAAATCACAACAAAAAGAACTTTTAAGCTCATCATTCTGATGGTTTGAGCTGTTGGACTCAAATGTCAATCATATTTATACACATCAAGTAAGTTTAATCAATAAAGCTTGCAGCTTTGTCAACAAAAAAAAGTTCACATTCAGATGCAAATGATAAGTTTGCATTTCAAGCAACTGAAGTGACAATATTCAATTATTTTAACAAGAGTTTAGATTAAGATCAAAGTCATTATGTACTTGAACTAGAACCGGTTTTTAGAGCTACCTGGGGACCCCAGGCTGGGGTACGTCCCTACTCTTACCAGGATAGGTAGGTCACATACGTGGATAGTCTAAGTTCTCATGGGATAGGATGGGGCAGGACATCCTAGGTTGACCTACCTATCCTGCTTTGGGTAGGGCAATGCTTCAGGTAGTCTTACAATCCAGCACCTGATCAACTGCACACTATTTAGAGGAAAACGCCTGCTTTTTGAAAAATGCTTTGAATTTTGGTTTCTCCAGCTTTTTCAGACCTAAAATTAAAGCAACTCTCACTTCTTGACTAGAAAATCAACAAAACAAACCTATGGACAGTCTAGTTCCGGAATAATAAAATGTTACTGCATCCCCTTGTCAACCAAATGCAGCACAAACACTAAACCAGCAAAATCTTTCAATGATGAAATTATTCGATGAATAAAAAAATACTTTGCATGCTCAAAAATAAATCCAGCAGTTGAAACTCCGCAAGCAATAATCCACAAAATAAATCCAAATTTTAAATCTTCAAATGTCAAAATTCTAGCTTCATTTGCCGACATTATTTCAAATTTATTCTTTAAGCTTGAATGTGCAGCGTCAAGTAAATATTGAAGAATTCCCGACGGAATTAATTTGTTCATGACTTCATCAAATATCGGCCATAAAATGCTGTTTCTGTTCATTCCAAGTCCGGCTGGAATTGAGTTCATGTGGAAATCTTTAAGCTTTGCTAAAGTTCCATTGCAAAGTGAACTCATTGATGATAAGTTGATGACTGGAACGAAAAATGCTCGTTTTGGGTAAATTTTGTTGATGCTTTGGCAAAATAGCTGTAATGTTTGTACAAAGCCGTAGAGCGTCTCTATTTTTGCACTGGAATTGGATTAGAAAATGAGTTAAACCAGCAACTCAAGATGCTTGCCTGGAAACTGTTAAATGATCATCCAGACACTACTTACTTCTCATTTTCATTCCTGATCTCGCTTCGAATTCTAAAAACATCACTAATCACTAAATTGATGTCAAAAACAATTGTATATCCATCCTTAATAACCTCATTCAATGTCTTTGGCAATGGCTTCCTCATGTCTGTTGATATAAACTCAAACATTTTACTTTGATAGCATGTCCTCATAATTAAGCAGAACAGGACGAAAAACACAAGAATAAATCTCGTTATTGACTTATGTGGCAGTCGAGTCTGTCCGATTCCGAAGAAGATTTTGATGACATTCAGACCCGGTGTGTTGATGCCATGTCCAAAAAACAATGATTCAATCTTATTAGGCACAAATCTCGTCACTAAAAGTACAATAATGATGATTAATGAGGTTGCGACTATTAAAATCCATGTTAAGCCATCAAATGGCAGCAAAAGCTTCTCAAAATTCGTATAAAACTCCGATGGAGTTACAAAGATTCCATATGGAATGTCAAATATTGTAGTTGTGATGTGAGCAATGTCCATGACTTGATCTGAATATACAGCTTCATAGATTGACACAATTGGATGTAGAATTTTGGATGTCTTCAAAATCAATCGATTGTTTGACTCAAACTGATAGTTTGTTGAAAAATTTCCAACTTTACCGATTGCTTCAAAAGTTTCATACTTAATGCCACGCGGTTCAATGTCAGGACGTTGGAAAATGTCTTTAAGGATGCGCGTGCAAGTGTTGGAATTGCCATAAATCCTTAAACAATCTGTGAATTCTTTATTGTATTTGTTGAGGTAATAAGTTCCGCTGTATTCGTCAGATAATGTTAAAGTGCAGCCATAAAAGTTTTCAAAGTTCTTATAACTCTGAAGCTTGCTGTTCCACTTTTGGGTGAGTTTTGGATATGAATTTAGTTCACGGATCTTGCGCTTATTACAAGATTTATCATTAAAATAGCTAAAGATGATTAATTGAACCTGAAGTGGCTTATCAAGGACCAAGTACTCAAAAGCTGTTATGTGTGGCTTGTCGGTCTTGTAGTCTTCATAACTAGACACTAATCTACCAATATTCTCATAATCTGGTGTATAAATGATGATTTTAAGTTCCTTCGGATAAAAATTTGACAGAATTGTGAAGGAATTGAAAGCCTCAAAATATGAAGCATTTTTAAGCAGAACAACGGCTGAATCGTCAATTCTATAGTTGTAGATCCATAGCTGCTTATCAGCCCCAAAACACCATCAGCAACATCATCAAGATGACGTGTCCTTACTCCATAAATGATTAAGCTAAATCTTATTTGATTTTTGATGAAAAACTCCATACAAATGTCTGCAATCGCCGATGCTACTGAAATATCAGCATAAATGTGACCATTAATTGCTGAATTCACAATGTCTAAGGCACAGAATGTGATTAATACAAAAATCATAAGTCAAAATTTAAGCTTTTTCCAATTAAATGAAAAATAAGGGATCTTTCATGGATGACGGTTGAAATTTAAGTAGGAGAAGAAAGGAGGGAGGGGGGGGACGGGGGTCAAACAATTAAAAATACTCAAACTTTATGACAGAAGGACAAAAATCTCGTTTTGTGATTGAACATCATTTATGAACAGCTCCTAATATTAACATATGCAAGGTCTTTAATTATTAAAGTTTTAATTTGATCTAATTAAATTTAATTAAGCATAATCAGTGATGACCAACCAGAGTGCCGTGGCAAACTAGTGTACCGCAAAAAAAATCGATAATTTCAGTCATGGCTTCCCATCTACGTATGGAGTGCCACAAAAAAGGTTAAACACCACTGATGTATATCGACATCTTGCTTGTGACTCTAATATTGAGTAGAATCAATAAAAATTACAAGGTAGCTGCTCAAGGTTGTCTGTAGTTTTAATTATTTTTATGAGACACGTGTCCTTAGTACCTGATGAATCTTGGTTTGAGGATCTGATCAATTCAGAACTGAGCTCAACAGATGATTAGCCAAGAAGAAGAATTCGATGTGTTGACAAAAATTGATTTGTCCCCCAATTCCCTCTGCCCTGGCTATGCTAAAGGTTCATTAACTTGAAATCTGGGGTCCCAACAGACCATTGTGCCAGTTTTGCTGCATATAATATTAAATTTAAGTGAAGCACTAAGTGCGAATTTTTGGTTCTATTCTATTCTACCCAAAATTCATATTTTGACTTAAACGTTCCAATTCCATTCATCTTGATGACGTCTACAAGACAGCTGCTAAGCTGTTGATTACCATCAATCGTAATTTGCAGGTAAATCAGAAAATTCGATTTTAATTAATGTACATTAATGCGATTTTTAATCAAATACAACACAAACATCAGACCAAAGACATCTTTAAGCCACAAAGTCAAAGAAATGAATAAATTATTGATAAAAAATCCTGCATATTCAGCAACAAATGCAACAGTTGAAGCTCCGCAAGCAACCAACCACAAAATGAATCCAAAAGCCAAATCATCGAGTGTCAAAATTCTTGGATTTTTCAAGGCTGTCTTCCAAACACTTTTTTAATGTAAAGTTTCGTGAAGTTCAGGCAAGTATTTTGGAATTCCAGACGGAATTAATTTCTTGATAACATGATCGAAAGTTGGATACAAGATGCTGTTCTTGATCATCCCAAGACTTGCTGGAATTGCGTTTAATTGAAAATTCTTGACTTTGATCAATGAGCCATCGCACCATGAATTTGCAGCTTTTATCAAATTATTTGTAGCCAAAAATGCCAATTTTATATCAGCATTGTCAATGCTCTTGCAATATAAAAGTGCGAAATCAATAAAATTATCGAAATTGATGACTTTTGCGCTGTAAAGATGTAATTTGACTTATTAATTAGCTAAGCATTACGATAAAATTCTAAATGGTGGATATTTTGGGTCTTGATGCTTACTGGATCTTAGTTCTTCATAAAAATGGGTTCCAATGCTTACTGCAAGTGCGTAACCAGAGGGGGGGGGGGGGATATGGGAGAAATTTCTTTATTTTGCTAGGAGTTTTATGAAAAAATCATAAAAATCCCGCCTTTCCTTCTGAATTTTCCATATAATTTTTTTTTGTCCCCTCCCTCTTCAAATTCCTGGCTACGCTCCTGGCTTACTGAATTTGAATTCTTCAGAAAAAATGAAGGTTAATGCTTACTTCTTTTTCATGACAACGTCATTCAATGTTTCATGTATAAATGAATTATTTATTAAGACAATTGTAAATCCTCTCTCAATGAGCTCATCCAGTGTCTTTGGCGCTGGCTTTCTCATGTCTGTCGTGATAAACTCAAACATTTTACTTTGATAGCATGTCCTTAAAATCATCCAGAACAGTACAAAGAAGATGAGAATGAATCTTAAGATTGACTAGCGAGGCAGACGAGTGTGAGTAATGCCAAAAAATGATCGAAGGATATTCAGTCCTGGCGTCTTAATTCCGTGTCCATGGAGAAACTTTTTGATCCTCTTTGGCATAAATTGCATGGTTAGGATCACAAATGCGGCAATTGAGAAGGTCGAGAACAATAAAATCCAAGTTGTGACATCAAAAGGCAGCAAAAGCTTCTCAAAGTTTGTGTAAAATTCCGATGGAGATGCAAAAATTTCAAATTTTATGTCAAAATATGTCGACGTTAAGTGAATCTTTGTAAAATAATTTCTATGGTATGTGTATGAGCCAAATTGAATTGTTTGATTTATGATAATTTGGGTTTTGGACATAACATTCCCGAGAAATATGATTTGGTAATTTGCAGTAAAATTAATGATTTTAGACATGATTTCAAAAATTTCGAAAATTAATCCTTCAAAGTGCACTTTAGGTCGCTTAATTATATTTTTGAACAGTTCCAAGCAAGCTTCTTTATC